TGTAGTAACTTGGTCATTGGGACTAGTCTGTCGCTGCCTGCGTGAAGACTAGCTTTCGTAGGTCTCGTGCCTTCGTGCCGACCTCCGCTCTGCCCTCGTCGAGTTTTCTGTCACGTTTATCCCTCTCCCTCTCTCTTTCCCCTTTCGGCTCCTTGCCGCTCGCCTACGGGGTCGTCGCCGAACGTCGACCCGAGTCTACGCGCCTAGTCGCCGCGACACGAATCGTGAGATGATATCGCCTGTCATCGACAGATAACCTACCAAGACATCTCAGAGAGGCACAAATCGCGGTAACCCAACCATGGTCTTTCCTTAGGGATGTGCAGTAGGTTTCCAATGATAGGAAGAGCAGGTGGACCAGGTGGGAGGGGCAGGGGTCCGTAAGGTCTGGTCGTTATACGATGCAGGCACACAGAGAGGATGGCGAATCCCAAGAGTATTAGTACCGCGGACGGTGGGGCCCAGGGCAACTCCACGATATCAAATTGAATACAAGCATGGGTGTCTGGGACCTAGCTCTTGTATACATACCAGAATCCAGACGGTTCCATTGTTGAGTTCGAAGCACATCGCTCCCTGCCGAGAGAGCGGCACAATGCGATGATACGCAAAACCATACTGCACAAATGGCACAATTGTGCACTAAAACCGCGCCGCTGTCCAATGCGGCAAGCTTGATGCCAAGTAGGTGTAACATTGTCGCTACGATAAGAGACCACGATGGTCATCTGGTATATGACTCTGACGTCCCGGCACGCACCTCAGCTTCGTAGGAACGCCTCGGCTCGCAGGCGTGCGCCACAGTGAACCTAGTTCTGTCTCACTATCGTACTTCTCATGCAGTTCTTTTGTTCAATGAAGAGTAGGCCAGGTATTGAGGAATCATGACAGAAGTACAGTGCAGAGTCATTCGCGAGCATGGACAAGCACTTGGCCAACGGTGAAGGTGATTTGTGGCAGCACCAGCATACTTGAAGGCGTCGAGGTACGAATGATTCATGAAAGTTACAGCGCCTTGCATAAGTCCGTGAACGCGCGGATTTTTTTCTCTCCGGCGTCTAAACTACCCGACCTGCCTAAACAGGCCATATCACGGTCACAGGGACTACTCCATGACAGCGCATCACGGCCCCGTTGGTTGACCACACGCGTACCCAGGTAAATCCACAATGTTTTGAAGTATGGATATGCGTGCGGTACTTCCATGTCTGTATTTGAGTGCCCATTGGCCCCCAGGGGATCCTGTACCCTGATCTAAACAGGAGGTACCATAGTAAAGGTGCAGTCGCATATACATGATCATGCCTGAGTCAGTGCAGTAGCTTCAATGTGTTCTCAACATGTTTCATCAACCATATGCATGTTAGACTCTCAAGCACTTCGGAGCGACTTGAGGCTGGCCACCCACAGCATCGCAAGTGATGTAATTATTGGCAAGGGCCCGTTTGATATGATCTCGTGCAGTGACTGTTGCCCTCATGCAAACTATCTCCGTGCACCATAAACACTGTATGACTACAAGTACTTATGCACGAGTCTACTGGGCCCATGGCATACTCACTCTTGGAAATGCCAGTGGCCCAGCTAGCGGGCTCAGCCTCAGGGGAGCTCTCACTACGGGCACCGCCTCGAATCGTTCTTTGTCAAAGGGCTGTAGAACCTCTGAGCAAGTACAACTTTCCCATTGCCGACCCTTCAGTGTCCTTTGGCACGCGTCGGCAAAGGGACAAGTTACGACTGTCCCGAAAACAAACCTCCGTTTCACGCGAAGGGATCCCGAGCGCTGCCCGTCGTGTCTGGGCCTGTGACCATGATGTGGCCTGTTTAGGCAGGTCGGGTAGGGTAGACGCCGGAGAGAAAAAATCCCGCGCGTTCACGGACTTATGCAAGGCGCTGTAAAGCGGGCCACTTTGTAGCGCCCGTGATATGGCTCAGTCTGTGGTCACGTGATCCAGGAATTTCTTGTGCGCTTAAACGGAAGTCTTGCATTTGGTAGACCGCAACCCCAGCTCGATTGTTGTTACTCCTCCCCTTCCCTCTTCTCTTAGCGCTATGCCGTCAAAACTGAAAGGAAAGCAAGTGCCTGCAAGGGAGGCGTTTCCTGTGAAAGCACAAGTCAAGAGCAAGAAGCCTATCCCACCAACGAAGCTGCAGAAACGCGCTGACAGTTCCTCGGACGAGTCGGAAGAGGAGGCGGACGGCTTGGACGCGGAAGACGATATAACGTCTGGATCTGAGGAGCAGGACGAAGATTGTGAGGATGTTAGTGAAGACGACGGCTCTGACGAAGAGGATGTGGACGAGGAGGGCATGAACAGGCTCATGAAGGCGCTCGGAGAGGATGGTCTGGACGAGTTCGCGCAAGAGCAGCTGCGCGCCCTAGACGAGGACGAGGATGAAGACGAAGATGAGGAGGAAGCGGGAGAGGCCGCCTCCGGAGACGAGGAAGAAGAGGACGCGGAGGAGCAGGAGGGTTCAGGCGAGGAAGAGGATGAGGATGAGGTAGAAGAGGCAAATAAGGCTGGTCCCAGTACAGACATCGCGATAGCCGTCGACGAGCTCTCGGCTGAGGAGATGCTAGACGCGGATGCCATGCCTCGACAGAAGGTCGAGATTGACAACAAAGTGCGCTCTATACTACGAGCTCGCTTTCTTCTCTATCTAACGACCATGCGTGGAAGATCGCTATGGAGCGCATACGCGCGACCATCGCACTCGGCCCCTCATTACCGTGGACTGAAACTTTGACTGTCACATACCCCGAGACCATTAACGTTGACGTTGAGGACGACCTTAACCGCGAGTTGGCGTTGTACGTATGATTTCCTCCTCCCAATCTCATATCCCCCTCGTACCTTCTTGACTGACCCTCCACCCTCTTCGCGCGCAGCTACAAGCAAGCCCTACACAGCGCGCAAACCGCCCGCTCGTTCGCACAAAAAGCCAACTTTCCATTCACGCGCCCCGCCGACTACTTCGCCGAGATGGTCAAGAGCGACTCGCACATGGAGCGCATCCGCCAGCGGCTGCTCGACGAGAGCGCAGGCATGAAGCGCGCGGAGGAGAAGCGCAAGGAGCGCGAGGGCAAGAAGTTCGGCAAGCAGGTGCAGCTCGAGAAGATCAAGGAGCGGCAGCAGAACAAGAAGCAGATCGAGGAGCGGCTCAAGGGCCTCAAGCGGAGTGAGTCTTGCGTCACCGAGCGTTGATATCCTTCGCTGGGATCGAAGCTAATCTTGTATTGCCATACAGAACGGAAGGGTGCACTGGACGGCGACGCAGGCGACGGCGAAGACTTCGACGTCGCAGTCGAGGACGCGATCGCCGACCGCCCCTCCAAGCGCGCCAAGGGCCCGAATGGCAAGCCCAAGCTCCCGCGCACAGCACGCGACAAGAAGTTCGGGTTCGGTGGTCCTGGTCGGCGATCAAAACAAAACACGAAGGACTCCACGGACGCCTTTGTTCAGCGCGGCGGGCCTGGAGGCAAGGGCAAGGGTAGCAAAGGTGGGAAGGGAGCTAAACCGGCGCCGAAGCGCCCTGGGAAGAGCAGACGGATGGCACAGCGGAGCCGGTCATAGCGATATGTGAACCGTCGTAGACAGCGTGAGTTGGTCGGTGTGTAGGGTCGTTACGCGTGCCATGTCATTTGTTGGACTGATAGTTTGGGAGGCAATATACGCATTCATCTGACGTGGTCAATCACGCATATGACAAAATGGCTGGAAATTAGATGTCATATCCGGAACCTTTGCCTCTGGTGCTATGCGAATGTACGAGACTGTTCCTATTACGCTGGTCTCTACATACCGTCTTGCAGTGCAGTGAAGTAGTGCCTCTTGGGTGCTGCGCGTGTCATCTTGTGCTACAAGCGCCTATGTCCCCACAATCGCCTACTGTCTAGAAACCAAGTTATCTGCAATTGAGGAGGAGTTCACAAGTGCAACTTCACATACAGTAGTACAGCGAATATCCTAGTCAATATTGGTACATAGGGGGAGACCTCTGTCTCGAAAAGAGGTCCCTACCAGACCGTGCTTTTAAGAGAGACGACACGACCAAGAAAGCTGGCCGGCCTCGGAGACCACTCGAGAGCACTGCAAACGAGCACAGCCATACAATCTTACAAAGCTACGGACGTATACACTCTCAGCTCTCATAGCTGGTGGTATCGTGAAACCTTTTCGCTTCCACATCATCTCGCAACGTCTGCGATCAAGAAACGTCAGCTCGGTGCCATACGAAGACCGAGAGGCCGCTGCCACCCGCCGCGGACCCCTAGCACGAGGTGCAAAATGCAGACAAGACTCGGACGCACCGCTCGTGTGTACCGGGAGCCTGTAGTGATCGCCCGGCCGACATACGGAGGATAGTCCGTCATATCGGTCATCATGCTATCCCGATCTGAAACCAGAGTACGCTGATTGAGCGCGCTGCGCTGATCATAGGCGGCGGTGCTCATGCTGCGCTCGTCGTACGGGGCGAGCCGTACGCTTAGCTGTTCGTATGCAGGCTGAGGATACGAGGGCTGATCGACGAACTCGATGGTCTGCACGAGCGTAGCGCGCATATATGTAGTGAAGGTCGCGCCGCCGAGGTGTGTTCCAAGCGAGGGATCCGGGTCCAGAGATGTAGCAGATCATCAGCACGTCCGATGCAAGACGTGATTTGACATTGACAAGCGGAAGATGGAGGGAGGAACCGGGAGACTGATCAGTCAAATTCGCCGAGTTTGACGAACGGGTCGGACGTGGACGTACCGCCATCTGCTGTCTTGAGGGCACGGGCAGGGGTGGCACCTTGCTGACTGGCCTGCTCTGTGCCGCGAAGAATACCGTGGATGGCTTTGTGTTGTCGAGCGAGGAATCCATGACGATCTTGCGCAAGCCGACGCGGGCGTTGAGCCTAGGGAGCGGATATATCAGCGAAGGACTCAGGGGAGAAGGACGGGCAGATTCATACGTAGCAAGCATAGAGATGTTGTAGACTAATGGTGAGGGATGGTCTGCGTCAGGACTGAATACGCATATGTCGACGGCGTGGTCACGCACTCTTTGACAGAACGTTGTGGAACGCGAGCCACACGAACGTTCGCGGGAAAAGGATTTTCTGAAGAGATGTCAAGGTCGGCGCGACAGATGACTGTGGGAAATTGACAGTTCACTGACAGTCAGGAAAGTGAGCACCTGGACCCAGCTAGTACCTATCGGTCAGCACGCAGAACCCGGCGTGGAGTTGGATGCACTTACGCCGCGATTGCGCCTCTGTTGACCATAAATATGATGATGCGGTTGAGCATGACATTTGTTCTATTTGTTTTATAAGGTGTTATGGCTGCGTCAACTACCGAGAAGACGGCTCAGAGAAGCATACAACTGCTCACTTGGGTCGGCCGCCAGGGATCTTCTCGCCCCACAGATACACGCACCACGTAATGGTGATTCCGATGTCCACGATGTTACCCGTGATCCAGTTGGCGATGAGCGGGTGCTGCAAATACAGTTTGAGCCGCAGCTCCGTACGTTGTGACAGGAAGGAAGTAAGGCGACGTACAACAACTTCGGGACCCGCAGTATCCAGCCACGATGTGTCGTGCAAGCTGTGTTGCCAGGTTACCTCGTAAGGGACGTGGGCTGTCAGTCTGAAAACTCACCTGACGGCAAAGATGACTGTTGTGCGGCGGTCAGAGACGAAGATCATGCCAGGTGAGAACATGCGTACCGACGACGAGAACTTGGAGGCGAATCAGCCAAATTAGCTATCGCTGCTGATATGCTTCTGTAGAGCAGGCGTACCCCATGACACTACAGCTACAACACCCTGCGGAGGCTGTTCAACACAAGGTCACCTCCACACTACAAATGGGAGTTACTCACAAAGAACAGAGGAATGTACCACAGGTGCGGCCGGACTGCGGGGCCACCGCCTTAGTGACAAAAGGTCGAGGAAGCAAGCAAACCTAGACTTACGATGGTACATGCGCAGGATGAAGAAACTGGCAAAATTTCAATCAGCGAGAAGTCATGCAGAAGCAGGAGCCTCACATCTGCACAATGAATACCACAGTGTACTGCGAGCATATCACAGAAAGTCAGTGTATTTGCCTCCGGGAAGCCGAGGGGTGTTACACACGGTGACCAGAAGTTCAGCCTGAGTGTCATGATGATTAGCTAGTGGACGCGACTACGGACTCATAGTAACATACCTGTGCGCTCCTGCCAATCAAAGAATGTGTCAGTACCCGCTTAGTGATTGTAAAGCGGACAGAACCCTACCAAACCTCCTGACGAAGTGCTGATACATTATTGAAATTTGAGATCAGATAGTAGTAACATGCATGACTGTCAAGAACGAGTGTAAGGCAGTCGAGAGCCCTAGACGATTCGTATGAGCCTAGTGAGGGCCTAGAGATTCTGTCCATGTGCCCACCATAAGACGCCAACCTATGCGGGCCGCGAGTGAGTCGACTCGTTGTTTTGACCAGGAAGAGAACCCACTCACAGTCAGCTTCAGCACCCTTGGGTCCTGAGGAAATTGTTCGTAGTAATAAAGGGTCTGCAAACATGTGGCTCCGAAGAGACTAGAGCGCAGCGATAGGTCAGGAATAGGGAGCATTTACAGAAGGGGCACTGACACTCCGGTGACGATGACAGAGATCAGATACACGCCGTATGTGCTCCCGAGCTCAACAGCGGGAGACGCACCGGTGGCAGGGACGATAACGGTAGAGGCCATGGTGCGACTGAGTTGGACAGTGCCTCGGGTGACCGAGATATATAGCTGGAAACCGACGGAGTGATGATGCGTTGATCGAGGGTCGGACAAGTGCTACCGTACAAATTGGCTGGAAGCGTTACCAAGGTTCGCTGACATCTCTTGACGCGGTCGATAAGGTCCTTCTCGCAGCAGTGTGAGATGATTCCCACAATGTTGAACGTTCATCGGAACTTTTGATGGCAAACTTTGTCCGTATACGTCACCGTGCTCGCCGCACAAAGTGCCTCTCACGAAGTACTTGCTGCACCAGGGATAGGTGACACTGCCCAGGACCATCGTGTTCTGCCATTGGACAATGTATCCGCGTGCAAGGTTCGACAAGAGCGATGTGAGCGTAGGTTCGCCTAGTCTCCATCATCTGCCAATAGCTTTGTTTCAAATGAGATGGAAACGCCAGACGTCAAATATCCAGAGAATCTTCTGACCACGCCCTTACACGTTCTTCGTGTCGATTCCGGGCAAGAGCCAGGATGTGCATCATTATCGGCGAGTACGCGAGACGGACAACGCTTTCGGGCTGGGAGAGATGCGTCTGATGAGCGGAGGTCAGTCACACAAACGAAACATAGAAGACTGATTAACTGTACAGGTGATTTGCTATGAACAGTATGTACTCACCACTAGTACTGAATTCTTTCCTTACGTTGTGATCCAGATGCACAGCTCCGGCCTCGGAGCGACCGCCACATGCCCTGTTAGATGTGCAGATCGTGCCATCGTAGACAATGCGGGGAGCAAGATTATCTATTGGTTTATTGCATCCCTTGCAGCGCTGGACGAGAAGATGGTAAGAAGACGATGATGGGCCCGAGTCGGACGGCGCTGTCGACGACTTCTCATGCTACTGAACCGCCCGCAGTCGGCAAAATCCGCCTCCCAAACCGGGCACTTTCCCTTTTCCGACTCTGCACCGATCAGGATAAGTCTTCACACGCCAGGGACAGTTTCGATGACGTTCTCGACCATGGCCAGCTCGTTGTTGCAGTACTTGCACATACTGACGACGACGACAGCCACACCGACAATCACTGCCCCACTACCTTCTACCATGTCTTCTGCGTCAACGCCATTGCCATCAAGCGGGTACGCTTCTCCTGCACCATTGCTCACTACTCCTGCTCCCCCCAAACCTAACAACGCTGCCCCCAAACCGAAACCGGTCAATGTGTTTTCTAACGATGGTTCGTTCCTAGAACGCTTCCAGCGACTGAAGAAGGTCTGTATCATGTGTTGTTTCTGTGTTGCATAGCATTGAGACACTAAGAATTGCTGCGATCTTACAGGAGGAGGATGAGAAGAAGAAGCAGGAGGAAATTCTAGCCAAGTGCGGGTCCTTCACCCTCAATCTCTCGTGCATTGCCACTAACCATCTCCGTCTCCCCCACAGGAAGCGCGAATTCGACAATCGCTTCGTAAGTGATGTCCGTATTTGACCTGATCGTGAGTCCTCATTGTCTCGCCACAGAAAAACCGGGGCAAGCGCCGTTCTCCCGATACCTCGAGCTCCACCCCTGCCACAGAGAATCCCGCCAAGAAGGCTAAAGTCGAGGAGCCGTTGAGTGAGTCCTCACATTCTGGTATCGCTAGCGTATCCGACGAGAGTACTGAACGTACACAAGACCAATATAAGAAGGAGCTACAGAACTATGCGGACCGGAGCCTGAAGGACAGCGGAATTGGTGTGAGACCCTTGGTCAAGTGAGCATTCCCATTCTACACTGCAATCGACAATTTGTGTATGTGCGTCTGCCGCTATTGCATCCCAATCGAGATATCGGCTCACAAACTGTCTTCTAGTTTTATGCGTACTTCTTTTCCCTGGTCACTGGGTACTACCTATAGTTCTTCGTATTCCGTACATAATGATCGAAGCAATCCACCTTTGACACCCCTTGCACATACCGTTCCAGGTGACTGACGAAATTGGCATTGCATCCATGCGCCACAGTTCTAGACTCATGCTCTGTCGAGTTTGCAGTCGTCCTTCCGGACTTACTCTGCATTGTTCAACCCTGTGCGATGTACGGAACGCCTCCCTCTTCCTGGCTCTCGAGACACCGCAGCCGCGGGACGAACAGTCCCGGGCGTATACCTTGCGCCAGTTGCTGCTGAAACGACTCTCGCTTAGCGGCAACCCGCGCAGCCACGTCTTCCTCCATATATTCGTCTTGTGACGGCAACCTTGGCGGAACCTTCCACTTGTGCACAGATACGGCGTCGATTGCATCGCCGCGCTTCCTGCTATTACTGCTTCCCACAAGGTCGTCGGCGGTCTTATCGGCGTTGACGCCTTCGAGATGGAGGTTCGGGCTTGACGCACACACACTGGCAATCTCACCAACAGGTCCGTTCGACAAGTACCGTCGTTCCTCCCGCAGACGTTCGCGCTCTTTCCTGGCCTTGAATGACGGGGTGACAAAGCTGGCCGGGAGTGCCTTCGCGAGCCGTTCTGCGATCGCGAGACGGTGCATCCGCGAGTTTGCCCTGCTTTTGTTTTGGTGCTTGTCTGTTGCGTTCGGTTCGGTTAGGCCGTTCGCGCTCACGCCTGCCGACGCTGTTACGGCAGATTCAGAGATCGAGGCAGCGCCTACAGGACCTTCGACGGTTCTTGTTACAGGTGTCGCCCCTCCTACAGATACCGCAATTGCACCCCTGATTCGCGAAGCTGAACTGGCCGCATGTTCAAGTTCTTCGTTCGGGGTTCTGGTTCTTGAGCCCCAGTGGGCGTGTTGCGCCTGTGAGCCTGAGTCTATTCGCAGTGGTCCGACCCCGCGCGGAGAGTGAACGGTGATCGTGTCATCTTGTATTGCCACTGTTGTCCGATCTGACATCGGAAGGGGAGCCGTCGAGGCCATGTCGGTGCTGACACGCCTTCTCTTAGGACTATTCGAGGCGTCGTCTTCTTGGTCCAAATCATGGGCTGCAGTAGGCCGCTTGCGGAGATTGCGGAGGTCGAGGAGAGGCTCTGGGCTTCCGTGGGTAGAAGATCCGACAGCTACGGCCACACTGCTAGGAGAATCTTTTGCATGGTGTGTATGCTGAGGGGAGGCGTGGGCAGCTGGAGCGAGGAGGGACGCAAGAGGAGCGAGGGTGTGCCCGTGACTGCGCGACGGACGTTCGTCCTTGTCCTTGAAAAGGCCAGGGGGCTGTCTTGTCCGCGTGGCCGGTGTGGGGATAGCGATTGCCTTGTCCTTCCGAGCTGTATTGAGCGCAAAAGGAGAGCTCAGTATCGTTGCACGGTGGGGCGTCTGCGGCTTTTCCGCCTCGCCCGCGACGGCGGTATTTAATGTTTGTGGTCGAGGCAGCGTTATACACGGTTGCGTACCATCCTCCGCAGAAGGTGGCGAAGAGGACTTCAGCCAATGGGTCAGGCCTTCGGATCCCCGCTTTGACGACGGGGTGAGCGGCAAGTCACCAGGCAGCTGCACGACCCGCGAAGGGCCCGCGGCAGGCTGCTGCGGAGTGACCGGCGACGAGACCAAAGAGGGAGACGTCCTATCCGCATTCAAAATCGCGTAGAAGCGCTCCTTTGCGGGAGTCCCAGCCTGGTCTCCGAAGAGGTAATTCGCAAAGAACTCGTGCTCCTCCTCGTGATCGTCGTCGTCAGTCTCTGAGTCGGGTTCGGGGGACCGGAGGGCCTTGGGAACATTACGGTTACGCTCGATGCGGGCCATCGCGGCTGCCGCCTCCGCCATAGTCGCTCTCCCCTGAAAAACTCGTTTGGGCTTGTCTGGCGCGCTGGGTGGTGGCGGGGGCGAGGAGGGTAGCTCCGGATCCCGAGCGGTACCTTTGCTACGGAGACGTTTGGAAGGCTGGGCAGGTAGACTGGAAGCGGACGGACGATGACGTCCATCAAGGATCTGCTCGACCTTGTGGCGTAGAGAGCTAGGGAGATATTGCTTCATGACGGACAGCTTCCTGCGCATGCGACCGCTGTCTGCCCACTTCTCCGCGATTTCCCGCGCACCGTCGCCCTCGAGGTTCTGAAAAGCAACGTCCTCGCCTTCACCACCTCGCATGGCAGCGTCCAGCTCACTGAGCTCCGACGCGGACGGTGCGACGCTCTCGTGAGTCGACGGGGAGGCTTCAGCCAGGCAGCCAGCGAACATCTTTTGTATGCAAGCCGCGTCTAATCCTTTCAGAGTCGGATCGAGTGTGTTCGGTACTACGCGCCGCGGCTTGAACAATGAAACAAGATTCCGCAGTTCTGGCAGCGTTGAGTGTCGTGCTAGCGGGACAAGCTATGGGGAAACATGGTATCAGTGCCCGGCACGCGCATATATTGACTACCGTACTCACCAGCACGTTCACCTGCTTGCCTCTCTGCAGCTGCTCTCGGGTTTCTTGGAGGTACCTTTGCCACGAATTCACGTCCATATTCACTGGATTGACGTAAACCACGTGATGGCCGCTGGGCGTGTGGGACTCCCGACCGACGACCCGGACGTGCTCGCATCGCTCGAACCGCTCGCAAGCGTGGAATCGTGTCGACGACTCGTCCCTAGTGACAATCATCTGGAGGAATGGGTCGCCCGATATATGTGCATACACGGAGTGTTTGTAGCGGTCAACGTGTATCTGAGCGACACGTAAGCGGAAGCTCGTTGAGCAGGTGAGCTAAGTGCGGAGTCACATACTGTGGTATCGAACCTTTGGGCCACTGCCTTGTAGATATCTTCGTACCCCCAAGTCCAGAGATTGAGGAAAAACCGTGTAGTAGAGGGGTATAACGCCATCAGTCCAGTCAACCCTGCAGCTGCTTCGACCTGGGTGAGGAAGATTAATACTCATGTATTCGTAACTAGTGTACCACGTACCTTGGGTGGGACTTCATAATCGTTAAGCAGGCATGCCGTGTCAAGGTAGATGGCGTCAAGGGTAGAAAGCACGTGGGCGGACGACGAAGAACGTGGATTGTGAACATAACGTTGAATGTAGGGATTGCGCTTTAGGTTCTCGAGGAACAATGGCTCTGCCCGCAAGTCTCCTGTGTGCAGCACCGTACCTTTCGCTCCCTCCACAAGGAACCTAGATATCATGTTCACACATCAACGCCACTCGTAAGCGATAGCCGAAATGAAAATTTACATAACAGCGCCTGGGCAGTGGTTAGCATCGAGCAAGGTGATAGTGACGTCCTCTTCGTTATTCAGGATGAAGCGCGTCGGGAGGTGGATATGAGTAGCGCGCTATATGCGCAAGTCTCTTGTTAATGAGAAGCCGCATGATCACGGGGAGACGACCACACACCAACAGATCCCTCGAGCCCGCATAGTCTACACTCCCATCGTCCATCCGCTGTGGTTCGACCCGCAAGTGAGAAAAAGCCCGCACATTTTCTGCACGTAGTTCGGCGTCGCGCAAGGCACGTTCAGCATAAACCTGGTGGCGGAGTAGCATCTCTTTTGCGTCGTGCGAGCACACGACCGTCTGGGCAAACGATCGTGCAGACAGGCCTATCAGGTGGTCCGTGTGAGTGTGGGTGAGGAGGTAGAGATTGGCTGTCTTCTCTCGCCCAGAGAACGAGTGTGTCGACAAGGCGGGGTCGGTGAACTGGTCAACGCGGATGGGGTATGGGGGAATGAAGGCGTTGTAGGGTGTTCCCTGAGGCATGGCAGCTGCTGCAAAAGAAAAGGAACGCCTGAAACAAGCCGGATACGTGGTTTTTAGTCAAGGGCCGAAGTTGCTTGAGGATGGAACAGCTTCTGTGGCTGGAAGCGTTGTGGTTGTGGTCTAAGGCATGAAGAGGACGTTATTACACAACATAAGATACAATGGAGCGGGTTCCACTTACCCTTATATGTACGTGCGCTGATGTACAATAATCGGAGCAAATAACCCGCTTCTGGTCTTGTTCACGTTCGCATTCGATGATGTCACAAAGCTCTGGCTATAGTTGATGGACGTCGTGCACCAGTTTGCGTTGATTTGTCGCTGGGTTTGCCAATGCGTCTTGAGGCACCCAAGAAATATTCACAGCATAAATTAAGAATAATTAGAGGTCGCAGGGAGTCCAGCGACAGGAGGGGTGGAAGACGGTCAGGAGAGGTTGGGCGGGAAGGACACAGTCGCGCTGCAGCAGCACGCGTGACCGTGGGTTGCCGGCAGCGTGTCAACCGTCACAGATCACGTGTATCTCTGTCACCTAAGATCGCTCCCGTGGCCACGTCTGACTGGGGGCTGAAACGTATGCTCTGCTCGAGCTCTATGGTGCAGTTCAATTAGTGGCATCCACTTTTGTACGCAGTTAAGCGCGCGCTTAATGATCACGTGACATGGCCTTACTTTCGAGTCAACGGTTTTTGCTCAGCGTGTCGGGCGGGGTCGGCGATGCTTGGCCCGCCACTTGGATTGACCGACATACCATATATAGTATAGTACATACCGACCACGATACAGCATGTAGAGTAGTATGCTTTTTCAATCACAATACTACCTGATTATCCCTGTCCCTGATACTCACCGACAACATGCCTCGACGAAACAAAGCCCATATGGCGGCCGCCGCACGCGCTCAAGCAGGCCTTGCAAGAGCTCGCCAGGCCGCGCAGATGGAAGCTCAAGCGCAACAAACCTCCATGGACCCACTATCCCAAGATGCGATAACGTCCGAGTCTGAGTCTTCCCATGACCGCTTTGAGGACGCCGATCCTCCCGAGTCCCTTCGCGATCTGGCCGTGGGGGATCCTCCCGTGGCTGTAAGCTCCCCGGAAGATGCTGGACAAGGGGATGTCTCTGGGGAGGAATCTGTTGAGGAGCTCGAAGGCGATGAGCTCCTCGATAACCTGGAAGTGCAAGCAAAGTCAGCGTATGTCGGACTTATGGAGCTGAAGAGCAGACTGCAGTGGGCACGAGCGGAGAGCGAGCTCAGGGGGGTTCGTACCGGCGGAGCTGCGCGTACTGTCCGAAAACACCGCCAGAACGAGCAATCGAAGGAAATGTCAGACGCTATAATTCGCAATTCGTAAGTAAAGCATCTTCCTTGAGATAAAACAGAAACACTCATCAATATATTTGACAGCGTTGAAGCGGAACGATTCCGGGCTTTTTTTAAGCCAGAGAAAGCCAAAAGTTTGGAAGGGCCAGCACTCACCGCAAACGAGCAAGCCCGCCTCGCTGGCGCGACCGCTCGTCAAGGCAGCGATGCCGACTTTGCGCGGCTGCAGATCCCGTCGAAGGTTGCTCGTGTTGCAGGCAAGGGGTGGACATTTGTCCCACCTGAAGACGACCTGCGGCCGGAGACCTTGCCCGCTGGTGCACGAGAGGCCGTTGCGCAGGCGATTGCAGTGGCGAGGCACGAGTCCGACGCCGCGTTCCTCAACCGCATGTCCGCGCGACGAGTTCGCGACGAGCTCGTTGAAGCCCCCGACAACCCGAAGCGCGTCCGTCTGGACCACGAACAGGTTCTTCGTGATGTCCGACACCCCTCGCTTGCCGGTGCCGGGGAGCATGCAGACCCTGGGCTCCACGCTGTTGAGCGCGGCGAAGAAGATGGTGGCAATGAGCTCCGTCTGCGCCATCGCGACACTGTAGAGCGCGGCGGAGAAGACGGCGAATTGGATCGCGTTGAGCTCCGTCTGGATCCTCTCGACGCTGTTGAGCGCGGCGGAGAAGACGGCAGAGGGCGCGTCAAGAGCGGCGACCTGGAACTCGCAGACTTCCTGTCTGACATGTCAGAAGATGTGGAAGATGCACTCTCCGATGGTACGCGACAAGAACAAGACGAGTGGTACGAAAACGAGAGCGTACCTGAAGCCGTTGTCTCATTCCTCCCCATGCCCGCCCTCCCTGTCCCCTCCCCATCCCATCCCCTTGTTACAACCCCCTCGACCATCCCAGCTGTCCCATCCCCATCCTACCTGGCCCCAATCCCATCCCAGAACCACCCCGCGCCCTTAACACCCAACCCCGCCACACTCCCCCCAAAAAACACGACGTACCTGTGCACAAGGCCCGCCAGCTGGTCCGAGACGCGGCTCGAGAGGCTCGTCGGGAAGCCCTCGCCGACATGAGGAGGCTCTTGAACTCCCAGAAGACCGTCCTTGTGGGGGGGGTTAACGGCTTGCAGTCGTACCGGGCGCGGGCGATTCAGGCCTGCCTCTACTTGATGGACCGAGAAGGGCAGGGGATGATGGCGGCGTCCGAGGTGGCAGCACGAGCCAACCTCTTCTCCGGGAAGTGGGGGGCGCGACTTGTCCGCAGGTGGACCCAGGCGTGGGTGAAGACGAGGACGCTGCCAGAGTCCCAGCGTGGGCGGCATGCGAAGGTTTTGTCGGTTCTCGGCCATCCCACGGTGCGCGCTGCAGTGCGCGCTTACCTTCGCTCTGAGAAATGGAGTCAGGACCCCGTAAGGCTCAAAAAATTATTCAATAACGAGCTCAATGCAGCGGAAGCCCTCGAGTATCGTCGCGTTCTCGAATCAGAAGAAATGCCCAATGGGCTCAAGGATTTTGTTACGACCGTAATTCTCCCCCAGTACCATCTCAAACCTGGTCGCCTCGGACTGTCCCGCTCAACAATGCGCCGCCTGCTTATCAGTGAGGGCTTCACCTGGTCCGAGCACCGGAAAGCCGTTTATTACGATGGCCACGAGCGACCCGACGTCGTAAAGGATCGTAATGAGCGCTTCATCCCGGCAATGCAAGCCATTCGATATCGCCTTGTCCGATACAAGGTTGGTGCTGTGGATACTGAAGAACATCCTGATCTCCAGTTGAATGGTATCCTCGTCCGTCCTCGTCTTGTGCTTGTTGCGCATGATGAGATGGTGGCTCAGGCGCATGACGGGAAGCGGTGGAGCTGGCTGCTCAACGGAGAGTCTCCGCTCAAGAAGAAGGGTCCTGGGCGGGGGTTGCACCAAAGTGATTTCATTTGCTCAACTGTCGGGTGGTTGCTCGAAGCCAGTGTTACCCTGGAATACGGCAAGAATCACGAAGGATTCTGGAACGGTGAGCTTTTCTGCAAGCAGGTACATATCATTGCTATTTCTGTATATGAATCAAACTTATGCAGTTATTGTCACAGTTGACAGAGAAGTTCTTCCCCGCATTTAAGAAGGCACACGGAGATGGGTACATTGCATGCATACTTGTCGACAACTCACAGGGCCACTCAGTATATGCACCCGATGCTTTGCGAGCCTCCAAGATGAACCTTAACCCGGGAGGAGCGCAGCCTCACATGCGTGACGGATGGTACTTACGGGACGGTGAGAAAGTGACACAGCCGATGAATTTCCCCTCCGATCATCCATCGCACCCCAACCAGCCCAAGGGGATGAAGGCTGTTCTAACGGAACGTGGGCTATGGCGTACAGGGCTTCTTATGAAGTGCAAGGGGAGCTGTGCGGAAGATGCTGTGGAATGCTGTGCAACACGTATTCTCGAGCGACAACCTGATTTCGAAGCTCAGAAGTCACGGGTACAAGAGATCATTGAGAGTGAAGGTCAGTGGATTGGCTGTAATGGGTAAACTCAATCTGAGATGTTGATAGGTCATATCTGCATATTCTTGCCAAAATTCCACTGCGAGATCAATTTCATCGAGTACTTTTGGGGTGCGGTGAAGAACTGGCTTCGAGAGCACTGCGATTATACTTTCGAGACTCTCCGGGAGAACATGCCGAAGGCACTTCGGTCAGTGTCAGTTGAGCTGATCCGAAAATGGGAGCATCGGGCTTGGAGGTTTGTTGACGCATATGCTGAGGGCCTCGGAGCGCGGGAGGCACAGCAGAAAGTGAAGGAATTCAGTTCGCGCAGGTATAAGTCCCACCGCCGTATCCCGGAGCAGCTGGCACAGGCGATGGACGCCACGTAGCATTATGTAATATTATCTCTTTAGTAAATAAACGCCCGTGTCACGTGCTGCGGCCTTACTAATGAGGTCAACTTTGCCAGTTTTGACCCGATCGAAAATCGCGTTTAGGGATCAGTCCCTCTATTCAAATCCTTACAATTGACAGATTATGGGAGGGTTTCATAACAATCTAAGTGACTTGTAAGGCGGCGCTTAAGAGCGTACAAAAGTGGATGCCACTAATTGAACTGCACCATAGCAGAACGACGCCTGGGCTTGCACAAACACCTGCGACAGACTGAAAGTAGTGGCCAGTATCATAAGAAAGTCCTAGGACAGGTACAGGTACAGATACTTGGTGCTTACTATTGGCTGTACCATGTCGTCTTCGGGAACACTACAAGCACGCTGCACGGACACTGGATTCGGAGAATATACATTGGTACTGATGGTATGCAGGACGATTTGGACCCTCCATCGGCTGAATCACAACGTCACCCCTTCAGATTCTAATGGACGGACCTCATCTCGGGTATGCAATTGCCCAAGAATATAGGAGCATTCGCGTCTCCGACTGCGCGATTGCATTTCTTCAGATGGCTCAGGAACGTGTCCTTTCGCGAGAACTGCTTGCCACAACCGCCCCTCATCACCCAGCCACGATAACTGAACTCGCGCGCGCCCCCCGGGACGGTGTGCGCGTCCGGCGAGTCTGCGGGAACCCCCACACAAGCCCAGAGGGCATCGCCGTACTTCCGCTTGAGGTACACGGTGAAGTGCCCGATCTCGTGGCGCTTGAGCTCCTGGATGCGAGAGGTGGTCCTCTTACAGAAGCGGCACCGCTTCTTCCCAGGCTTCGCGTGGTTTCGACCGTATACGAGGTAAGGCCACTGCCGGAAGATCTGCTTCAATCTAGGTGCAGCCTCTCGACGGGAGGGGTACCCGCCGTGGTTTGCTAGCTCGTGAGCTAAGGGGTCGGGAGAGGAGGATGGGGATGGGAAGGCCGTTGTCGTGAGGCTGCAGCTCGATGCTGACGACGCCCTTAACGGCGTCGGAGAAGGCGAAAACGGAGAAGGAGCTGATACGGAGGGGAAATGGGCAGGCACCGCAGCAGCCTGGGTGGAATCATCGGGATGTTGACCAAACGACACCGCGTACGCTGTACCGAAGGGGTGGAATCCTTGGCCCACAGAGCAAAGTGCTGGCAGGATCTCCGCCGTAAATTCCGGGATCCTGTCCCGTATACTAGGGTCGTTTAGCATCTCCAGAGCCAAGGAGGCGTCCCCGAAGAACAAGCCTAGGTCGACGGCGGCTTCAGACATGCTGTCAGCTCTACAGACATAAACGGTCAGCCAACACGCGCAGACATGAGCGTCGAGGGAGACGAACAAGGGAGCCGGCCCTCTGTGTACATATCTTGTCCCAGAGTGTTGAGTGACGGAAGAAGGGGTCGGGGAGACTTGCGCCGTAGGAATACCAGATGAGGCCATGGTGCATAGTGAGAAGGGCCAGGAGTGAAGGGGAGTGGGGGTTTTCATATGGGAGGGCGAGGGCTGCAGCACCGTACTTCCCACCTCGTCGGTAGCACGTAGGTTGTAGGCGCTGTATGGCGTGGTGCGTGACCCCATGAGGGACCCTGAGCAAGATTGGAAGACTGAAGACGAGTGGGAGTGCATGGGAAACCCGATGCAAATGAATCGACAACTTAGAGGGGGGGATTGCGCACCAAGCGAGAGTACTCGACGTTTGGAGGGACATATCTGTGGAGGACTCACCAAGTTTTAAACCACTCAATCTCTTTGTCCTCCTGCACAGACAGAACGCAACCATGATGGCGAGGAAACTCCTCACCAAGGTTTCTTTGTGCTTAGCCTTGCCTCAATTCATCGCTCGAGAGTAAATGGAAATACATTCTCGATTGAGCCTGCACGGGTTACTTCGGAGTGGCACGGCAAGCTCCGCGGCATGAGGATGACGAGGCTGGTGGCAGAGTGTCCAAAGACTATTAAGGGTTGTGATTTCCTTTGTGTTCCCGGAGAGGCAGAGTGCGTTGGGAGGAGAGTCCGGGGAAAGAGGGCCAATCGTGGACGTACAGAGCGCATATATCCAGCCACCTCGGGTTTATGTGGTATCTCCAACGCCATTTGTTGAACGTCCGTTGCAGGACTCATCCGTGTGAGCAGCATTTGCAACCGGTCGGAGGACAAGAAAATATATTCTGCCTGCAGCACGCCGCCGGTGTCTCCCATTTGCTGCGATATCTAACCTTTTACGAACATCACATCAGTGCCGGTCGAGCAAGAGCGGAAGATTCGCAAGGAATTATGTCAGGAATGAGAAGGGAAACATACTCCATGTCTCAGATACAAGAAAACACTGAGGAACCGAATTTTCGGAGTCCCACTCGCGAATCTCAGCCGCCTGCTTTGGACGTTCCGCCGACAAGAGTAGCCAAATAAGGCTAAAGTGACACTCCAGCTGGTCGCATGATGGTGGAGGTCGGCTACGCCAAGTCAGGGTTCCATCCATCATATCGCATCTCCATCGGAGGGAGCAGGCGTCGAAGTTGCTCTGGCAGGGTGTCGAGCGGAAGACAGTCTATGTCGTTTGACGTAAATGCTTCAACAACCGAACTTCAGTCTTTAGCAAGCGCCTGTGACTTTCGTTGACACCTACAACGGTACACATCGAGAAGCACGGACCCTTCCTACACTCCGTCAACTCTCTTTCCTTGTGTAGAAGCTATGATTTGCACGATATCTCTTCCATCTCCCCATATTATCGGATCAGGATGTCTTTCAAACGCATACAACATCGATCCGCATGTCACGGTCCGGCGAAGAGCCTAGCCTCCACTCGGAGGGCTAAGAATGTCCCCTTCAGTACAAGAGACGATCTCTGAGCCCACGTGTAGATCTAATGCAACGTTTTGTGCCGCCAGATGCTTACTTCGATCACTGGGCAAGCACAATATTGTGCAACTAAATCCACTCGACGACCGTCCATCATCGACAGGACTATCTCCTGAGCTCATTGCGTGCAGGATTATAGTTGAAAGCAACGACTGTCGCGCTGTACATTTTGGCCGCCACACCCACCAGCATTACGTCGACATGCACTTCGTTGTATGTGTAAGTAGCAGATACCACTACAACTCGAGCGCTGATAACGTGCAGACACTCATAGGGTGTAGGTGCCAGATCAAGCCTTGTTCCGTGAATGCCGAAAGTTTGAGGTCACAAGAAGGTGTCCGACTGAGAGCACGGTGCTGGCTCAGCTAAGTACCTTTGAGCGACCGGATCGGATAATTTTTGAGACGTGCTCGCTTAACCCACTCGACAGTCTTGTTCGGTCCTGCAAGGCATTCCCCGGTTTCCAAACCTAAAGTGTATCCGCGTGGATCGCGCGCGGACACGGTTGAGAAGCGCCGACGTTGCTTTGCGCGAAACATGTCCCCCAAGCGCTGACCTCGGTCTAGCATTCGCCCTCAATCCGCCCTTCATCTGATCCAAAGTCGCCATACCGGGATCTGGAAAGGGCACAAGGATGCTTATGGGTTCAATTTTGGACGCCGCGGGACGGTGAATGAAAACGGACCAAATGTAAGCCTTGCACTCCCTCGTTGTTTCATCTCCCTGACCCATTCTCAGGGCTGCACTTCTGTGGCCGCCGTTTGGCGCTATTCGTTGCCGGCATTATGTAGCGTCGGGTGTCAGGCTATTACACAACGCACGCCTGTCCTCCAAGCTTAGAGTTCGAAGTTTTAGTGCTTCAATTTGGACATAAGGCGGTACGTTCATCCTCAGATGTCTTCCTTCTGTCCACCCACATTCATTCGTGACTTTCCAAGTGGAGACATCAGCACTTGGACATATCAGGTCTGCAATGAAGTGAGAGAAGTGTCTCCTCGGAAGACTTTGGCGACCCATCATGTTGACCTGACACCGCCTATGGAGCCGGATTGGGTATACGGCCTACTTTGAAGCTTCCTCGGAAGCGTGACAGCTCCTAGGGCATTACAGCAATAGAAGATACCATATTCGGGGTTCGACAACATATTTTGTCCCCTTCCCCCGCCGTAAGGTCATATGTGGGGTGTGGGACAATGATTATGTTCTCTCCTTACGTCAGGGCGCAGCTTCGTATGAATACCACGCCAGTAAATCAAGTGGCAGCGGACACACCATCTAACTCCCCGCCCACACATTCAGTCTGTCTCCGCGCCTGACCACACCAGGTAACACTACCATGACTTTCTCGTTCAGTCTGTCTGCGTCTCTGGGTCTCGTTTCCCTGGCCGTCCTTCTGGTTGTACTCTGGAGGTCAACTCTCCGTCAAGGCCCCTTGCCTCCTGGTCCTCCCCGTCTTCCCCTTGTCGGCAATCTCTTGGATATCCCAAAGATTTCGCCGTGGGTAGCTTATCGAGACCTCAGCAGAAAATATGGTATGTGTCATTGCTACGAAACCTTCCTTCGAAGTAACGGAGTCGCTTAACCTACACCAGGCAAGATTCTGTCACTGGCGGCGTTCGGTCAGACACTCATCATCGTGGATGATACTGATATCGCCGTCGAACTTCTTGAGAAGCGCTCGTTGAATTACTCGTCTAGGCCCGAGTCTCACATGGTCGCGCTGTACGTTCATCATCTTTGGAAGCATGCTCTTATATGACTTACGAATATCACACAGTGTAGGATGGGACTGGAATTTCGGGTTCTTCCCCTACGGACCGCAATGGCGCCGTTACCGGCGAGCATTTTGGCAACAGTTCGATACCGGCGCGGTAGCCAAGCATGACCCTCACGTAAGGAGAGGCGCCGCTATGCTGCTCTCAAGGCTTCTCCAGGACAAGCCAGAGCCCTCCGAAGATATACGCTAGTGAGCTAAGTGCGGCGGTCTGGCTTTTGAGCTCATTGATGATGTTCCTGTCTCGTACCCAGCACCTTGGGAGCTATTGTCATCGGGATGACCTACGGGATACAAGTTGCAGAGAAGGATGACAAGTATGTCGCTCTTGTAGAAGAAGGGAGTGCTACGGCAGAATACCTCCTTCCGGGTACGTCTATTCTCGAGTTCCTGCCCGTACTCGCGCGACTGCCTACGTGGGTGCCTGGTACCTCATTCCTGCGTACTCTGGAGCGCTGCCGTGAAACGGTTCGCCAGTTGCGACTTGTACCTTGGAATGACACGAAGCAGGATAGACTGGTGAGTGCTACGACATCCTCCGTATACCGACTTCACTCGCAGAGATGCCTTGTACAGGAAGTAGCGTACGATGCGAATAATATCGCCGCTGAGATGCGTGAGGCGCTGTCTCAGTTGACTGTTGAATCGGCGGCTGAGGAGGAAGCCGTGGCATTGGACGTCACTGCTTCCATCTACTCAGGTGAGAAAATATCGTTGAGATGTCTTGCGTTTCTCTGACGCTTCCTACTTGCAGCTGCTGCTGAGACGGTAAGTCAGGCGCAATGACAGTCCTGACCCCCAGTACTCTGACCTTCTGGAGTAGACCTTCGCTACCCTGTGTGGCTTCTTCCTGGCAATGTCCCTTTACCCAGACGTACAGAGGAAAGCTCAGGCCGAGTTGGATACCGTCGTTGGGCCTGGACGTCTTCCCGAGCTTAAGGACCTAGATCAGCTGCCCTACGTCAACGCGGTGGTCAAAGAAGCCTTACGCTGGCATCATCCCGCCCCTCTGGGTATACCCCATGTGAGCTCCCATGACGACGAGTATTCAGGCTACTTCATCCCTAAGGGCAGCGTAGTCCTAGTCAACATATGGTATGCCGGGATAAGGATGAGGCTAGTCGTGGCAACAGATGCTGAACAGACTATAGGTCTATCTTGCATGACTCGAAGGCGTATCCACAGCCAGATGACTTCGTACCGGAACGCTTCTTGAACGATGGCAAGCTTAATACCGCAGTCAGAGACCCTTCAACCGTCGCCTTCGGGTTCGGTCGACGGTACAGCTTGTCTTTCGTCTAGTGCCAAGAAACAGAGCACTAACGCGTAGCATTTTGATGACAGTATTTGCCCTGGGCGACACCTTGCAGAAAACATGCTGTTCACCTACATCTCGTGCGTCCTGCACACCTACAATATCACACCGCCACTAGACGAGCACGGTCAACCCATACACATCCGACCTCGCGGGAAGTCTGGCCTCGTATCGTAAGTGAATGCAAGGGAAACTCAATGTAGAACGGGCCCCTGACCTCGCTCGCACAGGTATCTGGAGGATGTCAGGTGCACAGTCAAGCCTCGGTCTGCGAGTGCTGAGGCGCTCATATGCACCTTTGCTGCTGAGCTACAGCAGCAGAATAGGGCGTATCAATGAAGACTTTTCAGGGCCCGGGATGTTTGGTTTTGTAATCCCTCGAGTGTCCCCTACCCATCGCTCTCTTTCCTAAGTCAATAAGTCTTGTCCTGTATCTTTCGGATCTGCTCACTTGACGCCTGAACGCGAGGGGCAGCAATCCATGCCGTCTTCTTCTCGAGCTCGGCCGAACGCTTGATGGACAGTCACGCCCTGTAGAGATATCCGGACCTGTCTCTCGAGCTGCGCACGTCAGAATACCAATAGGTCAAGATGGCAACGTCACTTTACTCGTAGCGACCGTCAAGTTGGCACCGAGCAGGTGGACTCTACCAATAGGATTGGCTAGCTTGATCGTCTCATTCGCGTCTAACTCGTTCTTGGTGGCAGAAATGGCGCACGTACGGCGTGAAACCGGACGTCACTCGTAGATGATCATCGCCTCCGGTGGCGCTGTGGACAATGTGGGTACCACCGTACCGGATGTATTGGCTGGGCGCTCCGAGAGCTAAGAAAACGATACGACTTCTGAGTGCTTTTCTTCTGCTCTGAAGATTGCTACGAGTGTATTGTGCCTTAAAGAAGAGATCGATGTGTGCGATAGAAGGGAAGACGTGCATGTGAGGGCGAGGAAAGGCGTGGCAGGGGCCGAGAGGCGACGACGAAACGCCAAACACTGCCGGATTTGGAGCGCACGGGGCGCCAGGCGGTCGTCACACCTGCGGAGGCCTCACCATGACCTCCGCGCTCACCGATGTAACAACCTGCAGCTCCTTATCTTCTCCCCCCACCTTCCCCCTCGTCCTCATCCCCATTCGAGAGTGTCTAGCCACACATCTTCGCCGGCGCTTGACTCGGATCTTGCGGAAAGGGAACACTGGTAGTGCCGCTCCGTACTGCGGGGGATTTAGGACGGACCGCGAGCCGCGAGTCGCTCTGAGACAGGGCCTGGATTCAGGATTGGTACCGTGACGACCCAAGCCTAACGTACACGCCCACGGCCTCCATGCACGTCTCCGCGATTCAGATCCACCCTCTTTTTGCGCTGGGGGTGCTCTCGCTGCTTCTTGGCAGAATCTACGCGCTATCTGTCCCGATTCCGAGGCAGCTTGTCGATGCCGATGGCCAAACCCCGCTACTTCCACCGAAGGGCGATCGGAAGTATGAGAATGGAGAGATGCCGCCTGTGAGGAACACGGTCGGATGGGTGGACCCCCGGCTGAATGGAGGACAGTTCCTTGATGTACGTTCAGCTCGACTCGATCGCTTTTCTGTATGGTGCTTATGAACCATGTTCTTGCTCTTCGCAGTATACCACCAAGACGCTTGGAGAACCGCTCAATATTATTATATCGGCAGAGTCCGATCCGTTCATCCTCACCGAGGCCGGGATGCAGACCTACATCAAGTACGTCCCTCTTCTTCACCTGAAAAGGTAGGGGCCGTTCACCGTCGCCCACCACCCTGACCTTCCCTATCAGATCAATCGGCTTCAACAGGGAGTGTCTTGGACTGCATTACGGACATATACACGAGGCGGACCTCGGCGACGGCCTTGGTCGCAAGTCGGAGCAGTTCCTCGGTCGGCAGCACTACTTCCCCATCATGGGTACCTGCTGGGAGTCGGCTGTAGGCGGCCATCACTTCCGTGCATGGCGACAGAACGGCAGTGAGGCTAATAGTGGAGCGTGGTTCCTTGGGTACGTGACTGAATGTGTTTGTACCCTTGACTGTTCATTCTGACTGCGTCACCCTCGTCGACATTGACAGGGCGTCCCAGGAGATGGACTCGTCCAAGAACCATATGATCGTCGAGGATGGTTACAACCGCGGGCGGAACTACATCGTCGACCTCGCTGCGCAAGGCAGCCATTGGCATGGGATGTGGTGGAAGGCGGAAGTGCAGTGGCAAGACGGCTTGCTTGAGCGCGGAACGCGAGGTGAGTGCAGCATCGGCTTCCCTAACCTAGACGAGACTCCCTGGTCATGTTCACTGACGCTCACCACACAGGTGTCAATCATGGCATCGAGCAGGATGGTCTTGTCGCCATATTGACCATTCGCCGGCTCTAATCGGTCCTCGGCTTCCCCGGGTCAACTTAGCGGAAGTGTATCTGACGTTATCCAACATATGTTTTCAGCTCTCAAGCACGTCTGTATCATCCCACCATCACGACACCTCACGATCTCATCTTTTAGATTTCGCACCCCATCCTCACCCGGTACCTCGCATGTATTTATCGCTCACTATGCCTCTTGCATTCGCATGGACTCCGCGGGGATAGTTTGTAGAGCGTTGTACACATGTACCATTCAAGACCATTCCTTGCTGCTGTGTTCAGGGAATTGTACGGCTAGTTGTATTTATGCGTATCCTCTGGATCCAACGTTTGTAATTTATGGTGTACTCAATTGGGAACAGTCACATTCTTGCGCACGTTCTTGCACTGTTAGGTCAGTTGCAGCGCCGCCTCCGCTTCCCTCCCACTGAGGTACGCCGATAGCTTATCTCACGCTCGAAGACAAGCACTTACCGCTTCCCAGGACGTGTTACCCCTTCGGTGTCTTCTGAATAGGACTGCGTTCTACCAAGGTGACCGTGCGCGCCTAGGGTGTATGCGACAATGCGACAAATGACGATAACGCACGTTTCTTGGCCACCGCATGCGCGCTCTTCTCGTCGGCAAAGACACTCTGCCGTCCAGCTCTCTGTCCGGAAAAATCCAACGTTTGTCGTGACAAATTCTAGGGTGCTCAGTACTCGGACTCACTCTCACCCAAACAAGCTTGCGATGTCCACAGATATGACTTCAGAGATCAGCTGAGGAGGGTTCAAGAAAGGCCCGAAGTGCGCTTCGACAGCTTCTGTCGCTCGAGTTCGCCAGGTGAGTCCTCTACAGCCAGACGTCATGTCCCATGAGGATCCGGAAACTCGACAGCTGGCCCCTCTCATCAGCAGTTGGGGAGCCGCCCCGTCGTACATAAGAGGTCGGTCCGAACGTGGGCTACCTTCTGTTCGGATTTCTCCCCTCGGGCTCGGTGACAGTACTTCCGCTTTGCTATCCTGCGAGGCTTGTGAGACTAGATACGTCCTCGTCCACGCGATCGCTATCTAGCTGCCCTCCCGTGCTCTTCAGGGAGCACCTCTGCTGCAGACATCTCCAGCAGTGACCGCTGAGTTCTCGACGCGACAGCCACCATGGGCGACGTTGTCTCACTTGATCTGGGGCCTGGGAAGGCATCGTCCGACTCTGTCCGCAAGGCTGAAAAGCCGGCGTCGCCGTCGTTCGAGAACCCGTCTGGAGATCTCGAGGGCAAGATGGTGGTCGAAGTCGAGGACCACGACATCTTCGACGGCAATAACGCCGCAATCGAGCCAGTGTATCATGCAAAGGCGAGGATCCTGAACGCGGCATTCCGGGAGATTGGGATGGGCAAGTATCAGGTGCGTCTTCGACGTCTACCATCTACCATGCTGTCCCGAGCGAGCGAGCGTCTCATCTTCGTTGACCCACTCTGTTCCAACTTCGCTCGCTGAGGGTCACATTCAAGCACACTGACGTCGTGCTATGTGCAGTGGTTCCTATTCGTCGTGGCAGGCTTTGGCTGGTTCTCGTGAGTTGCCTTGCTTGCAATTCTATCGATCTTATCGAGAACTGATCTCATTTTCTCGGCGCGCTTTTGTAGGGATAATCTGTGGCAGGTGAGTAGCTGTTTAGCCGTTCTATTCGACAAGCAATGACGTATATGTGCATGTACTCGTCTTTCTATCCGTAACATCCGACATTCCGCTTACGTCGTGTCGGTGGTACGCGTGCAGCAAGTGACTGGCCTTATCATCAACCCTGTTGTGCTCGAATTCGTTGGGACCAAGGGACCGTTCATCCTTCTCCCGCAGACGATCGGTCTCCTCGTTGGCGCCGTCTTTTGGGGTGTTGGCTGCGATCTCTGGGGCAGAAGGTGCGCACGGCCGTCAAGTATACTTTGCAATCTGATTGAAGTGGGGTGCTATGCTTGTCTATCCAGGTGGTCATTCAACCTCACCCTGCTTATTACTGGTGTATTTGCAATTGCCGCAGGTGGTGCGAACAACGAGGTTACGCTGTGCGCGTTGATCGGAGTATATGCGATCGGCTGCGGCGGGAACCTGCCTGTCGACTCTGCAGTATTCCTGGAGTTCGTTCCTGCGACACACCAGTGGCTACTCACAGTGCTATCTATCTGGTGGGCGATCGGTCAGCTCGTCGGCGCTCTGGTGAGTCCGAGGTGCATGCATGGTCTATACACTGGCTCACCTTGCCCTCCTTTGTTCAGGTTGCATGGCCGCTCATTGCGAATTTCTCCTGCTCCTCTGCAGTAGGATGCACCAGAGAGAAGAACATGGGGTGGCGGTACCTCTTATGGGCGCTCGGTGGGCTCATGGTTGTCCTCTTCATCATCCGCTTCTTCGTGTTTCATTTGTACGAATCCCCCAAGTACCTCATGGGCCGTGGACGCGATGAAGAAGCCGTGAAGGTCGTCCATCAAATTGCGCAGTACAATGGGAAGAAGAGCAGCCTGGCGGTCGAAATGCTCAGAGAATGCGAGAAACTCGCCGAGGCTGCGGACGCCGGTGGGAATTACGGCCGGGAACCCTCAATGCCTATGGACACAAGCATGAAGGCAGCGTTCATGCGGCAAGTGCGCAAGCTGAACAGCGACCACCTGCAGGCGTTGTTCAGGCCGAAGAAGTTCGCCTACTCGACGTCGCTCCTAATCGTTCTCTGGGCGTTCATTGGTTTGGCGTCCCCGCTGTACAACAGCTTCGTGACGGTCTTGTGAGTTATGCTCTGGTCGCTTGAGGGGAAGGAAGCTGACCCCTTGCTTGTAGCCTTCAACATAAGGGTGTTGAGACTGGCGATGGGTCGCTCTATATTACCTATCGCAACCAGGTAATCCTGAGTACTATGGGTGTCCCGGGTTCGCTCCTCGCCGGGTGGATGGTTGAGCAGCCAGGCTCGGCCGTAAGGGGACGCTCGCGATCTCGACTGGTCAGTTCATGGAGCCTCATATTACATCCTCATAGTACGCAACCGGAAGCATGCTGATGGCATCTCCCATCTGAACAGCGCTAAGCGGTGTCTTCCTCCTGGCAAGCACCACCTCGCGCACGTCTGACGTACTCCTTGGTTGGAACTGTGGCTACACCTCTGTCAACAACGTCATGTTTGGCGTCCTGTACGCTGTCTCGCCCGAGCTTTTCCCCACGAAAGACCGTGGCACGGGCAATGCCCTAGTCGCGTCTGCCAACCGTGTGTTCGGTATCATGGTATGTGGCTTACACTCGTGGACAATGGGGCGATCTGAGGCTGATGTGCGCCACCTTGCTACAGGCACCGATCATTGCACTGTACGCGAACCTGAATACCCCCATCCCGATCTATGTCTCGGGCTCGCTGTTCGTTGTCTCTGGTGTCATCGCGCTCCTTCTGCCGTTCGAGTCTCGGGGCAAGGCGGCCATCTAATAGACGCCATTTCCGCCTGTAAGCGCACGCCCCGGCGGCAGTCCGACGTAAGTGTAGATAATTTCCTGCGCAGCATAGGTTGTTTGTATAATGATGTATGCTTGCGTCGTCGACGCTGCTGTCTCGCCGGTCATTGTACCCAGCGGCCTCTTGCTTGCTAGTGATGTACATTGTTTGCCTGCATTGTATCCGCGCAAGATGGCGTCTTGCTAGGTCCGCTATGACTTTCATCGATCCATCGCCCGACACATCCGCGCAGTATCTGCCGCTCAGCTCTCAGATGGAGTTATGCTTAGTCGTACATCGCCATTGGCCACAGTGTGTTTAGGGCCGGGACTATAGGATCGGGGGGACGAGAATGGGCAAGAGCGCTTATAGCGCGGACATATCCTTTGATCTCTTGATCCCGTCAATGTCTACTGAGACCGATCCAGGAGGCTCTTAAACTACCTTCGTGAGTCGTACGCAGCTTTCCAGCACATCATCCAGGTTGCGTTGGACGTTCCTTACATTCAATCTCATACTCCAGCTCTGTTTGACGGATTGAGGCAAGACCTTACCCCTCCTAGGGCTTCGCCATTATTCATGTCACTAATAGAAGCGACGGGACTCAACTTTCCCCGCATTGCATTTTCAAGGTTAGACGAGTGGGACGCATGGCCCCATCAATTGCGATAACCCAGTCGGGGGTGTCGCAATCAAGGAGCCCCACCCCCGCCAACCAGCGTTGGTTCTACAGTATATGTAGCATGCGTGATGCCTGGAAGCCGACCGTCTTCTGTGCTTCTGACGCTCTTTTTTTGCCGCCCCCTCTCTTATCTTGCTCTCGCCATTTTACCCCCCGCTCGCGGCAGTGGAAGTAGGTTCTTCCACCACCCCTACGTCCACGCGATCCCGACGACACTAGACAAGACCGAATGAGCGCGGCCCCGCAATCGCCCGTCCAGCTCGTCCGCGAGTACTCTGGGAAGTCGGAGAGTCCGAGGAAAGCTGATATCGAGGCGACTGCCATCCCGATCGACACTCAGGATGTTTTCGACTCGGGCGATTCGGGCGTCGACCCGGTCTACCAGGCCAAGGCGCGGCTTCTTAACGATGCGATCCAAGAGGTCGGAATGGGAAAGTATCAGGTATGTTTCCCCGCATATCGATCCGGGACAAATATTCACACGCCCCGCATCCTCGATCCTTGACACGGTCTGCAGTGGTTCCTGTTTGTCGTTGCCGGCTTTGGATGGTTTTCGTGAGTATCCCTTCATTTTCGTTCATTGTGCGCTCTTTGACTCGAGCATGCTTGTTCAAGGGATAACCTTTGGCCAGTACGTCCCACGCAGATTCCCAGCGAGGCAGTCTCTCATGACGCGTAGATTGTGACTGGCCTCATCCTCTCCCCCGTCGTCAACGAGTTTGGATTCCAAGGTCCGTTTCTCAAGCTAGGGCAGAACATTGGCCTCCTCGTCGGCGCAGCGTTCTGGGGAGTGGCTTGCGATGTCTGGGGCAGGAAGTGGTGCTTCAACATCACGCTCTTTATCACCGGTGTCTTCGCGATCGCCGCAGGTGGCTCTCCCAACTCGGTCGCGCTATGCTCTCTGGCTGCTGTCTGGAGCGTTGGGGTGGGAGGTAACTTACCCGTGGACTCGGCGGTCTTTCTTGGTGAGTTCTTGTACGCATTTGTGATGCGCGTATACCGAGCCATCTCCTGTTCTTCTTGTGCAGAGTTCATTCCCGCATCGCACCAATGGCTTCTCACCGTGCTCTCCATCTGGTGGGCCTTCGGCCAACTCGTCGGCAGTCTCGTAGCCTGGCCCCTGATCGCGAACTTCTCGTGTGCGGGCCCGAGTGACTGCCCCAAGTCGTCCAACATGGGCTGGCGCTACTTCCTCTATACGATGGGCGGGCTTATGATGATTATGTTCGTCCTCCGCTTCTTCGTCTTCCATCTGCACGAGTCGCCCAAGTACCTCATGGGCCGCGGGAGCGATGCGGAGGCCGTCGAGGTCGTGCAGGCGATCGCGAAGTACAACGGGACGACGACGACGCTCACGCTGGAGCTGCTCAAGGAGGTCGAGAACGACGTGAGAGCCAAGGAGGGCAAGCCGGAGGATGCGCCCGTCCTGGACACGAGCGCGAAGGCGGCGATTGCGCGGAAGCTGAACATCTTCAGCTTGGAGCACGTCAGCCCGCTGTTCGCGACGAAGAAGCTCGCGTACTCGACGAGTCTCTTGATCGTCCTCTGGGCGTTCATTGGTCTTGCGTTCCCTCTATACAACGGCTTCGTCACTTTCTTGTGAGTTGGCCGCAGAGGGTTTTGTGGTCATGACAGATTTCTGAGACGGATGAATTCAGCCTTGCCACTCGTGGGGCGGACTTCGGTGATGGCTCCGTGTACATCACTTACCGCAACGTACGTCCTTTCATCTCCTGCACACGGTCACCCCGTGCTCATATATGCTCATATAGCAAGTCATCCTGAGTGTCATTGGTGTCCCTGGTGCCTTGCTCGCAGGTTGGATGGTCGAAATTCCCCTTCTCGGCCGCAAGGGTACCCTCGCCATCTCGACCAGTGCGTCCAACTCTCCGCTGCTCAATCACATTAAGCCATGCACTAACATGTCTGCTGGCCATCATTCCAGTCATAACCGGCGTCTTCCTCTTCGCCAGCACAACAGCACGGACGTCGAACGCGCTCCTCGGCTGGAACAGTGCGTTCACGTTCACAAGCAACATCATGTACAGCGTCCTATACGCTGTCTCTCCGGAGCTCTTCCCGACCAAGGATCGTGGCACGGGCAACGCCATCGTCGCGTCTGCCAACCGCGTCTTCGGCATCATGGTAAGCGTATACGTCCAACTGCCTGTCCCAATGCCGTCACGAAAGTCCTCTCACCCTCGTTTGCCTTCAGGCGCCCATCATTGCGTTGTACGCGAACCTCGCCACGTCTGTCCCGATCTGGATTTCAGGCGCGCTCTTCATTGTATCCGGGTTCATCGCGCTCCTCTTGCCGTTCGAGCCTAGAGGAAAGGCTTCCATCTAGATGCCCATGAAACCCTGCTTCCGCACGCGAAGATACCCCGCTCTGGAGCTCACGATCCTCAGGAAAACACGTGCATTGATTGTAGATACTCGCTGTTGTGCTATCGCTATCGCTACATACATTGGTTATTTAAGTCATCAAGATGTTGTTGCAGGAGATCCAGATAGTGTGACTAGAGTGATAAATTACAAATGTGAGGGTGCTTCCTTCCGCTCGTCAAGAGACGTTCCGGAGCCAAGTCGTGAGGGTCGTGAGCCGGTGGTGGTTGCAGAGTATTAAGTATCGCGCGAAGATGTCGGATATTTGTTTGCAGAAGACGATATAGGTAGCTCTGCTGACCGTACCAGGTTGAAGTGACTAGATACAACATCGCGTGAGTTGACTAGAGAGGAAGATACGGACGAGGTGCAACGTACTTCACATATATCTTTCATGGTGTTGATAAGACCTGTGACGGACGTGATATATGTATTATTAAGGGCATCGAGGGTGTGGTTCCCATGAGACTGGGCTTCGAGGCTGCCCGAGAGATTCTGAAGCATTGCTACGCATGCTTCGGTCAGCCCCGCATGCTACTTCCGCGATCAAACACACTCACTTTCAAGCATGGCAGGCCGCTTCTCTACGAACACATGCTTCGTGATATGGTAGTCGCCGTCCGCGGCTGGGGGATTGATCGGAAGATGGCTCAGAAGGGGATGGTGTAGTCTGTCTATGGAGAAAAGCAGCGATGCATAGTCATGTTCAAGCGTGATGTTCTGTGTCGCCATGGACTTGAATAGAACGTGCATAAACTCTTCCGTGTAGGCCTGCACGTTAATTTAGCACAGTCGGGTACGCACAACGTCGAATTCGCACTTACGAGGTATGCAGGAGGATCCAGCTGCAGCAACATGTACATGAACCTCAGACCAATCCGTCGTCTTCCGTCTGGGTCCATGATATGCTCCCATGACTGGGCCCCGTACTGGAAGTAGAAGTTCCAATCCTAGCAAGTGCATCAGCCTTCGGATCTGAAACGCAAAATTCGGTCGACTGACCTTCTTGCTGTTCTGCACCATTACACTGGCGCAACCAACCCAGCAGTCGACCCATTCATCAGCGTCTTTGAAGGACAACTCTCCCGACTCCTGGTAGACCGGATCGTTGAAATACTTGCAGAGCAGGCGGTAGATCGCCGGGGAGATGTGCTTGTCGATGATCTCGCAGACGATCTGCTCTTTTTCCTTGTTCTCCTTGTATCCGGAAGGACCAGCGACGTCTTCACCGAGTGCAGCGAGAAGCTCCGGATCATCGAGATCGAGATCGAACTGACCGTAGTCGTCTTGGCTTTCTTGACTGTCGTCAGCGACGGGGCGACGCTGGGGCCGACGTGGTGGTGGAATAACACGCGCACGTGCATCGAGGAAAGCCTGGACGAAGCGACGAATTTCGTCGCCAGTTGACGGGTTTGTTGACAAGTTGGTGGTCGTGGAGAAGACTCGAGTTACCCAGGCTGATATCGTCTCATCAGTATGCATCAAGGCCACGGGAACAAACGCACTCACGTCCTTGGAGTAAAGCTGGGTCAGGGTACTTGTGTACAGCGCGCTCCGGGTCCATCGACGATTGCTTGAGGATATTGTGAATGGAACGTAGGAGCATGTCTACGCTCGTTACGACCCACTCTTTCCTTTGCGCCGGACCAATGACGGGCCCCTTACTGGTTCCGATCGCCTCGTACTCGTCGAGTAAGACGTTCGTCATGTCCGTAAGCCATTCCAAGACGTCGGCCAGAGGCAACGAGAGATGACGCAGGAGAATGGCGAGGTACATTGCTCCGCGAATGCATGCGCGACGTGTCTCGTTATCAGTATCTTTGAAGGCGACATACCGGCGGGCATTAGAGAGCCTATACCTGACGTTGGCGACGGTGGGCTCGAGGTATATGGCTACTGCGACGGCGCTGAATCTGTTGAAAAGCATCGATAGGGCGTGCGATGATGCTGGAGCCGCCTTCGTGAACGGGACTGATCCTACAGGAACGGCGAGCGATAAGATCTTCTTGAGTTTCGCGGGGATCGTCACTTGAGGGTTGTCTCTTCGCATATCGTCCGCCGCCCTCACGACCAGCTTGAGGAAAAGGGTGAACGCGGTATCGCTACGCCTCTTCTCACGTAACAGAGACAGGTTGAAGTCCCGCAGGAAGCTCGGTGCATCGCTCGCTTCATCTGTCAGGCTCGCAAACCGTCGAGTCTTGAATACATCCAGGAGACGGTTGAAAACGGACGGCACGTCATCGGAGTCTAGCCGCCAATGCCATTCGAGATGCAACCACAAGCACCGAGTGACAAGCACTCGCACGTACTCATCCCGCTTCCGCAGGATGCGATGGGTCAAGGATGCATCCACCTCGGGGTCCGCAGTAAGAGGAGCGCGCTCAAGCACAGCAGCGACGACACGCCAGGAGGGTGGCAATCGAGGCGTCAGAGAGGAATGGCCATGTATCGAGAACTGGGAGAGTACGCATAATGTGAATAAACTCCTCCAAATGGTCTCGCGACCTTTCAGGTCCGTCTGAGGCGCTTGAAGGCCCCTTGTCTGCAGGACCTGCAAGTAACATGTCCAGAACGATAGGTCTTGGGGCGGGAGCGACGCTTGAAACGCCTTGTCGTTCGTCAGGTTGAGTAGGCAGATCCACAACTCCGCGATCTGCTGCGACGTCTTAGCATCCGTGAGGCCCTCTCGGGTGAGTTCCAGTGAGACTGCGGCATGGCCAAAGGTGAAGTCCCAAAGTTTGCCCATAAGGGCGATAATGTTGGCTTTAACCATATCGCCGTCGAGCCCGTTGACCCGGCGCTTCTGGTCGCATGCGATTCGACAGGATGCTTCGACAAGGAACCAGAGGACTTGTAGAACGATCGGATTGGAGACCTCATCGTCCGGGATGATTTCGGTCGGGTCTTCCATGAGACTTCGCAGCCGTTCTATGAGAGCCTCAACGTTGGTCGCAAGGGTAGCGTACGCGTCGTCGCTCCCCTTGGCCAGGAAATATGAAAGGTGTTGAGAGATAGAATGTAGGAAGGCTTGCCATTGCTGACATTGCTGATAGTCTGCAGGCTCTAGGCTCCCAAGAACAAGCTCTCGAAGTTGGTCGTATATGGCCTCAAGACAAGTCGTGAATTCGAGTATAGACATGTCGGCATGTATGTAGCAGTCGAACATAGAGCACGACGGAGGGGTAAGAATCTCGTGTATCCCGGGAAGGAGGGTGATGAGCTCGTGTAACCATCCATGTCCGAGATATGTCGCATTCGGGAACGCGATTCCAGCGGGGAACGGTTTGATGTTGAAGTCGACCGTGACACGGTGCAGTTGCTTCCATACGCGCTGATCCTGTGATGACTGCTGAGGAGCTTCCCGATCTGACACCACGAAACCATCGTGCTCATATTGGTCGTCACCAGGTGTCCAGACATTCTCGAGAGTGCCAGAGTGGGTGCGCGCCGTGGATTGGCGTTGCTGCCTCGACCTGGGTGCAATGCCTCGCCGATTCGCCCAACCGGAGGGAGCACGCGTCGCAGGGACTTCTTCCTCAATAGTGACACGACCCGCGTTTGACCTTCCTGAGACCAGGTATGTTGCGTCAGACTTGAAGACGTATAGACCTACTTGCTTTGCCTTCTGTTTTTGTTTGCCCTTCCCGTCCGTAGGCTCGTCACCGGTGAAATGGACTTCGCCGGGACGCGGAGAGCGGGGACGCACAGCTGCAACAGAAGTATGGTCAGTTCTGTACGATGCACCAATTAAGGTAGGGGTACCCGGGCCGTCAATATCGATTGACTCGAAGGTTTCAGGTGTCGGCAACCTTTGGAATGGTAGCAACGCCTGATGCCCTTCGCCGTAACGTTTCGCACCCGACGTTGTAATGCGGAGCCCGACACCTTGTGGCGCATCAGGGCGTCCGTCTCCGCCGTCATCATGTCCAGTCGCGCGTTGCCCGCCCAAACCAACACCTGTCTTCCGAGGCCTTCCGCCACCTCTCGTTCCTCCATGTCCGCCTCCGCTACTTCCTGTCCTCCGATGCCCGTCTCCTCCGCCTACCACACCATAATCTCTGATGTCTCCATTCTTCCGATGTCCTCCACGTCTACCGCCTCCACCACCGCTCCCTCGACGCACACCATTCCTGCGCTTCCGCGTCTTGCGAGAGCCCAAATTCGTCCGCGACAACATGCGATCAATGAGGTCACCCTCCCTCACCTCCCCATAGTCCCGCGCGCGCCGTCTCACCTTCGCGCCCGACACCCAGCGGCCTACAGCCTCTTCGACGTCCTCTACGCCGCTAGACGAGTCGTCTTCCTCGTCAGACACAGAGACGTGGCTGCGCGCCGGACGGGGGCAATGCTTCGGGCGCGGCTGGTGCCCGATGGGCTCGATGACCTCCACGCTGCCGTCCGACACTGGCAGCCCCCCTTGGTCCGACGACCCACGCACACGCGCACGCGCACGCGATGCGGGCGATGGCGAACGCGAGCGCATGTCCACGTCGTCCGATGACTCCGAGTCGCCCACGATCTCCACGCTTCGCCGGCTGCCGATACGCCTCCGCGACTGGCCAGGCAGCAACGGCTGCTCGCGCTCGACGCTGGCGCTGTCCCGCCGCGCCGCGGCGGCCTTCCTGGCCTGTCCCGCCGTCTCTATCTTCTTGATCATAACCGCGGGCATCATGCGGCCGAGGATCTTCCTGCGCCGCCGGTCGACGTCGTCGGAAGACTCCGAGTCGAAACCCCAGTCAGACCTGGGGCCGTCGTCGTGCCTAGAGTCGGTGTCGGAGGTGATGTCCATGATGTCGTTGGGCTCGGACGATGTCGGCGGGGGACGGTGTCCGGAGCTCGCGCCAGACATGGGATCGTCGGGTTCGGTCGCTGGGGTGGCAGGGAGGGCGAAGGGGGACTGTGCACGGGCAAACATGTCGCCATATACGTTGTAGTCGTCGTCCTCGCCGCCAGCCCATTCAGCGAAGAAGTTGTCATCTGCGTCTGCCCAAGGGGAAGGGTGCTCAAGGGAAGGCGTTTTAGAGTGGCGCGGTGGTGGGGAGGACTTTGGGGAGGAAAATGTCACGCTGCGAAGACGACGCCATGTCGGGGCAGGACCGAGATGCTCGTCATCATCATCCTCATCGTCAGCGCGAATGTCTGGTTGGGAAGGCGCAGTATGCTCTCGTGCGCGGCGCCGAGGTTTTGGACGCTCCTTCGGGTGCGGCGGCAGCTCATGGAAAGGCGAAGGCGACTTGTCCTGAGTGGGGCGTCAGCAAAAAGACGCACATATCACACATTCTGCGCATATACGCAGCTAACACACTCACATGAGGCTTCGAAGGAGAGACAGACCGCTGAAGCTCCGTCTTCTTCATTGGGAACGGTCGTGGTCGCTTCCGCCGATGCTCCTTATCCGCCGTCTTCGCAGTCTGAAGGCCCGAAAGGATATCCGCATCGTCCTCGCTACTGCTCGAGGACTCCCTAAACGCTTCTGGGAGCCACTTGTCCACGTGCCCTCCCCTCCCCTCCTCGCCATCCCCTCCACCCTCCGCTTCCTCTTCCCTTTCCTTCACCTTCCGCCTCCGACGCGCCTGCGACTCCTCATCGTCTTCGTCCTCTCCCACTTGATACTCGTCCTCTGCCCCAGATGACGCGTCTCTTGAGTTCGCACTCGTCGACCGCTGCCTCCGTCGCGGACGCGGGGGACTGACGACCTTCACGATCGCTTCGGGAGCCGCGCGCATCTGGCGCTTGTACAGCAGCTTGTCGTATTCGTAAGGATTGAGTTGCCTTGCATTACGCGCACGGAGGGAGTAGCGGGCGCGCTCGGCTGCTGCTGCTGCATTCTTGAAGGCAGCTATCTCGGCAACGGATAAGGGAGGGTCCTGCTGCCGAGACAGAGCGGCCGTTTGTGAGGGACTGGACGAAGGGACACGCGTCGCCTCCGCAAATTTCGTGGGAGATGAGGCGGGGGTGAGGGGAGAGGACGCGGGCGAGGAGATGCCAACGCGTCCTTGGGCTGGCGACGCGCTTCTTCGACGTGGTGGAGTGAACAGCAAAAGCGGGTCGGGCGAGGGGGACGGAGAGCGTGTACTCGCCTTTCTGGATACTTCCCGTTGTGTGCTCAACTTCGATGATCCTTGCACGAAGTTGCCCTCTTCATCTGTTTCAGGCCATCCGTGGTCAAGGAACGCGGAGGATACGCCTCGGTCTGACGGCGGCGCCCGCTGAGACGGCGATGGAATGACATATGAAGTCGGACTACTCAAGGGCGCGCCACCATTCTGCTCTGGTAAAAGGAGTGTTGGTCGCGGGTGTGGAGAAGGATAGGCACCAGGAAGATTCGTACGGAGTTGGAGCGGGGATGGCGGATCCTCGGGAGACAGATCAAGCTGATGATGCTTCAGTAATTTCTCAGCTAGCTATATGGTAGACGATGCACCTTTCGTCGCTTTCGAGGAGAATTTCGTGGCGTACGCACACGGACTCGTTTGTGCAAGTCGCGTCGTTGAGCGATGTCACACGCGGTCGTGAGCCAGTACTCGGGCTTTGAAGCAGCCAGTTCCTCGAGCTCCTCTGGGTCAGAAGTGTCCACGATGTCGTCAGGAGCAGCCATGCTGAGTCTGATGTAGAAAGGGAGAGGTCAGGGACAGTAGTGGTTATGGGCAAGAAGATCCATTCACGCTGCCTGTGACCTGCACACCGGCGCTTTGGTATCGCGCTTGCAATTGACGCGTGTTGCCTGCACACGTGATCGCGTAACATCTCGCGTCTTCGTCAGATTTCTCCCACGCTGAGCGCAAGGTAGCGCCCATAGTGGTACATCCCTACTGAGGCATTATCTCAAACTTCGCCGCTCGCAGCTCTTGAATGAGTGCCAATAGAATCCTGCAAATGTTGAGCAACGCGGCGGGATGCGATTGTGCGCTCGATACCGAAGGCATGCTTCCGGTCGCGTTAAGGACAGTCGATCTATCGGCGGCCATCAAGCGCGCATGGGCAAATGAGCCACCGACAAGAGTTGAGCAGCGCCCTAAAACTTGATTCCGACACATACGGACACATTCCCCTATACGTCGATAGAAGCGTCAAGCATACAAGGACTTAGGTCGACATTACAGAGGACGCAGGTCCGAAGTCATCAATCCGGTCATGCCTCCCAAAACCACGGGAACTGCGGAGTTGACACTCCCAACCCTCGGGACGATGAACCTCGCTCGCGCATTCCATGAGCAGGTCCAAAGTTTGCGCAGCTCTTCAAGACTTGGGAAGGGGTACGACAATCCTTATAGAAGAAAATGAGTACTATTCTCATTGCATTCGCTTTCTTTTCAGTGAGATGCACGTAGAGACGGTACGTTTGAGGAGCAGACGGATGAATCAACCTGGACGAAACCTTATATTTATTATTCCTCTAGCTCGAAGATCTATACAATCTCGCTGAAAATTCCTCCATCGCTCTCCGTGAACTGGTTAACGGATATCGTCCTATAAATCGGCTACCCCAGGAGCTTCTCGCTGCCATCTTTTCTTTGGTACCTCGGACACACCCTTTTGCAAGAGATGGACTTCCGACATTCAGTTCCAACAAGATGCTCCAGGTCTCTGACCTTCTTCCAATTGTTGCGACATGTAGGCGTTGGCGCGAAGTTGCGTTGGCTACCCCGTCGCTGTGGTCGATGATCATGGACGACAGCAACCAACAGGCTCCGATATATACTCATTATCTCCATCGTTGTACCCGTGGTCCTCTTAGATTTCTTTTAGGACCACGTGCCTCTCCACGCACGATCCTCCTCCTTAGCGAACAGGGTCATCGTGTTCAAGAGGTCATCGTGCAACTTGTCAGCTTCTCCACATTCACCACCATTGTGTCCACTCCATTACCTGATCTTCGACACTGCACCATCAGGAACTGCCTGTACGGTGTTAGAACGGCGCCAGTATTCCCCAGTGGCTGCCCTAGCCTGAAGACGTTATCATTACAGGCAGTTGATTTCGTCCCATCCTCCGGCTTCCCCTCTCTCACACATTTAATCATCTCAAGCCGACCAACCACCAACCCTACTTTCAATATGTGCCACCTCTTCACATTCCTCTCCGAATGCCCTAGCTTGACCACGCTGTACCTGGATGGTCTGGAACATGCCGATATGTCCCTCGAGGGCTGGCAAGGTTCCGTCACTCTGCAGAACCTCCAGAGGCTGGTGCTCCTGACACGTTATCCCCACGAATACCCTGGAGGTGCCACTGGAGATCTAGATGTGTACCGGGCCTTCTTCACTCACGTTCTCATCTCCTCGACCTGTGTTATTCGGTTAGGCGAACTCCGTCCTCGGGAGCTATCCACTTGCCTGGACCTCGTAGGTCTGACGGACGGCCCTACAGCCTGGCGCATATATCCAGATAAGAAGTTCACTTACGTCCAACACTACAACGTGTACTGTATTCAAGTGTTCAACATAACGCAGAGCCGATATCTCCAACTCGACGTCGCGACCCCCTTTCAAGTGAACCCGGAGGACAACCTGGATCTCTCCGCTGCCCTCGCGCAGTCCTCCGTATTTGTCAACGCTCGAGGGGTGTGGATAGCCGCGGAGGCCGAGCGTCTGTTGAGGACTCCATCGCCCGACACCCTCCTACCCCGCATGTCCCAACTCGAGTCTCTCATTGTATGCAGGGACTGGAGCCGGAAGGCAAATCTCCGCGAGCGGAAGACGCTCAAAGCGCTTGAGGCGCCGGGAGATACAGCGTCTGAGGACCTCGCGTGTCCACGGCTGAGCACGCTCCGCGTGGACTGCCTGACGGACGAGGACGCGGTGTATATGCTACAACTCGCCTTCTCGCGCGCGGCCGCGGGTCATCCGCTCACTCGAGTTATCCTCGGCCGTGGCATCCAAACCATGTCCGCGTTGGGCATGTTGCACCAGTACGACGGAGCAGGAGATGTGGTCAGGACGGGGGACGTGCGGTCAGATGGTCTATGGGACCATTGGATGTCGCAGCTCTCGCCGGTCTGCCTAGACGAGTCTGAAGACTGCGCACCGTACTGGAGATCGTGGAGGTGGGATCCGTGGGGAAAGACTCGATGACAGGGGAGACCTGAGTGTATGCATTGCGGAAGCGAAGGCTATGAAGAGTGATATGTCCGCGTACTGCCGCCCTGGACAGGCATTAGAAGTGTTCAGCGTCGTAGTCAGCCATCCATTCAAAGGATTGATGGAAAGGCGAACATCCAGCCGAAACCATAGAAGTCCTCCGGTACGAGAGCGTAAAGTTGAGGATATGCTGCGGGAGTTTGAAGGTGTAGGAAGATCCGGTGTATTGTGGATACATTCAATGGAGGAAGTGGTGATCAGAGCGAAGCCCGTATCGGCGATTACGCGTGGCGAATAAGTGATTGAAATATTGAAGACCAATACCTGGCGACCGTCCGCTCTTGCAGAACCCGAAACGTGACAGAGATTGCCGATGCTTGAACGCCGAACCGCACCGCCTGTGCCTCCAAAATGCTCTACAGTAGATTGCGGGGACGACAAAGACTTGCGTAATAATTTACGAACTAATGCCATAACTAGAACACGAGCGATATTACCCGCAACGACGTTAAAAATGGATTCGCAACGGACGCACCGAGTCTCTTAACTCTCGTCTCCGACCCTAACACCTGCCTGTGGTCCATATATTCGTATGCCATCGTTTGTCGTCATCTCTTCGTCATGTAACGCACAGAGCTAGCCCCGCTGCTCCCCCCGTCATGTCCAGCACGCGTCCGGGCCTATCAACCGCCGAGGTGTATCCTCTTCCTCACATAGCAAACCCGGTATCGCCAGACGATATCGTCGACATAGCATCCGATTCCTTCCCCGGTGCCAGGTCCCGCTCTCCGTCCTTGTGTGCAGCAGCGTACGCCTGCTCCAAATTCATCGGCTGGAACTCGGGCTCGTCCTCCGCCGGCACGGGCGGTACATCCTTCGGGATCGGAGGCGTCTCCTTCGGGATGGGCGGCGTCCCTTTATCGCCCGAGACAGTGACTGGGACCACAGGCGGCTGAGGTGACGGGCCCCTCGACACCGACGTGAGGCTCGGCGGGCGCGATGACGATACCGAGAGACTCGCTGCGCGCTGTGAGAAGAATGACCCGACGGACGCGCCCCACGAGCTGAACGTCGACGGCTGCTGTTTGGGGGGCTCGGGCTGCGCTCGCGCCTGTGCGCCGACGATGCTGAGCGGACGCAGGCCACCGTGCTTCGCTGGCGCCGTCAAAGTTGGGCTCGACAGGGCAGAGTCGTTCCGCGACATCTCCGGAGATCCCTTGAGTGAGGACGAGGTGCCGTCGCTCCCGCGCGAGTTGACCTTGGTGAGGTTGGAGGAGCCGTCGCTTGTGCTGGAACCTGAGGAGCTCGGGTTGCGCTGCATCCAGCGCTCACGCACCCCTGCAACGGCGTTGAAGAAGTTTGTCGAGCCGACCGCGAGTGTGCGCGAAATCGCCTCCCGTGTGGGGGCAAGTTGTTGGTCGAGCTTGAGCTCTTGGATACCTTCCGAAAGACGCAAGCCAATATCGGCGACGACGGACGGCTTCTCGCTGCATGGATGCCTGGACGCACAACGGTGAGCGTCCCCACAAGGTGAAGATTGCGTGCAAAACACGTACCGTGCCTCGACAAGATCGAACAGCAGAGGATCAGTAACTCGCTCCCAGACCTCATACGCATTCGACTTCTTGAACTCCTGTATCCAGACCATATTGAAGTCCTGCAGCGAGTTCGGGTCCGCTGACCCATCCGCAATGACGACACCGTTTCCCTGACCCTTGGCCAAGAACGAGGCGTACTTCACCGACGACAGAGCGCCAAAGATGTATTCCTCGAACTTCTGGCGGAGATAATCATCGCTGCCCTTGAAGCTACCCACCCATCAGAATGGACATGCGATAACTGCAGCGGGAGATGTGTAACATACTGCATGCTCGCGTTGACATTCGGGTCCTCGCTATATCCATCATTCACATCCTTCAAAATCTCGTCCATCCACTTCCGGTCCGCGGGCGTCAAGGCAACCATCCGCTCGACGTTTGCGTTGCGGAACTCAATCGCGCCCGTCTCGATCTGTCACAAGCGACCAGGTATAAGACTAGGGCTCGTCGTTATCTGGACATGCGAGAAAACCCACATTCACAAGCAAGTCGATCTCCTTCTGCTGCGTGACGATTGAATTCGTGCTCCCACAGAGCCAACACGGGGTGTCTCTGAGCATATCGAGCTGTTGTAATGGTAGGTACGGCTGAAAGAACGCGTCCTGGCAATCCTCGATGAAGTCGTATATGATTGTAACAGCAGGTGTATGCGCATACCTTGCCGAATAAATCGAGAGGGAGACCCATGTAAGCTAGCATGCTCTTAGGGTCAGACGTCTTGAGCGAAGTTGGTCGTTGAAGTGTCTGGGCGCGGTAGGCAAGTGGTGGCGAGCCGGAATCATCCAGATTATGGAGAAGGCCTACCCAGGTGTGAGTATATCACGGCATCGACCCCCTGAAGACCTTACCGGGAATGAGAGTGACCAAAGAATACTGATATGTGCATAGGCGCTCTACTGGGTGGCCGAAGAACATAATCTGCCATCGAAGACTTCTCAGTGAGACATCGGGGCACTTCCTGAGGAGCCTTCTCACCTTCTTCTGCAACATGAGCGCCTTGACCAACACGAGGGTTCGTTGACGAAAGTTGTGAACCAATTCCCGCAAGCTTGTTCCTGTGAAAAACGGAAATTCAGTACATACCCTTGACAATATAGGTGTTCGTTGCCTGTCTCACCCATGTACAATCCGCTCTCAGTCATCTGACCTCGAAGTGACGGCTCCAGCGATGAGTGGAAGTCATCCAAGATGCTCGTATCGGTGAAATCCCGCTGCGAGAACAGCGCTCGTGTGATCACGCCCAGACGGTCACTGTAGAATGGCGGGTCAATACCGCCCTGCATGCGTGACTGGGGACTTGTTACCGAATGGGCCCAAAAACTGGTTTCGATGCGAGGACAACCACAGCCTTCTGCACCGTAGATCGTGTCACGTCAGGGCCCTTTGCGAGCAGCTCGGCAGAGCTAATTTGCCGATTACATCTGCAATCCATAGTTCATATCCGCACGCAGCTGGATTCGTGAGAGACGCTTACGAGATTCCGAAGATGGTGGTTGGGTTCGGTGTTGATGGCACCAAATGGAAGTACGAGTAGTCTTCCGTGGTCTATCACAGCGTCACTAGCGTGAACTTTATTGGTATATGCGTAGACGTCATGACTTACAAGGTGTGCGCCGTCGGGCAGCGCAAGAAAAGGAAGGATCTTCGCAATCTCCTCGTCGTCGAAGATATCTCCCCTCGAGAACTCGATCTTAGGACCAACCTGTGCCGCACCAAGAAACGCAGTGCCGCATAGATGTCAAGCACGAAGCAATGGCAGCGAACAGGGAGTGAACACACCAGATGGTTGAAATCCACCAGCGCAATGCCCAACACCAATGGCCCCTTCGTGGGCTGCACAATCAATGATTCTGGCCGAGCCTTCTTGGAATATGAGGTAGACTCGGAACCGAATGACGCAACGCTCTCGGTGTCGCTCCTCAGGTGAATGCCTGCCGAGGATGCTCTTGGTGACATCATGAAGGACGCGGAAGGAGGCAATGACGGGGGCAGCGGGGTGGACATGGGCTTGTCCAACTCGTGCATAGAGGGGGCAACGCTAGATAGAGGAGACTCCCCTTCATACTTGCGTGCAAAGAAACTCCTGTCGTCTCCGTCTCCGTCCACCTCCGAGTTAAGCGAGCTCCCTTCGGTGTCGACGGTATTTCTCTTTGAGAGGCCAGCAAGGGAAAGACTTTGACGGACGAGAGTCACCGGGGTGACCGCTGGCTCCTGCGGCTGCGAAACACCGAGAGAGACAGAGTCGCGAGGAGAGCGTGGCGGAGATGAGAGCGCAATAGAGCGCGCTGACGCGGTGTCGCCGTCGGAGAAGTGAGGTTCGTCATCGTGGTCATCATCGTGGTCTTGGCCGACGAGAAAGCGGGTGTTGAGAGGCGAAGGCTCTGGCGAAACATCGAAAGCAGAGGACATGGCGAGCTGTCAAGAGGGCCCGAAGGTGGCTTCGGCAGGAAGTATGATTGAATCAAGGATACGGCGTCTTCGTGGAAGACGAGTGGGTATTGCCCTGCAGAAAAGCAGTGGTCGAAAGCGGGGTAAAGGAGACACACGAGAAACAAGCTGGAGTCTGGCAGAGGTTACTGTTACGAGGCCCGCCCACTGATCTCGAATCTCGACTCTGCCCAAAACCGATTCCTTCTCCCAAGCGCCCACGCCCACCACAGCTTCACATAGCCACGTGGGCGTGATCCCAGCGAGGGTTCCGCCACTCCCGCGCGAACTCATACGTGTCCATGTGTCTCTCAATCTTGACTGAGTGCGCCCAATTTTCGTCATCTTCACTTTATGTTACTCTTCGAGACTCTAGCGCGCGTTTGAACTTTTAGTCGCACTCCAGGCCCTACGCGTTTCAGCCGCTTGATACGCTGGTCATCATCAACCTCACACAGCTGTTCAATGCACGCTCTGATGCGCTTGCGACATATAACATCAAAGACCACAGTATCAACGTGTATAATCGCGACAACAGGTATCCATATCGGCCCCGAGTACAATACTACAGCCCAATCCCTGCTCCGAACCTTCGCTCTAACTGCAATCAGTATGTACATGCGAATACAGCCTGAATGGTGTGGCACCCGGCGAATTGGCTCCTTGGGCTATTGGGAACAGGTGATTTCGGTCAACCTCGGTATGATCGTAGTACAGTCAACGACTGACCCCGTCTATACCCTCATACTTGGGGAGCTCCGGGTCCTCCCAGTCTTCTCAGAGCGTCCACGTGTGCCAAGAGATGCCCTATAGCTCGACTACGACATCCAAAATCTCGTAGCGGAGAAGCGTTGCGAAACCCCAGCACCGACTCCGTTGGCGTAAATGGAGATACGACAAAGGACAACATTTACTAGTCCTCTGGAGTGAGCTTTCGCCACTGCGATGCCATCCCGAACGTTCAGTGAAGTCTGGCATACGCTACCTATACCATTGAAGGTGTACTAGTATACTACTTCAAAAGATTCAGTAGTGTTCACATAACAGTAGTTCTCCTCAATTTGTGAGAGGTGTAGATGAAAGATACGGCGACAGATGAACGTCCTCAGCTGTTGTTGTGGCGGTGCGTCGAGGACTTGGGGCCTTCGACGCTTGTCGCCATCGTAGCCTATGTGAACGCGTCGGACGTCTCCGAATACTAACTGTACTTGTGGCGCGATCACCTACAACTTGGAGTAGTCCCTGTCTCATCAATGGCGGTGAACATGGCCTCCGATGGTCTCATCGACGTGTGCGTAGTAGGTTTTGGCGGTAAGATCAGTGACCAGCTGTGTATCCGCAGCACTTCCAACTGAACTTACTTGACGAAATTTCCAGCCATTGGTGCGTTGTACGCTTTTGCCCTCGACAAGACAAGCAAGGTACGCATAACTGCGGTGTGCAGGTTCGTATTTGGCAGAGCACTCCGCCGCCTAGTGTGTAATAGTGATGCTAAATCCATCAGATCGAACTACGATGCCCTACAAGGTAGCCAAGGCTGTCCCCGCTGGTGCTCGCGGACTGTATAGCTAAAGACGGCGATTCACAGAGCATGGGCTAGATTTCGAGTCTGACAGATTCGGGAACTACACCGCATGGAAGCCATATCGCGGTAAGTAGCATAGGATCGATCTTCACCAGTCTGTAGGTTGCTCCTTTTGAAGTTCTCTGATATGTTACTTCCTTCTAGTCGTACAGACGGTCGAAGAAGCCGCAGACCGCACATACGCGTACATCATCTGCGCCTTCAAATGCGTCCCAGAGGTCTGCACGACCCCAGCGCTGCTCGCCCCACTGATCTCCAAGCTCGCCGCTTCCCCTCCAGCTGATGCTACTGCTCCCAGCGGCGATCGCACCACAAACACGACCTTCGTCCTGCTCCAGAACGGCATCGGGATCGAAGACGCCCTTCTCGACGTCTTGGGTGTGATCAGCGCTCCAACGACAGTCATCTCCGGCTGCTGCTGGGTCGACACGACTGCCACTAAGGGAGGCCGGAGGATCGTCCAGCACGGGAATGAAAGGCTCGTTCTGGGCTATCACCGCCCCACATCCCACACTGCCGTGCACTTCAGCGAGGAGACGGCCAAAAGGTCGCTTGACGAACTCGTAGCGTTGCTCCGTACCGGGGGCTCCGTCGTCGAAGCAGCTCCAGACGCCGACGTCGCGCGATGGCGGAAGGTACTCTGGTGAGGGTTCTCATATTAGACTCCAGCTGACCGGGAGAGGTCTTGGCGTTGATCATGCATGCACGCGCAGGCGTGTCGCTGACCATCTTGGCGTCACAGGAACGCGTCCTTCTCCACCATCTGCACGCTTGCGCGGACGCATGTAGGCGACGTCCTCGCGCTCGAGTCTTCACGTCAGGTGCTCAAGGACATCATGGCGGAGGTTCTCACCGTCGCACGCGCGTCGCTCACACCCTCGCCGGCGATGGACGAAGAGCTTTCGGATGCAGTGATCGATCGCATCATCGCGAACGAGAACCCGAAGTCGGTGTTCCGCCCATCGATGCTCGTCGACTTGGATTATGGGCGGCCCATGGAGGTCGAAGCGATCGTTGGTGGCGTTCTGCGCCGGGCGAGAGCGAAGGGTGTGCCGACGCCGAAGTTGGATCTCATCTATGCCGCGCTTTCAGTCATCCAGAGCAACTTGATCAAAGCGAAAGCTTGATGTGGGTGAACGTGTGCGGGGCCGAGATACGTCGGTCAAAACTGAGGGCAGAAGTGTAGAACAAATGTACATTCACGTCTTCGCAGCGCAACAGAGATGGCATCGTTGAACTATTTGGTATCTTACACGCATCCTTCTCGGTCTAACCCCCGTAATGTGAGCGTCACACTCAAACGTAGCAAAGGATGCTGTAGTCCTGCATTGACAAATTAGTGATCAAGGGATGAGTGGGGTCCGGTGACTACCATACCTTGACTTCTTTCTCGCTGTTGGCATACGGGACGAACGCGGCAGGGAGCTTGGGGCCGCACTTGCCGGGGACGATGGCCTTGTTGTAGACTCCCTTGGCGATGAACAGTGGCGAACCGTCGGCTTCGCGACCACCCTCGACAGGGCGACCGGGTAGCTTGTCGAGCTCGCAGCGACCGTGGAAGTCAACCCAGCGAACGGCACGCTTGTCACCTACGAGGACCTCGAACTTGCCTAGCTGGTATGGGATAAGTCTTAGGATGGAATCGGCCCGAGTATGCATAGGAGTACACTCACATGGTGTTCGCTGTGCGCATACCCAACGACACCGCCCTTCTGGAAGATAGAAGAAGCTTTGCCAATCTCTGGTGAAAGAGATGTGATGAGATAGTGAAGGGCGAGAACTCAGTGGCAGACGACGTGACACGATACTTACGGAGACTGCCCTGATCGCCGAGCATGGATCAGCTCACAGGCTTCGCAGATCTCAAAGCTCCGGCTCACCTCGTGCCAGCCACGGCAGATGTAATGTGGCGTGCCGTGTTCCTCACCGCCGACAATGGCGATGTCAGTGGGGATGTTCTTGCCTTCGACCAAGACCCAAGTCACTGGGCTTGAGACACGTCCCCCGTAGAAGTCGCGTGTACGGATCTCAGCGTCGCGCAGCCAGTTCGAGAGGTCCCACATGTGCTGCTTTTTCTGAATACCGCATAAGACCCAGTCAGTCGGCCGGTGTGCATCACAATACGCTAATTCTCATCTACAGTGCTTACCTCTTCTTCGCTCTTCTTGTGTTCGTTCCACGCGAAGAATCCAGCACCAAGCGCGAGAGCACCGGCGACGAGACCACCACCAACCTGAAAATTGTAAGCAGCACGAACGCAGCTCATGGAATTTGCAAGGTGCTACACACCTCGATCTGGTGCTTGCGTTCGTCGCTAAGAGCGTCCCAGCCGGTCTTGCGCTCTTCCTCGTGAATGATGACCGTTTCATGCTTCTCGTTGCTAGATCCCCCGTCTCGGTTGTAGCTAGGGTTGTAGCCACTTTCCTGACGGTGCTCCTCGTGGTGCTCCTCGTGGTGATAGTCTTCAGGGAGACGGCCCCAGAGCGCAGGGGTGGCCGGAGGTGTCCAGTCGCCCTGTCGCAGAGGAGGCGATGAGCTCAAGACTTTAGCAGAGGAGTAGCGGACCCACCTGCGACGTGTGAGGCTGAATGATCTTGTACTTGTGACCTGACGATTACGATGAGATCATGTCTATGCCGAATGACCCTATGTCGATGGCTACCTTGGTACTCTACCACCGAACCCTCGCCGTAGTATGTTCCGGGCTCCCACTCGTAGGTCATAGTTATTGGGATCTGAGGTCTAAGTGATGGTAAGTTATGGGGATGGTCTGGTTGCAATGCTGGTCGAGCGAGCGAGATATATATATACACCACGGGGATGAGGGTCCCCTAAATTCGGAGACGGCCGCAGCGTGACTGTCGCTCGAGTACTGCCATGGCGGGCGGCGATGATCAGATCAAGCTGAATTGATCATGCACGTGTAGAATGAACAAGCTCGGACGTCAGTGGACCGCAGTCCGCCCCGAAACCTGCTGTCAGGATGAATGGGTGTGGCATTGTGGTGGCGTGATAGAACGAGAGGAACAATGGTCTGGGGAGAAGTAGCACTTCATGTCCGTTTGGCTCCATGGTGGGGTTGCAAGCGAGATCACAGCACCATCATTGCCGTTGCATGGTTCATGCACCAAGAAGGACAGACAGACTTACAGACATGCAGGAAACCCCTTATTCGTGATCTACAACGCTTCTGGATCTCGTGACTCGTCGATCCGTCGGATTTGTATTCTCGACGGGGTTTCTTCACTGCGAGCGAGTGATGGTCCAGGATCTCGATCGCCGTCTCATGCAATAGATGACTATGAATGATCGGACCGACTGCATCCAAAATGTTTGATAGGCATTCTACAAGAGCAAACTTGAATGCGGCGAAGAGGCGAAGGTGCAGAAGTACAGATATCCCTCGGTGCAGGCGCGCATATGTTCGAGCGCCATGACGTTTGCCTACCTCATTTGGCAGGAACAAGTTTTCTGACCCGTTCCTGTCTTCGGCTGTGATTTTTGCCTCCAAGCTTTCTTCCAACGAGTCCTCTCTTGTGCTGCCGTCTGCCCTGATATCTTGCGCTTGTCGCGCCCATGGCAGCCAATATGAACGACGGAAACCTCCACGACCCTTTGCGCATGGACTTGCAGCGGCAGACACAAAAATTGGTCGCACATCTACCTGCTGAGAGTCCATTCGTTACCGCTCTGCAAAATATCTCTTCGCGGCAAGCTTTGCTTGACATAGTATCTCGGCTACTACTCCTACCTCAATATACTATGCTTGTTGCTGGCCTGTTCCGACCGGTGCTTCTTGATCTATGCGCTCGCTGGCTGCATCAGGACGGCGACGAGCTAGAGAAATTTGAAGCTCTCTGTCTACTTCTCGAGATCTACCAAGAGCTGTATCCGTGAGTTCCTTTTTCATTCCCCAAGCATATCCACAGACGAAGGAAGAAAGTAATTGGCTTGGCCACATGTTGTCACCTACGGTGTCGATGTTTGGCAGATCAATTACCTCGTTGATCCTCCTTCTCATTTTCTATCCCTGGGACTCCTGCTGACAATTTGTTCTCATAGTATGCTGCTAGCTATCTTACGCTCCAAAAGGTTCGAGGGAGGACCACTACTCTTTTTCACCGCATCCCAAACCATACCGAGCATCCCTTCACATCCGCTGCACCGCGTGCTGCTCGCCTACTACCGCCTCCTTCAAGCTAATCGTGTCCTCCCTCGTCATCTCGGCTGGTCTCTCACACCACTTTCCCAACTCATTTGGGCACCACATCCGGACAATGGGGTCCGCTTTCTGGCCATCAGATGCTACGCGCTGCAGGCGGGTATGATGGAGGGCGAACGCGTAAAGATGGAGAAGGAGGTACTGGGCGAGGTTTCGGAAATTGATTGTCCCATTGACTTTGACACCAACCTGGACGGGACTGCACGTCGGGTCGACGGATGGATCATGCCGGTGTTGGAGCTGGAGCGGATTGCGCAAGGGAGGGATGCGCTTCTCGAGCCTCAAGACTTCTACAATCACGAAGAAACTGACTCTAGCGAGCCTATTCATCCGGCAGAGCTGAGGTGGGTTGGCTGTCATGCCTGCTCTCTGCGCAATCTCACTGACCTGGGATACCCCCAGTCCATTGACAGCGAACGTCCATGGCGTTCTGATGCTTCGTTCCTCCCCTCCTACGCAATTCATCGCGTCCCTTATCGATACTCCCACAGCTATACGCGCCTTGCGTCACATCGCTCTCCAGTTATCTCTGCGGCTTCCGATCCTCCTCACGTCGGCACCATCTTCTGGAAAGTCGCTTCTCATATTTCACATGGCTCAGTTGCTGTTTCCGGACACTCGCAATCATGTCGTGACTATCCACCTTGCTGACACGTCGTTGGATCCCCGTTCGCTGTTGGGATCGTACGTGTCTTCGCCGACGCGCCCGGGCACGTTCGAGTGGAAGGAGGGTGTGCTCGTTCGTGCCATGCGAGAAGGGAAATGGGTGGTCCTAGAGGACGTGGACCGGGCGACGATGGAGGTTCTCGGCATCATCAAGCCTCTTGTCGAGTCGCTTGGCCCGGATAAGTGGGTGGGTGGTTGTGCACGTCTGGAGGTGCCAAGTCGTGGTACTGTTGAAGCGGAAGATTCGTTCGCGTTATTCGCGACGCGTTCTCTGCAGCCCTCCCGCACCGGCGCGTTCCCCAGCCCTACATTCTTCGGTGCGCACAAGTTCTTCGAAATCGTGGTGGAGTCGCCAACTGCCAGCGACCTTCGGATCATCATCGATACGAAGTTCCCTCGGTTGGCTGGTGCGCCCGCCCAGGGTCTCATCAACCTGTGGGATGGTGTGCGTGCCCTCGGCAGCCAAGCATCCACTCGCGATATTGGCCTTCGCGAGCTCGAGAGATTCTGTATGCGCGTTAGCGGGCTGCTTCCTGCTAGCTATCAACCGATGGACGTCGATGAGGATCCAACTCAACCCACAAGCCTCGCGCGGGTCTTCGCCAACCCCACCGTACGGGAGGACATCTTCCTGGAAGCGCGCGATATCTTCTTCGGGGCTGGTGCAACTACAGCATCTGGTCGCGCGCACCTGGAGGCCATCACACACGTTATCGCAGGTCATCTTGGCCTATCAGACGAGCGTAGGGACTATATTCTTCACAGCCGTGTCCCTGATTTCGACACCGAAAGGGACGTGAACGGGCGCATCACCGCGGTGCGTGCTGGGCGCACGCGCCTCCCCGCACGCTCCGCCAAGATGGAGATTGCGCCACCCGTGACGCGGCCGTTCGCGATGCACAGGCCTGCGGTCTCGCTGATTGCGCGCCTCGCTACGGCCATTTCGCTTGCGGAGCTTGTGCTTCTTACCGGGGAGACGGGTACGGGAAAGACGAGCGTGGTGACGCACCTCGCGTCTCTCCTCCGGCGTCCGCTCATCTCGTTGAACTTGTCGAACCAGACGGAGTCGTCGGATATACTTGGCGGGTTCAAGCCTGTCGACGCGCGTGTGCCTGGCGGGGAGCTGCAGGAGCGCTTCTTGGAAATGTTTGGCGGGACGTTCAGTCGGAAGAAAAACGCGCACTTTGAGGAGTCGGTCCGGAAGGCGGTGCAGGAGCGCAAGTGGAAGCGCGCCGCGGCTCTATGGTTGGAAGCTGTCAAGCTTGCGAAGGACAGGATTAGGAAGAAGCAAGCCGAGGAAGACGCGTATGTGGACTTATCCATGGCGGATATCTACGCTACAGTAACTGACGCCTTATGCAGTAAGGAGCTCGAGGGAGGTGCTCCGCGCAAGCGGAGAAAGGTTGAGGGTTCTGGGCTGAATGTGCCCATGGCGGCTTGGGAGGCGTTCGAGCGCGATGTCCAGACATTTGAGGTGCAACACGTGCAAGGCAAGAGCAAGTTCGCGTTCGCTTTCGTCGAGGGCCCGTTAGTGAGGGCTTTGCGCAACGGTGACTGGTGCGTGCCATCAACGTCCCTCTAGTGTTGAACTTGAATCTAATCTTGTCTCTCATAGGATTCTGCTAGACGAAATCAACTTGGCGACACCTGAGACACTCGAGTCCATCTCGGGGCTGCTTCATGGACCGACGGCGTCAATTACCCTGACGGAGCAAGGCTCGCTGGAACCCGTTCCCCGTCATCCCGACTTTCGCCTTTTTGCATGCATGAATCCCGCCACCGATGTCGGGAAGAAAGATCTCCCACCCAATATCCGTTCTCGCTTCACTGAGATTGACGTCCCTCCTCCCGACGCCGACAAGGAGACTTTGCTCACAATCGTCGCCCAATACATTGGCGCCTCTGCGGTCGGTGACCGTGGTGCGATCATGGATGTCGCGGACTTCTACACGGCTGTAAAGCGACTCTCGGAGGAACGACAGATCGCTGACGGCGCGAATCACAGGCCTCACTTCAGCATGCGTACTCTTGCCCGCGCACTCACATTCGCCGCGGACATGGCGAGCGCGTACTCGTTACGGAGGGCACTCTGGGAAGGCTGTCTAATGGCATTCACTATGGCTCTTGATGGTCCGAGCGCAACAGCTGTGACAGCGCTCGCTCAGAAACATATCCTTGCTGGGGTGAAGAATCCTCGCTCTCTCTTGGCGAAGGAACCACTCCCGCCTGGGGATCCCAGTGCATTCGTCAAGTTTGGTCCTTTCTACCTAGAGCGAGGCCCATTGCCGGAAGACCCCGCAGAAGACTACATCATGACTCCGTCTGTCGAGACTAAGCTCGTCGACCTTGCCCGCATCATTGCAGCTAAGCGCTTCCCCGTGCTCATCGAAGGTCCAACGTCCAGCGGAAAGACCAGTTCAATCGAGTACCTTGCAAAGCGTACCGGACACAGGTTCGTGCGCATCAATAACCACGAGCACACCGATATCCAAGAATACATCGGTACTTACGTGTCCGACCCTGTGACGGGCAAGCTGGTGTTTAAGGAGGGTCTTCTCGTCCGCGCCTTGAGTCAAGGCGATTGGATCGTGCTGGACGAGCTGAACCTCGCACCCACCGACGTCTTGGAGGCTTTGAACCGTCTTCTCGACGACAACCGCGAACTCGTCATACCGGAAACGCAGGAGGTCGTCCGCCCGCATCCGCACTTCATGCTCTTTGCAACGCAGAACCCGCCTGGTCTGTATGCAGGACGGAAGGTGCTTTCTCGTGCCTTCCGCAACCGATTCCTTGAGGTCCATTTCGAGGATGTGCCCCAGGCGGAGTTGGAGACGATCTTGTGCCAGCGGTGTCGCATCGCGCCTTCGTATGGGCAGCGCATCGTGAGCGTATTCCGCGAGCTGCAGAAGCGCCGGCAGGCCAGTCGCGTCTTCGAGAGCAAGCAAGGGTTCGCCACTCTTCGTGACCTCTTCCGATGGGCTGGTCGGGATGCGATGAGCTACGAAGAGCTCGCTGCCAACGGATACATGCTTCTTGCAGAACGTGCTCGTCGAGACGATGACAAGGCTGTCGTCAAAGAGATTATCGAGTCCATCATGAAGGTCCGCATCGATGAGTCGAGTCTCTATGACCTCCAGAATCCGAAATTCGACCCTGCGGAGTTCCTTGGATGTACCATCCCCTCGTCATCGCAGGTTGTGTGGACGTCAGCGATGCAACGTCTCTTCGTCCTCACGGCCCGTGCTCTCCGATTCAACGAACCTGTACTACTCGTTGGAGAGACGGGGTGTGGGAAGACATCGGTCTGTCAACTCTACGCGGAGGTTACGAGTCGCACTCTTCGGTCGGTCAATTGTCACCAAAACACAGAGACGGCGGATCTCATCGGCGGTCTCCGACCTATCCGCAACAAAGCGGTTATTGAGGCTGAGACTTTGAAGGAGGTTTCTGCCGCCATATCGCAGCTCGGCATTCTGAATGTGACTGGAGATGTGGATTCTTTGACATTCTCTATCGACAGTCTCCTAAAGTCTAAAGCTGTACCCCCTGAGCAAGTCGCCGCGCTGCAAAATCTTCGATCTCGCTTGCAGAGGCTGTCTGCTCTCTTCGAGTGGCGCGACGGGCCTCTCATCGAGGCAATGCGCAACGGCGACGTGTTTCTGTTGGACGAGATCTCTCTAGCGGATGATTCCGTACTCGAGCGGTTGAACAGCGTCCTCGAGACCGGTCGTACTATAGTGCTCGCTGAACGCGGCGGAAACGATTCTGACATACCCGTCATCAAAGCCGCTTCCGACTTCAAGCTCGTCGCGACGATGAATCCCGGTGGCGACTACGGCAAGAAGGAGCTTTCCGCTGCACTGCGCAACCGCTTCACGGAAATATGGGTTCCCCCGATCACCGATCGTCGCGACTTGGAATGTATCGTCCAGGCTCTTTGGAGGCACAACGCCTTGCGCGAGTTGACTCAGCCACTCTTGGACTTCATTGATTGGCTCTGTACGACCATCGGCGATCGATCTTCTGCGAATCTCCGAGACATCTTGGTCAGTGCAGTCTAGTCTTTTTTATACGATCGCTTATTGTTAGTTGCACAGGCATGGATTAATTTCTCTAACTCGGCGCTGAGCGACGACTCTACGGGTCAAATGACTCCGAATGTGATTTTCGTAAGTGGCATCGCCTACAATTTATGTCGATGCTAATAGCATGTTAGCATCATGCAGCGGAGATGACGTTCTTGGATGGTCTGGGCTCCATGCCTCAACTATCAGCGTACTCGAAAGAAGCATTAGATCGCCTCAAGTCGGACGTTGCCGCGAAACTACAAGAGCTCGTTCCTGTAACCACCGTCGTTCAAGAGAGTCAGACGCTCGAGTACTTCCCGTCAAAAGTTCGATTCAGCCTATATTCCATTCCGAGAGGTCCACTACAGCCGTTGGCCCAGAACTTTAGACTCGAAGCGCCGACTACTCGCAATAACGTCATGCGTGTTGTTAGAGCCTGTCAACTCCCGAAACCCATCATGCTGGAGGGAAGTCCTGGGGTTGGCAAGACCAGCCTTGTTGCTGCTCTTGCAAACATCTGTGGTCATCACTTATGCCGTATCAACCTTTCCGATCAAACGGACCTTGTCGATCTCTTTGGGTCTGACCTCCCAGTCGAAGGTGGCCAGGCTGGACAATTTGCATGGAAAGATGCCGAATTCCTTCAAGCGCTGCAGGAAGGTCATTGGGTTCTACTCGACGAGATGAACCTTGCTCCTCAGTCCGTACTAGAGGGCCTTAACGCAGTCCTCGATCACCGAGGGACTGTCTACATCCCAGAACTAGGACGTTCATTCCTCCGTCATCCCTCCTTCCGCATCTTCGCTGCGCAGAACCCTCTCCATCAAGGGGGCGGTCGAAAGGGGCTCCCGAAGTCCTTCTTGAACCGGTTCACGAAGGTTTACGTGCAAGAGATGTCTTCGAACGATCTTCTACTCATCTGTCGCAACATATTCCCCAAGTATCCCCCCGACCTGCTTCAGAAGATGATTGCCTACATGGCGGTCCTCAACGAAGAGACCATGGTCAAGAGGTCGTTCGCCAGGGAGGGAGCACCATGGGAATTCAACCTACGCGATGTCATCCGATGGGCAACTCTTCTTCAAAGCAACAACCCGCCTGACCATCCATCTCACTGCCTTTCTGCCGTCATCTTACAGCGATTTCGAACCACCGAAGACCGCGCTCGAGCCCAGCAGCTTTTCGCAGAGATCTTCAATAACGGAACTCAGGCTAGCCAACCACCAGCGTTCATATCGTCTTCTCACCTCCAGGTCGGCCACTATGTCGGCGCGCGTGGGGGTCATCTCTCCAGCGCTAGAGGAGGCCATATCCTCCAGGCTACGCTCGCGGCTCTAGAGTCTCTAGGCATGTGTGTCGCTCATGGCTGGCTGGCTATCTTGGCGGGTCCGCGGAATAGTGGTAAGACGACGTTAGTCAGGACGATGGCTCACCTACTGGGTAAGAGTCTCAGTGAAGTATCCGTCAACAATGCGACAGACGCATCAGACATTCTGGGTAGCTTTGAAGAAACTGACTTGGGATACCATGTGATGGATCTCGTTCATGAGGTTCTAGACTTGCTTGACGAGCTTTCGTACCTACCCCATGGTTCGAAGCTTCATGCTGCTACTGATTATGTCGCAATGCTACGAGGCCTTACTAGGACAGCAAGCTCTACCGCTATGCCTCATATTGCGGAAACCCTCACTCAAGTCTTGGACGCCTTGAACAACCTGCCCGAACCATACCACACCCGATTATCTCAGGTGCGAGTTCAACTTCAGCGACTATCAGCTCGGCGATTGCAGGCTGTATCTCTGGAATGGGTCGACGGCCCGCTTGTCCGTGCACTCAAGGAAGGACGCTGGCTACTACTGGACGGCGCTAACCTCTGCAACCCTTCGGTTCTCGATCGCCTCAACTCCCTCTGCGAAATTGAAGGTTCCCTGGTGCTTAACGAACGCGGCGCTGTGAACGGTGAAACTCAAGTTCTTCGTCCGCATCCCGACTTCCGCCTCTTCATGTGCGCCGACGGTCAATACGGCGAGCTATCTAGGGCGATGCGGAATCGGGGTGTCGAAATCGCTCTTACTGATACGTTGGTCGAGGAAGACTGGGTTCGTGTATTAGACCACATCCGCTGCTCTCCGTCGGAGACGTACTTGGGGTTGGATACTCGCCAATCGGTCGGACGACAATCACTCCTTCGACGTGGGCTCACAGACGCACACCCTTCCGAACAAAGAGTCACAACACCATCGGCTAGCCGGCTTACAGGCGAAGATTCGTCAAGTGCTTACGTCTCCAGTCTGGTACCGACGCTTGTCCCCTCTGTGAAATCATTGTCTTCTCCTCGTGCGGCTTGGTACTTCGTGGCATCGATCGCAGCCCCAAACGCTCTTCCATTATTCTCCCGCTTCCTATCCTGCGACGCATCCCCTTCTACCACGCTCCTATCCTTCCTTCGGGCATCGATGGGGGTAGTGAAATGTAGTCACATATACCGTACTACCATTCTAATGCGGAAGAATATCAGTCAATCGTTGGACATCCCGCCTGATGCACTTCTCGCGCAGGTGAGTGGCGTAAATTCAGGTAAGTGGATGGCGACGCTCATAATCTTGCAAGCCGCTATACGCCACTCCTCAACGAGCAAGTGTACTGTCGGACACAACTGAGAACGATCAACCTGACTCGCTGTTACTCCGGCACTTGCGTCTGCTGATCGGTGCAACTATTGATTACGGAGAGCCCCTCGAAGATGAGACGGGACAACAGAACGAGTACTCCAGCGAACGCGCTCGTGTTCAGGGTCGTGCTGCAGCAAGCGCCAAGCTACTCGTGGAGTCGATCAGAAATGCTGCGATAGAGTTCCTGAACGTGACCGACTTCAGTGGCGCTTGCGACGATGTACGTTCACAGAGTTAACAAACATCTATCTGAAGGTCTAACAATCTTTAGGATATCGACCGACTATCCGAGCTTGTGGCTTATGGTCGTTTCTTGCGCCACGCAGTGCAGTTCCCAGAAACCTTCGACTTCTCCCTTGCCTTCGCAATCGTTGAGTGGATTCGGAAGGCTTTGCAACATTCACAAGGTCGATCGCAGGGTGTATCTGAAGTCGCTCAACGCATCAACGCGTTGGAAGGCATCGTTTCCTTGACGTCCGGCAGCTGCTTGGTAGAGATATGGCGCACACTTTCCTCCGGCATTCCTCCAGACGCCGACGGCAGTATGACGAGGCACCTGGATGATGCTGATCGCCGTCTCCACCGATTTTCCAATGACATCAGTGTGTGCTCTAGACGTACTGGCCGGGTTGGCGCTGACTCGTGTTCGTACAGACTTGCGAAGACAGACACTCGAGCTTATGTCTTTGTGGACCCTGCCGAAAGCCGCGTCTGAAGAACAGAAACGCTCGCTTGCGCAGTTGACGTCGCAGCTGGAGAGGGTAAGCACCTTGTGTATCCATGGTGTAGTTTCCTTGCTCACGGTAGCCATAGCGTTTTGTCGAGGTTGAGACGGCGGAATCGGGCGTCGGCCAACGCGTCGGATTTTGCTATTCCATAGCACAACTTCGCGCGTTACAGACGGTGCTTGCGAAAGCGTCAGAAGCGCAGCATGTAAGTGGTTTGTTACTCCACTTCCACCAAGATGCTCATGCAGGCCCTACTCATGGCAGGTCTTGCGGGACCTCATCGACTACGGCAGTTCCGATGGTCACATCAGTTTGACCAGCCTGGTTCCATACGTCCAACTGTCATGGGCCATTGATGCGCGAGAAGGAAATGAGGGTATGGTATTCGATTCTGTTTTCCCTCTGCGGATAGCCACTGAAACTCTCGCAGCAATGCTGCAAGTATTGGTGAAGTCGCAAACGCAGTGGTTTTCACAGCTCTGGGAGGCGGCGCCTGTCGCTGGGGTGAGCGATCCGACCATAATCCTTGTTGCGTGATCCTGACATTGTCAACAGATGGCTAGTCCCTCAGCTCTGTGTCATCCTGTCGAGCTATGCAGCACAATTCTGATTTGGTGAGTATGCGTGCGCTTCGGTACACTCTCGCCACTAATATCAGTACTAGCGATAAATCGTTGAGGCCCATGGATAGCTTGCCGGAGTACGAGTGTGCTTTGAAGCGGCAGCTGGCATTCCTGTCAGGATCGCTTGTTGCTCATGATGGCCTGTGGGCACAGCTTCTCAGTTTGCTGGGGGGAACTGCACTTAAGGTACAATCTCTCTCATGTGTTACTTATGTTCACGGCTTACTCACCTTTGTTGTAGGTGGCATCTTGCCTGGCGTCCCATCCTCCCTCGTCTTCAACACTCGCAGGCTCTTCTTCCCTCGCGGACGTTCTGTCGACTTTGGACAGCGTACCGAACCTGGCCTTCGTGGACGCTTATCAAGTTCATTTGCGCCCATACCTAACGACGCTCTTGGAGGATGGTGCCATGCCCTCGTGGGCCGCGTTAGGCAGGTGTTGGATCGCGCTTTCCAGGCTGCTTCTCCATATCTACGTGCCTAGCATCCCTCTCGACCCTGCTGCGATACAACAATGTTCGCGGAAGTTCCGGTCTGAGCAACGATCGCTCCTCCTAGAGGAGCTTGCTCTCCACCGCGACTACGAGCGGCGCACCTTCGGTCGGCGGACCAACCTAGCCATCACGTACCTCTCCCAAGTAGTCGAGGGTCTGCAAAGTCACGCTGCGGACAGTGTTGAAGAGAACCCCCGGCGTTCGGACCTCGCACGGCTCCACGCATACTGGACAGAGGTTTCTCAGTTCCTGGAGCAAGTCATCATCGCCCCGAAGATCGATGCCATCGTCGAGGCTTTGGGAAGGCAGGAACAGTCGGCTTCGATGCGCGAACAGGTCATTGAGGAGTCCACAGCCGCGTTCTCCCAGCGACTTGACAGGGTATACAGCGACTACACGGATATCAGTGCTCCAATCCAGTTTGCTCTCCACCAGCTGAGATTCGGTCTTCGACTCCTCGCCGACGCAAGCACCACCGCTCTAGCCAGCCAAGAGAGCATGGTGGCGGAGGCACTCGTTTCTTTTCCATCATTTTGTGGATCACAAGCCATTCACGAGGATACGACGCAGCAAACGAACAGCACGACTCTGTCTCTTGTCTTGTGGAAGCTGTCGACAGCTGCCTCTGAGATTGCTTCGGGCACCGAGGTGGAGTCCTACATGCCACTCGTGGAGAGCGTATACGAGCAATCGCTTGGTCTCTGGCTGGTCGACAAAGCTAGGAAGGAAGAGGCGGAGCGCGAAGCTCAATCTCTATACCGTCACAAGACTGAAGTCAATGATCCTGCAACAGAAGCCGAGCAAGAGGAGCAAGAGTTCCTGTCGCTCTTTCCGGAGTACGAGGACTTGCTGGAGACAGCGCCGTCTTCGACGACCGCGCAAGTCCGGAAGCTGGCCGATCTCATCGATCCGCTTAACGTCAAGAGGCTCGCCACTCTCCATCAACTTCTCTTCGGCTCTGTCCATTTCTCTCCACAGGCGGCGTCCGCGATCGACTCCAAGGAACTCCGAGCGACGCTTGTGCATGACATTCTCACCGACAAGGCGGCCTCCCTCCCAGAGACCTTGGACCGCTGCAGTCGCCCGTACCAGATCTCCATTCTGCTCGATCGTCTCGCCGTCCTGCGCGATGCGGCACGTGCGGAGCCCAGACCCTACAACTTCTATACCGATCCTAGTGTCCCTGAACTTCGAAAGTCCTCCGATGTCCTGCAGCGCATGTCGATCAGGCTGGCGGCCCTCATTCAGGAATGGCCAGATCAGATGGTCTTGCAACATCTCAAGACTCGCTGCGATGCCATCCTAACCCTCGATATATTCAGTCCAGTCGCGAAGATTTTGTCAGCGATTGAGCAGCTTCTCCTACAGATGGAAGATTGGGAGATGTACGCCAACAGAGAGAACACGCTCAAGACCTACCAACACGAGCTGGTCTCCTTGGTCGTTTCCTGGCGTCGCTTGGAGCTGTCTTCATGGCAGGGCTTACTCCGCACCCAGGCCCAGGAGTTCGCAGATGGGGCCTCGGATTGGTGGTTCCGGCTATACGAAGCAACAATTCGTGGTGTCGAGGCTGCATCGCAGGAGGAAGCAGATGGGGACGTGGGAGCATTGGCAAGATATCTCGAAGGGCTCGTGCCGCTCCTCGACTCATACATGATGTCCAGTCCTTTGGGACAGTACATTGCGCGTCTCAACCTCCTGCAAGCCTTCGAGTGTTACTGCCTTCGCCTCAGTCGTAGTCGAGCTGGGACGCGTTCAACCGGTTCGCGCCGTGCTCACCGCATACTCCACTTCACTCGGAAGTACTATTCGCAATTCGTCCCTCGTGTGAACACATCGCTCTCGTCGCAGCAGCAAGAGCTGGAGAAAGAGATCCGGAACTTCATCAAGCTCGCGAGCTGGAAGGACATCAACGTGCATGCTCTCAAGCAAAGCGCTCAGAGGACCCACCGCCAATTATACAAGTGCGTCCGGAAGTTCAGAGAGATCCTACGCCAGCCCATCACCGCGCACCTCGTTCCCGGGGTCGCTGGCTCCGACGAGGCGACTTCGACACCTGTGCTCCCTACACTTCGTCTCGATTCCGACTACTCTGCACTTCCCAACTTCCACAGTAATGCTCTCCGATCCGACCATCTCGTCAATCTCGACCGTACATTCCGGAATTTCCAGTCCATGCTTCGAGTGCGGCTCGGCGCTCTCATTGGATCTCTGTCGTCTGCCGACGTCGACGACCTCTCTGCGGAGATTATCGCAACACTCCAGAGCCTCGCGTCTTCCGCCCCTCCTCCCAACGCGACGAAGGAACAGAAAGATAAGTTCCACAAGTCGCTTCTCGTCCGCAAGCGCAAGGCGTGGAGCGACCTCCTCAAGGAGCTCCGTCGCATCGGTCTCGCCATGAACATCAAGCCTGAGGTCCTTGAGCAGCAGAGCAACCCCCGCTGGCTAAGAGAGCAGCCCGTCGTGGTGAAGCTCGCAGAGGATGTCGGGCCGTTCGACAAGAGCGAGTCGTACTTCCTACGTCTCACAAAATTGCTCCCAGATCTTCGAGCGGCGTTGTCGAATCACCATCCAGACATCGGTACTCGTGATCTGCAGCGCGGTTCAGGCTTGGTAGAGTCTGCTTTCTCTCTCGCGGTCGAGGCGCGAGCAAGGTACGCCGGTTCCTCCTGCAAAATTCTGACTTGCGCTGACATCTCGCTAGTCTCGTCGAGGCCATCCATCAATATCAGCAATTGCATGAGGTCACTTTGCGCCTCCAAACAGTCTCTCGCAACTCTCGCGTCGTTGCTTCCGATCCTGAGCTAGGCCCTCGCGTTGTTGGCATCAAAGAGGACCTCGGGAGGCTTGTCAATGCTTTGGAGGAAACGTCGGCAATTTGGAGGAAGTATCTCCAGCAGCTGCCGGAGACCGAGGCGCTTCCCGCCGCTTTGGACGAGCTGCAATCTGCACTGGCTTCGTCGCAGGAAATGTTCCGTCGTATGACTGATGTGACGAGCAACGCCAAGTTACTCATTGCTCCCATTCTCCTGGAAGGTGAGCTGTTCTGATTCTATCGCGCCGAACTGGACTGACTGGATGGTTGTCTATCTGTAGATGAAGCTGCGACTGTGCAACAGGCTTTAGAGCACGTCCAGACGGTCATCCAGCTTCTGATGAGATGGACGGATGGTCCCAACGCCGTCGCGCACTTTGTCCGACCTCTCCTCCAGTGGCTTCAGAATAGGGAGTCCTTCGCGTTCGTTCAGTGGACGCACCCCAACACCAACAGCCCCTCGGACTCGACTGCGCAGCTCATCGATCGCCTCCTGCTCTCAGTTCAAGGGATCCTCGCACTTCCTCCACCGCCGACCGCGGAGCCAGACGCCTCCGAGACTCCTGACCGCTTCGTCCGCGAGCACACCCGCATCATTGGGCAGATTACGCGCTGGCTCAAGCTGGACGAGGTTTCATCCTTGCTCAGCTCCGTCGCGAGCGAAGCCACGCATGCGCCACAAGACGAGCTCGAGAAACGCCTCGCGCGGGTCCTCCCTTTCCTCGACTCGTACCTCGAGCTCGCGCGCGCACAGCTGACGAACCACTGCGCGTGGACCAAGGCGCTCTTCAAGCTCGACTACGTCGTCTGCTCCGTCATGCATTCTGTCGCCAAAGACGGCTTCTGCAAGCCCCCCGAGGTGGCTGAGGCTGAGGCGGGCCGCGAGGGGGCCATGGAGGACGCGGGGGGCATGGGCATGGGCGAGGGCACGGGGAACGAGAACGTCAGCAAGGAAATCGAAGACGAGAGTCAGGTCGAGGGCCTGCAAGGCGAGGCGGGCGAGGACGATGATGTGGAGCGCGCGGAGGAAGGGAACGCGCTGGAGATGAGCGAGGACTTCGGCGGGAAGATGCAGGACGTACCGGAGAAGGAGGGTGAGGAGGAGGGGGAGGAGGAAGATGAGGAGGAAGGCGAGGAGCCGGAGGAGCAGGTGGGCGATCTGGACGCCACCGACCCGTCGGCGGTGGATGAGAAGCTATGGGGAGACGAGGCCGGGCCAGAGGATGACAAGAAGGACCAGGGCAAGTCGGAACAGGACCACTCGGCGAAGCAGCAGGAGAAGGAGTCAGAGATGGTCGCGAAGGAGGAGATTCAGGGCAAGGGGAAGGGAAAGGAGAAGCCGAGTGACAAAGGACAGGAACAGGCGGCCCAGGAAGAAGGGGGAGAGCGCGAGGACGAAGGGAAGGAACCTGTTCCTGAGGACGCGGAGGCTGAAGATGAGACTATGGACGATGGAGAACAGGATCAACAGGGTGGCGCGCCGCTAGACGACTTCATCCAAGAAGCAGAGACCCTAGACCTGCCGGACGACATGGACTTCGGTCAGGAGGAGCGGAAGGACTCTCCGTTGGACGACGACATCGAAATGGATGAGGAAGGAGACGAGGCGGCAGAGGAACGACCAGGGGAAGGCGATCAGAAGGATGCCGAAGAGGAAGAGATGGATGTTGAAGGCGAGAACCCACAAGCCATGCCAGACGATGCCACTCAACCCGAGGGTGCAACGGAGGATATAGTCGATGCCACCGCTCAGCCCGATCTTCATGCGGGCACTGGACAGGACAGTGGCGAGGCTGGTGACCAGGCTATGCCCGGGGCCCACCAAGGCGAGGGCGACCGAGGACCTTCGTCTTCCGGAGAAGCTGGAGGGCCCGAGGAACCTGCTGAGAAGGAGGAAGGCACACAAGAGGGCGCGTCTCAAGACGAGCGTGCACAAGAGCAGTATGTACCTTTCGACGGTTTCGATTTGAAAGTACATACTGATGACTCCGGGTTCACAGGTCTGCCGAACCTTCTCAACGTGCCGAAGAGTCCGCTCAAGAAGGACAGGAAGGTACAGGTTCTGCTCGCGCCCAACAAGGCGCCGCTCCATCTCAAGCGAGGACACAGCCCATGCAGAGCAACCCGCTTCGGAGCCTAGGAGATGCTCTCCGCGAGATCAGCCAACGCATCGACGAGATCCTGGAGAGCTCTGGAACGCAAAGCCGTCCAGAACAGCAGATGGACAGCTCTAGCCCATCACAGCTCGAGTATCTTCGTCCTACAGAGGACAAGGGCGCGGATGAGATGCAGGCCCTTGGGCCCGCACAGCATGAGGACGTCGCGAAGCTCAACGAGCTCAAGTACCTCGACGAGGATATGGAGGCGAAGGATACTGTCCCTCCTGTTGAAGAGCCTTCTGACGTTGACCCGGAACAAGTATCTCGCCCGCCGACATCAGCGCTTCATTCTGAGCCTACTTCGCAAAAGCTTGGAGAGGATGTCAAGAGTGCGCTCACGCAGACCGAGATTCGGTCTCAGCAGACTGGTCCCTCCGTAGGTGACCTCGCCGGCCCTCCTCCATCCGATCGACCCGTACCTTCCGAGGAAGCGGCGGAAGGCTCGCAAGAAGCAGTCGAGCTCGCCCTCCGCCAATGGCAGGCATCTGGCCAGCCCGAGCGCGGTGCCGAGGACATGTGGCGCAAGTACGAGTCGCTCACACACGACCTCTCCTACGCGCTCTGCGAGCAGCTCCGCTTGATCCTAGAACCAACGATGGCGACGCGCCTCAAGGGCGACTACCGCACGGGGAAGCGCCTGAATATGAAGAAGATCATCCCCTACATTGCTAGTGAATTCACGAAGGACAAGATCTGGCTGAGGCGGACGCGCCCGAGCCAGCGCGAGTACCAGGTACTCATCGCGCTCGATGACTCCCGGTCCATGGCGGAGTCGCATTCGGTGCATCTGGCGTTCCAGACGCTTGCACTCGTCTCGAAAGCTCTAGGCAAGCTGGAAGTCGGTGACGTCGCGATCGCGAAGTTCGGCGAGACTGTCGATGTGCTGCATGGGTTCGACGGAGGACCTTTCACAGACCAGGCCGGGACGAAGGTCATGAGCGCCTTCCGCTTCGACCAGAGGGCGACCCAGGTACTCTCGCTCGTCCAGACGAGTTTGCGATTGCTCGAACAAGCCCGGGAAAGACGCGCGATCAGCTCGTCGTCTGCAAGCGACCTGTGGCAGCTTGAGATCATCATCTCCGACGGCATATGCCAGGACCACGAGCGGCTTCGGACGGTGCTGAGGCGCGCGGAGGAGCAGCGCGTTATGTTCGTTTTCATCATCCTCGACTCTCTTCACTCCAAGAGCGTGGCCTCTCAGGCTGGCATGTCGGGGAAGAACGAAAACTCGATTCTGTCGATGAACCAGGTGGCCTACAACATGGTGGACGGGCGGATGGACCTGAAGGTGGAACGCTACTTGGACACATTCCCGTTCGAGTACTATGTTGTGCTCAGGGACGTGGAAGCATTGCCGGACGTGCTTTCTGGAACGTTGAAGCAGTTCTTTGAGCGGGTCGCAGAGGCGTGATCGTGCCGTTTAGGGAAAAGTACAGTAGTCGACTCGGCGTAGTGCGATAGCATCTGTTGTGTACCAATATAAAATCTTGATTCCTACAACCCCGCCAAATGATTGCACGCAGCTTGAATGTCGCTGACGGATGGCGAATGGCAAGGTATATAAACAGGTCGGAACGAGCGCCAGTAAATATGAGTACCATCTGGGTTGTTGGACTATCTTGGCAGCCCTTCTAAGGGTGTCGATCCTCGGGCCACTGAATCTCCCAGTCTGCCCAAGGGATCGGCGTCCATAAAGGCAGTGCCAGCTGGTGATCCTAACGATTGAAACTTGATTGTTTGTGAGTGAGGGACCGAACTCACGCGCATTTCTTGCTCAAGTAGTTTGCCGATTAACTCCTGCTATCCTGTACTCTTTTTCTATAGTATGTAAACCGTACTGCATTATTTTCTGGCTTCGGTGAGCAACGATTTTCCTCATTCGGATAGCGTCGCTTTGGCTCCTGAGTGCCTGCCGTCCCAGGCTCTAGTCATACGTATCAGCAACATCGCTTACGGGGCACTGGGTCGACCTTGGTCCGAGCCATCAAATGTTCCGTCATCGAGACGGTGCAGACGATTTCCGTTCGGATGGTATCACACAATCAACGTCCCGCTCAACCAATCAAGCCTAGGATTTACATTGATCTGTACAAGTCTGACTGATCTTTCTCCGACTTCGATAGGCCAGGATAGCAGGCAAGTTCGCAATACCTCATCATCCATCACAGCAGCGAAACCTCCGCTTGCTGTGGTATTTGCGGAGAGACGTAACCTTCGTTGTAGGTGCCTATTGCGACAGTCGGCTCACGTCGACACCGTCCTCACTGGCAGCACAGTCCCTCTCTGTATCTCCACGCCCAAAGCCCGGAACACTGCCACTACCACCAACCTCTACACAATCAAGTGGTGAACAACTAGCGGCCGGGCCTCCAATGGGCACCCATAAGCGGAGTGTGGTCACACCACGTATGTGCTCCTTGGGGTGCGACTTGCATCAAGATCACCGACGCGATGCCCGTGTCAGTGTACCGCTCGACTGCTTTCATAGCGGCGAGACGACGTGCGTATACAACATGCGCTCAATCGTAACACGCAGTGAGCAGCGATCGCGTTCTTTGCAGGCGGCACCCTTCCCGCCTCGGAGACGGTGTTCTCAGCGGAACAGAAACCGGCCACGCCGTCGGACCAGACAACCTCCAGCAGGAGCCGGGTCGCCACCGTGTCTGAGATGACATCTGACGGAGAAGAAGCCCTTGCTCGTCCGGCCATCCTCGCTTCGCTTTCAGTGAGTACCAGGGGCCCTCTGGGAGATTTGGTCGTCGGAGGTGTGCAGTCCGCGATATCGTATACGCACACCGGCTCCTCATAATAGCGGGTATGTCGGACAGCGGAACGAGCCGCGCGCAGCGAGAGAGCCCCGCAAAGGGCCAGGCTACACGGGTCAAAGAGCTTCGCGATCGATGTTTCGAGCTTCGGAAGGCTGGCGATGTGAAATGAGGGGGGGCCCCAGCATCGCCAACAGGATCCGCCATGTGCAGCGGCAGCAAGAGCGCTCGAGTGAGACCGAGACTGGGATGCGTCGATCATACCAGCGCACAAGTTGTGCAACTTCTTCGTCGATTACGACACGGGAGGTGAGGTGAGGGCGTCACGACACGAACCACAGTACGGTGGGCTGCAAGTGGCCCTGCTGTCGCCCAAACGGATTACCTCCGTTGGATGGGAATGTGCTGGCGAGGATCCTCGAACTTGGCGACAAGGAAGGAGACGAGCGTCGAGTTGGTCGACGATGTGGATGACGTGTAAGACCTGAGGGCTTGAGCGCCTGCTTTACCGTATCCCGGTATCCGTACGCCCGTGGTCGAGCGCCTATTGCATGCTCTGAGACTGTCGTAGGGGCGTGGCGAGGTTATCGGAATCTTTAGAGGAGAGGTAACTTCCACTCTCTTGGCGGCGCAGTTCTACTCAAGGTCTGACACATAAAAGGCTGTTATAACCCATGAACCTCACCTCCACAGTGCCCCCGATGTTTTGGCTTCAAAAACTCCCACGGGTCCGCAGCAGCTCTCCAAGCCTTTACCACAGTACTCACTTGTGGTTGAACGCGAGAAGCTGAGTACGGACGGCTTGGCCAAGCGGCCGCCAATTTATGACTCCGACATCTGGCGTTTGTCGACCATGCGATGACGGCGCAGGCATATAACCATCATCGTCACCACCGGAAGCATGCACTTTTCCGAAGGTTTGCGGCGATTGATACGTCTGTGAGTGAGTTGAGCAGATTTGTGATAGGAGATTGCGGCTGAACGTCAGTGCTAGAGGCTCGCTTTACTTAGGAGCAACTCGACAGCATGTCTCGGGACTTCTCCGGCGACTCACACGGACATGATGCGGCTGCTCTGCGCAGTGCAAAGTGCTTTGTAGGTATGTATGTGCGGGCACAGTCCTGTCTCTTCTCACAGCGTCGGGTTCGGTTCGGTGCCTCCGGGGCCTGGACGCCATTGCATCATCGATTGTCGCCCTGTCCCGTCCCCGCCACCGGCTCATCCTCAGTACTTACATTGCTCTGATCTCTCTTTTGAGGACAGATCTGGGACAGACCTGCCATCGCATCACGACACGCTTCCAAACGCAGGACAGATCAGATTCCACCGTCGGCATCCCGAGCATCCCGCTCTGAGTACATGTCCTGCCCTGGTCGTCGAGATGGAAAATTTCAAGCACTCTCGTACCTCTGCCGTAATCGCTCGCCTTCGCGGTCGCTCCGCCTGTCCGTCCTGATCAACATCTCAATGTGCGACACGCCTGGAGCTGTCGTCCGCGATGCTTCTGCCGGCCATGCATGGTCATACGGATCCCGAGCTAATCGAGGACGAGCGGGACGCTGCCCAGGCACCCGAGTCGTAAATAGCCTTGTGCTCGCTCAGTGGGACTGACACCTGGCACCCACCGCGCTGGCGCGATTGGAGAGGCTCATCCGGGCGAGACGTAACCTTCACCATCGGGCACCGTCGTCCGTGATCATGGGTATCGTGGCGAGATCCAGTATGGTCCTGTCCACGTTTCATGCGTTCGCCAATCCCTCTTATCGACCTCGTGAACAAAGGCAGCTGTGGTCCAGGAGACAAAGGTCGGCACTTGCCCGCTCAATCTCGCACAGCGAGTTCGTCACCCTTGGTACAACTATAGCGACGACGTCCCCATGGCCCCCCGAGCTGCCGTCTCCGCGGCGGCAACGGCACCGCAGGTGTTCGAGCCACCCCTCCCAGCAGCCCCACTATCACCGAAAGCTTGCGCGCCGGACTCCCACCCGCTCGCAGACGGGCAGACCACCTGACGCGCGGACGTCTCTCTGACCGTCCCCGGCCGTCCCCCCCGGACGGCGTGCGGCGAGCGTGACGTGCCGTGTGCGAACGTCCGGCGGTATTAGCGGCGCCTTCGTGGCGCACGCGCACGCGTCCACCCGCGTCGTGTTCCCGTCGTTCCCCCGTCTGTCCGATGATGTGCCTCGCATGTGCCGCCGCGGGGGTTCTCTGGCCTTCTCTCTCTCTCTCTGTCTCGCTCTTTGTGCAGCGCGCGATCGCGATCGCGATGATGATTGTCGTATCATGTAGAAGCCGGGCGAGCGCGCCACGGCGGATTGCGCAAGCTCGTTTCCCGAGACGATTGCGTGCCCCGCCACGCGGATCGCAACCTCCTCCCTTCCTTCCTTGCGACGGAAGAATAAGTCCAGTGCCGGGAACGTCGCTGCGTCATTTCAGCCGTCCCTCGCCTTCGCACATTCAAACATCCGAACGTTCGTGTTCACCTCCATCCAAACAGGCGCGCGGGGATAGGGAGACACGCGTTCAGCTTCCGTCGCTCCCCTCTGGCACTTTCGTGATGCAAGAAGCCCGCGAACGCCTCGAAGCACGGAGGCACTCGTCCCGTCGCCGTCAATCGTCCGCGCGACGTGCATATGGATGCTCCCCAGTCGAGCAGATGTGTGCGCGATTAAAAGGAAAAGAGCGACGATAGCGGTAACTCGTAACAGGCAACTGATGCTACATGCACGGCCGAACCCAAGACACAAAAAAATTACAACCGCCGCCGCCGCCGCCCCACGTCGCCCCACATTCCAGAACATCCCAAACTCTCCCACTGCCGCACAACACTCGCACTCGCACTCGCCGTCGCGCGCGCGGTGGCCCAAAGTATGTATGTATGGTATGGTACACAGCGTGACGGGGATGCGCGCGCGACCACCTCTTCGCTTGCGTTTGTCCGTAATGAGACAAGGTTGGATTGTAACGGTACACATCGGAGATTAAAAGGGCAATATGCCGAGACCCCTCGAGCTCGCCGCCGCGCACGCGGGGTGCGCGAGCGACGCGGAACCCGACCCTATGGTCGGGCGATGAAGGCGGACACACATCTGACGTGACATTCGGACACGGAGTTGAGAAAGATCGCGGGCGCGGACGGAGGTTGCGGGGCACTCACCGGTCAAGAAGAGATGGGAGCACGGGATGTTCACCAGTCGGCGACGGTGACCCAAGCCTCTCGGCGTTCGACGACGGGCTCCTGGGGACAATGGAGGCAAGCAAGAGTGGCGCGCGTGAGCTTCCCGATCTCGGCTCCAAGCCAGCCGAGCAGTGCCGAGGCCCTTGGCGGGAGAAGGCGCTCTGGAGGAGTGGACTTACGGGAACGGGGCTCGCCTGGACGGCGGAGAAGGCGGTAGCGACGACGGCGACGACGGCGAGGATGTAGCGGAGCGAGGACTGCATGTTTTCGAGCGGCTGGAGGGGGGGCGCGGAGGGGTGCGTTGGTGGGAGACGGGGGCTGGTAGGCGGGCAGCGGGCAGACAAGGGACGGAGGGAGAGGGGGGCAGGGGCTGGGCTTAAGTATAGGTGGGAGGCGGCGGGCGTGGGCCTGGGAGCGGCGAGCGAATCGCGTTCTCACTCTGGCATCGCGATCGCAGGCGTGCGTGCCATATTCTCGCAGACAGACAGAGTTCCCGAAGCCCACCCGCGGTCGCCTGCGGCTGGCCCCTCCAGCGAGGGCCCCGGGGACGAGCCCAATCGAGACGGAATTGAAGCCCCGCGCGGGCCTGAGAAGGGAAGGCCCAGCTGAGAAATCCATCTAATTCTTGCGAGGTGCGCCAGACGGGAAGCCTGCCCTCCCACCGGAGTACCGCTCTTGCTGCTGCCCAACTTTGTTCAAGCCGCGGGCTGGGAGCGGTCTGCACGCCGAAGACGACGCCTGGGCTCCCCACAGCTCCGGGCGGACGCCTTCGATCGTTCCGTGCTGCCGTCGCTGCCCAGCGCTGCCCTCGTCCCTGTGCCTGATCGATGCCTTCCAATATCCCTCCTGCCGAGCGTTTTGCCGCAGTGCGGGGTCTCCTGTGGATGTCGACCAGCACGCGGTTTTCATCCCTGAGGCGTCGCAGATGCTTAATGTGCCTACGCAGCGACCAACAGCTCTCGCTTGGTAATCGGTGGCATGCGCAGCGCACGCAGTTCCCAGTGCGCTCCCCGGCCTGCCATCGTCCGCGTATCGATAGAACAACAACGCCGGTTCCGCGATTCGCAGCAGCCACGTATGTATTGCCACTAATGCGTGCGCACGAAGCCTGCTGAAACTCAACCGAGTCTGCTCTCCCGGCCCCCTTCTCAGTTCTGCTAACAACAGCCGGCGGCATTTTGGACGTCAGCCTACTGCACCCCGCAAGGCACGCTCGCCCTCATTCGCCCGTCGACGTGCCCTGCCCAGTATTTTTGGCCAGCCGGATCTCAAGACGTCAGCCTCCAATCAGCGCACGCGCTGCCGTTCACAGCGAGTTGGCGCTTCTGATTAGACGGTGTCGCCGACGTCGACGATCATCCATGGGCACACGTGGGACGCCCGCAGAACGTGCTGGATATCCAACTTTATGTGCAGCAGCACGCACAAGCGGGCATCGTAGCATCTCGTTTCTGTGCGGCCGTGGCCCGTGGGTACATATCTCCACGACCGCACTCCCGTCGGCGATCAAGGCATCAGATGTTGACGTCCGATTCCCCCAAATACATATACTTACCGTACGTACGAGAGCGTCTGTGGCAAAACTTGAAAGTACGGCATGCGTGCCCAAGCCGAAACTCAGCGGCCGCGATGGTCCGGGCGACGAGAATAGGGGATGACGTAGCGGTAGCAGAATACTCCGTCCATGTACATGGGTCGAAGGCGAAGTGCTCGTATGGAAGCGGCAAGTGAGAATTGGCGCACAGGATGGTCCGAGGCTGATGCGACGCCAGCGTACGTACGTACGCACTCGCGATGGGGCCTGCTCGTTCCGTCTAATGTAAGTAGGGAAGGGTGACTGACGCACCGTGCAGACCGACATACATAGACATCGTATATCCTGCGAGCCCCGGCGGTCGCGCGGGGCTCTCGCGATAGCAGCCCAGCTCCGGACAGCGAACGACGTGAGCTTGAGTCGTGTCGGAAACTCCGACGACTGAAGCATCGTCCTCGACGCGTCGAAACTGTCGTAGCCTCGCTTGTACCGTTCCGGATGCCAGGCCTACCGCTTACGCCCGAGGCTAGCATCTATCCTTTTCGGCGCATACACCCTGCGGAATGTCCATGATGACCTTTCAGCAGCCTACGAAGCGTAGTGTCTGCATGGCGTATCTGACCGAGCAGGCACCGCCGTCCCTCAGGTCAAAGACGGCGTCCTAGCGGCCCCCTGGCCTGTTTCAGGTTCGAGTTCGGTAATGAATACGCTAACGTTGGTGCGACCTCAGCGGGCGGCGCCACCGCTGTGGCGGTTGCTAAATGGCCGTCGCCTGGACGCCTAACCAGTCGTATCGGTCGGTCTGGAGCGAGCGTGCCTGCCAGGGATATGACAAGTCATGACCAAGGGCGAGCTGTTCCCAAGGCGTGGGACAAGGAACTGCGTGTGTATAAGTATATCAATCAAATCGAGGAAAGCATCTAATGAATCGGCCTCGGTCTCGATAATCAAAATACTCACCGAGGCACATACGTGTGGCCGCCACATACGCCGAGCGGATGATCCCCGGGCACGCAAGGGGCACGGGGGGCACAGGGGCCTCCACAGTCCAGACGATGGATCGGTCGCCCGCTCAAGCTTCGCTGCAGATAGGAGACTGAGTTAAGCGACGTATGTGCTTGAATTCGGGTGCTATTAGCACGGGAAAGCAGAGTGGAAGGATATCGATTCGAAGCCTGCGCTGATGCCGACGAGTTCGTCCAGCTGGCGCGCGGCTGTATGCACTTATCGGGTAAGTAAAGGCGCCCGCCCACAGCACTCGTGATTGCTTCCGACGCATATCTCGAGCCAGTGGCGAGTGGAGCCGTCTGATCGCCAAGGGTCCTACCTGCTAACCACCACATCCGCAGGACAGTCCCTCGAGCAAACATCGGAATGCGTCCACAGAGGGGCACACCGCGAAGGCAGCCGCAGCCGCACCGGGTGTTCCAACCTGGGAGGCGGCATATGGAACTCATCGCTTCCGTCAGCCGGAGCAGTGGCCTGGAGAAGGACGGAGATGCGTGAGTGCTCAGCGCATAGTACATCAAGTCATCGCCTCGCACAGACATCAATTCTAGTGTCCTCTCGCTCTTGTACTTACGTGCGTGCAAGGTGGAGAGGTTGCTATGCCTGTCTGTTCGCGAGCGTGATTTTGATTTTTTTTTCTCCGCTTCGCCAACGACACGCGTGTAACCTATCTCAGCTTCTCAGATTGCGCGACGCCAGAGTCCAAGAAGAGTATAGGACATTCATCCAGGGCAAGGTATGCCTTAGTGCCAATCAAGTTCCGTCCGCGCCGCGACGTCACTGTGGCGGTTGGGATGACAGATGCTGATTAGGACCTTGTGCTGTAGCTAGACGACTACTGGAAGAGGTACCCACTATCCTCGTATGCAGACCTCGGGAGCGAAGACGCCGATGCAGCCCGGAGCCGCAAGGAAAATCAAGAGAACCTGCTGATATTGCTCCGTGCGTGCAATATCCGGCGCCGGCGTACAGACAAGTCCTTTGACCGCCTTCGCTTCGGACAGGTAAGCTCCGAGAGGGACTGCTCTCCATCAAGCGCAAAGATGCATTTGCCCTGGAAGGCAAGTGGTACATTACCTCCCTGGCTACATTCTCTTGGCTGATGTGATCACAGTGTACGAGACGTCTCTCTATCTCGCGGTGCTGTTCAAATCCCCGGTCCAGACGACCTCCGCGCTCTCCCATATCTTCCCCGACCTATACATCTCGATTGCATCGCAGAGTGCGCAGCCCCCAGCATCAGCATCAGCCTCGAGTGCGACGAAGCCGTCCCGAGTGATTTCGGACAGAGAGAAATCATTGTCCACATCTCTGCGAACTGAGAAGGGTCCAGAAGTTTCGCTCCCGGGCTCAGCACTCGCTACGACGCTCATCTTCCTCCTCCACCATCTCGTCACGACATACCCATCTCAGGTCGCGTTCCATACACAGGTCCGCCAACTGCACCCAGCACTCCAGGCTGTCCTCGGAACGCCCATCTTCGACCCCACCTCAAGGCTCCCTGCCGAGGCCGCGCTATCGGAACCACTCGCGCCTCCATCTATATCCAAACTCAAACTCAATGTCGACACCCCGTCCGAGACCGGACCGCACTTGGGCTCCAAGGAGTCAAAGCCAAAGCCCGCGATTGAGGCAACAACAAAGACAAAGACAAACCCGGCAGCTGCTTCTGGGCGCCAGCCGCCAGCCGCTCCATCGCCGCTATCCAACACGGCTTCCCCGTCAAGCAGAGCCCCAGCTGCCCCGCGTGTGTCGCACCCACCGCGGCCGGCATCGGCACGCGACTGGCTTCGCGAGCTCGCGCGATGCCTGAGGACGCGGAACTACGCCCGGCTGGAAGGCCTCACACGCCGCGAAGTCTTCGGCGGTTTTATCCATGTGAACTTCGCCGAGTTAGACACAGACACAAGCGGACGCGGGCAGCTTATCGAGGCGATCGATCCCATCGACAGCAAAGGCGGGGCGACGCCGAGCTACGAAGACCTCGCGCTAGAGGCAATCGGGGTGCTTGTGGAGAGCCTGCTCGAGAAGGCGCGCGGGGTGACGTGGAACGTGCTCAGGACTGCGTATCGCGAGGTTTCTTTGAGCGCGACGCCTAGTGCGCCTGCCCATGATACGGGGACTACTGGAGATTGGCTGGGGAGGTCGCTTGTGCTAAGAGCGTGCGCCCCTCGTACTACGGGGCCTGACGGAGCTAGCGTCAGGCATGCGGCCATAGAAGCATGGCTCGATGAGCGGTGCAGGAGAGGCGAGGCGCGACGGAAGCAGGGCGAGGGTATGGACGGACGGTGGATACTCGTCAAGGCGTGAAGATTGCTCGGCAGAAGACGGCGCTGAGAAGTGGGCTGAGATGACATGGGGGTTGTCCGTGCCTGAGAGGTCGCCGGGCCTCGCTGGCAATCGATCTATTATCTGTATGCTCAAGATCCGTCGTATTGATACAAGGCGACCGTTGCGTGTACAACAATAGCAGAGTTCAATATCGAGGGGGGACTTCGCGTGATCACTCCGTCGCCCGTTTCGACAGGTTAAATCGGTCGACGACGATTTGGACGATGTCCCGCCATTCAGTCATGGCTCCGAGACCTCGGTGGTAGAAGAGTCGTTTGAGTGTTTTCGGCAAGGTTGGGACTGAAATGAACCGCTACTCACCGATGTCACCGCATGCGAGCTTCTTGCCAATGGGGCCGACGACGTTGTATCCAATGACCTCACGCACGACGCGTAGGTGCTGCTCTGTGAGCGGGTGCTCGTACATTAGCGTATTCATGGCGGGAAAAACGTAAGTTGGCGTCGTCGGAGCAAGGGCCCGTAACAGAGACGTCTGGGTCATCGGAAAGATCAGGAACGCGGAAACCATGCGCATCGCCCGTACTCACTGCTAGGTTGTCGCAAACGCCGTTGGCGATCTTGGACAGTGAATTCGCGGAGCAAGGAGCGAGAAGGACTATGTCCGCCCAACGCCGAAGCTCTATGTGTAGGATAGGGTCACCGATCTTGTAATCCCCCTGCAAGATGTGAGTAATCTGAGAGACAAGTGTATCTTGCGTGTGCTTACATACGGTCCCCATTCATCCTTGTTCCTCCAGACTCTGACACCGGTCTTCTCTATTTCTTGGTGGTCGTAGAATGATAGGGAGGCCTCGGTGGCTACTACCTCGACCTTGACATTGTTGTACTGCCGGTGAAAACGGTCAGGTTGCCACCCTAACCACAACGCACCACACTCACGTACCGTGAGTAACTCCGCGACAATGAGAGGCGCCTTGATCGAGGCCACACTCCCGGTGGTTATGAGGACCACATGGGTGAATCCCTCTGTACGCTCATCTTCTGCCACGAAATTCCTCTCCATGTTCTTCGATGTCGCTTTACGAGACGTTACAGCGCTCGCTGTGTGGTCTTTGGGGAATGCGCATGTTGCTGAGGTAAGAGGTCGGTCGCGTGCTCGAGCCTGGCGTCATATACGGAGTGCTTTGTGGCTGTGCCAATAATTTCTGCACGTGCTGCACTGATCCAACAATCAGACCCGTCCTCTGCTCGGCCAAACCTGCTTTCTTTACTCGACCACCATCTTTTCCGCTACACGAACCTTGTTACACGACCTGCGATAGATCATGGCTACTCTTTCGCTTCTGGGCCAGGGCTTGAAGCTCGATACCCGGGCAGACATCGCGCCCCACCTCGTAAACTACGACCCGGCCCTCATCGAGGAGATCCATCTTGGAGGGAACACAATTGGTGTGGAGGCGGCGCAGGCTCTCGCGGATTTCCTCGCAAAGACGGAAAAACTCAGGGTACGTGACCCACATCGTCTTTGTCTTCCACGGCAACTGACTCCTCGCCTTCTGCCCACAAACTCCCTATCCGTAATCCTCCGCTCGCGCGCACGACCACTGGCACACTACTCTGTATCCCGCATCACTAGATTGCGAACTTTGCAGATATCTTCACCGGCCGCCTGATTACCGAGATCCCTCTCGCGCTGTCCGCGATCTGCGACGCCCTCATCGGCAAGTCCACGCTCGTCGAGATCGACCTCTCGGACAACGCCTTCGGCGGGCGCTCCGTCGACCCCCTCGTCCCCTTCCTCTCCACCGCACGCTCCCTTCGCGTGCTCAAGCTCAATAACAACGGCTTGGGTCCCGCAGGCGGCGCTGTAATCGCCGAAGCGCTGACACGATTGGCTGGGTCGCTCGAAAAGGGCACAAAGTCGAACCTGCGCACGATCATCTGCGGGCGGAATCGCTTGGAGGATGGCTCCGCGAGTGCGTGGGCTGCCGCGCTCGAGGCGCACGGGACGCTCGAGGAGGTGCGTATGCCGCAGAACGGCATCCGGATGGCAGGCATTTCCTCGCTCGTCAAGGGCCTCGCCAAGAACACCGACCTGCTCCACCTCGACCTCCAGGATAATACCTTCGCGGAGGAGGGCGGAAGGGCGTTTGCGGATGAGCTCGGCCGCGGCTCGTGGCCCCTGCTCAAGGTGCTCAACCTGTCGGACTGCGTTATTGGTGAGGAGGGCGAGGTGTCTCCGGTCGTCGAGGCGCTCGCACAAGGGCTGCACACAAAGCTCGAGAACCTCCAGCTCCAGAACGACAACCTGGAGGCTGCTGAGTTCGCGTTGCTCGCGGGTGTAGTCAGCAAGCTGCCCGCTCTTAAGCGCCTGGAGGCGCAGTGGAACGAGGTTGAGGAGGACGATGAGAGCGTAGCAGCGCTCGCGGCTGCCCTCCGCAAGCAAGGCGGTAGACTCATCTTGAATGACGAGGAGGACGAGGAAGAGGAAGAAGTCAAGGAAGCTGAAGAGGAGGAAGAGGCACCTGCGAGTGTCGCAGCCGCGCCCGCCACCGTAGAAGTGGACACAGAGAAGGAGAAGAGCGCAGTGGACCAGGCTGCGGACGACATCACAAGGCTGCTCGAGAAGGTTTCCATCCGGTGACATAGGGTGGGACTTGGCAGTGGTCGTTAGAAAGGCGATAACGGGAGAAGTTCTTGTGTTCCTGTATCTTCATATTCCATTGGTCCTGCATCATCCATCCATACAATTTCAGGTCTACAAGGAGAGTTGTATTCTTTCACGCATACCATATCCATCTACAACTTCTATACCAATACATCTTGGTCATCTAGGCATCCTACTCTAAAATGTATATTCTATACTGTCAGCGTCCGTGGTAGGTAAACAATGGAACGTCCGGAAGATTCATAAGTTGTCAACCAAGCAAGCATCTCGTGAGATTCAGGGATCGCTAGTGGCAGTGGCTCGTGCTATCTCCTCGGGAGACTTGTGACGCGCGAAGACGTGGACATGGGCGAGACCTGGTACGCTTTGAAGCCTCTACTTGCGATGTCAACTATCTTTCCAATGGCGAGAACGAACCGCATATCACTCACGGGTGGATTCAGGAACCAAGCCGTCTCCCACTCGTGCTCGTTCCACCTGCGCTTGACGAACGTCTCAATCTCCTTGCCGTACTCCTTGATCTGCCGCTCCTCCTCGTCGGTACCACGGGGGGACCTGATGAGCTTGTCCATCGTAACTCCCCAAGGCTCTAGCGCAGGCAAGGCTTGAGGCAAGAGACTAGGAGACGGTGGTGGAGAGTCGAGGCCGGTGAAGCCCCAAAGGCCGTCCTGAAGGAGACGCGCGGAGATCCTGGACTCCACCGGGGAGGGCAGGTCGGGCGGGAAGAAGGGCACGCGCGACCAGATGAGACTGTGCTCGATCTCCGGGGGAACTGCGGGCATGGTGGGGTGAGCAGCGGGACGAAGCGACAGCACCTGACGGGGTCACACCTGAGTACGGCCAGTCGTTCATGGCGACGTAGTACAGCTCCTTGGACATGTCCGCATGGAAGTACGCAGGGGCATCTGGGGGCATGGGTGGGAGTACACCAATAGGTCGGGTCTTGCTCTCAGAGGGTGCAGGAATGTTGGGCTCCGCAGGTGGATCGAGGGATGATCGGAGCAAGGAAATAGTGTCGGGATGGCCCCATTGCAGTCGATAGGAAAGCAAGTAGTTGACTGAGGATAAAACACGTCTTCAGCGCGATCTCTCATAGGCACTACGTCGAGGTACGCACCAATAGACCCGTACTCCTTCTTGACACCTTCCGCCCACTCGTTGTATCGCTGCTGCAGCTTTTTACTCCTCTTAAGCAGCCCCAGATCGCTATACAAAGTTCGACGGCACTTAACACTTCACATTCCGTCGCGTCCGACTTGGCCAACATACCCGGAATTGACAAATATTTTCATTTGGTGCCATGTGAAGTTCGCAGGATAGTGCACGAGTAACTCTTCCCGCGTGGGCAGCCCAGAGCCTAATGGAACGGTGTCCGACGAGAGCTCAACGGGCTTGGTTTCAATCGCCATTCAGAAAGCACGGTAATAACAGCAGGTGAAGGCTGAGAAAGCGGAAAAGGGTGCTGAAGCAACGAAGGCAGTCGCGACCCACTACTCCTCCCACACTTCCGAAAACAATCGGACAGGCGGCATCAAGACAAAGGAGGCCAATGTGATCATTCACATTCCCAATGCTGGCATCCGTAGGCACCAAGGAAAGGCTCATGTCAACCGACCAAACACCGCAAGTCGATGAAAGTGCCGAAGTATACGGCCCTATGGGGTCGTGAAGGGGGATAGTAGCTGACCGTGGGCGCCGACACCGTCGGTAGATAATTAGAGATCTCTTCTGCCCAACTCATTTGCTCGTTCGATTCGTATTCTCACAATATACCCTAGCACTTCTAGATCAGTATGAAGCACACGTAAATTTGTGGTCCATTCAGAGTGAGTGATGTATAGTATAATACAATTAACTAGTACAATTCATCCTGCATGAATATGCCTAGGCATGAAGTCCACAGACAATACAGCGGAACACAGTCCGCTCAATCACTAAGCAGTGCGCGCACCTCCCTGGCGGCCATGGGTAACATCGTGATGGTAGACGGGCTCCTCGGGAACAGGGAAGGCTTCGCTAGGTCGGTGAGACATCCTCGTTGCCGATACAGTGACTTCAAGAGACGGGAGGTCATTCAACGGGACCTCCGCTCCACCCGCCTATATGAAGGTAAGCGTCCAGCACGACGTCTAGTATGAACGCAATGCATTGAACTCACCTTCTGCACGCGCCAGTGGAGATTCTGATGCAAGTATGGTTTGACCACGCTAGGATCGAATGAATGCAAGCCCGAGAGCCTCGCAATCGCCTCGTTCAGGTGCACGAAGCCCTCGATGACAAGGTCGCCCTGGCGACGGCAGTTCGCGCACCGCTGAGGGGAGCTGTTTACGAACGCCTGGTGAGCCCCGACATAGTGCGGGCTCTTGCGCCACTCTGCTGGGCTCTCGGGAACGGCACCCAAGAATAGCAGGACACTGAAGCTCCCGCCGACTTCATACTTCTTGACGTGGATGCGCGCTGTCCAATCCCAGTAGTTGCTTGCAATGGAAATCGAAGGGATTGCCTCAGTCGTGAATTGCGTCTCGTCTTCGTCGTCCTGCGCAGCGATTGCGCGAGGGATCGGGGTCTCGACGGGAACAGAGGATGTGGGCTTTGCGGCTGCGATGGACTCAATATGAACGGGGGCTTCTTTCTCCCGCGACGTCGCGGCAAAGTTCACGACCGGGGGGAAGCCCCGCTTTCCACGAGAAGCGCCCCCGTACAGCTGATTGACGACCTGGGCGATATGAGCTTTGACAGCGTCTTGGTTGCCCAAGTCGAGGCCGTTGAACTCGGGATAGGAATACTGGAGTTTCTGTGGAACAACTCCTACGGACTCTGCGGATGTCCAGAAGGTGCTCTGCTCCCTCCAGAAGGGAGTCAGAGCTGAGGAAGATGCATTCGTGAGCCGCAACGATAGGCGTCGTAGGTGCGAGCAACGCACGTGTGTTTGTGTCCACCGTCGCGCCGTCAGGGATTGTGAATGTCCCGTCTTCCTCTACGGACTTGTTGACCCAAACACCAGGGTTTAATGCGGACCACAAAGAGAGAAGTCGATCGACTTGGGCGTGATGCAAGAAGAAAATGGGATCGAAGCCTGCCAGACAAACAGTCAATTGTGTGGTATAAGGTTCAGAGAGGTTACGTTATCTAGCATACCTGCAACGGCAGGGTCGGCCATGTGTCCATCTCCTCCGACGTCGACATGAATACCATCGTGGATAGCTTCCAGGCTGTTGCTAGAGCTGCCGCCGTCGTCCCGGGTGTGGTTGCTGAACGCCGGCCATGTGTGCACACGGGTCAGGAGGTTGTATGTCTTTGACCTGATGTCTGTTTGTGCAGACCGGAGGGTACTGTCGCGCACAACTCGGTAAGTGCATACGAGGGTCAGTTGTAGAAAATGTCGTGTCACCTCTTGAGCTCGGCAACATTATCCTGAGCATCCGCGTCCAAGGTGGTTGGGTGCCTGAATGTCGTCTGCCAATTGATGTACGGCTCCGGGAAGGAAGGTTCAATGGGATGGAATGCGTATTGGAAGAGAGGGTTGTCGACTTGAGTGCGCTTCCCGTCAGGTGTGGTGATAGTGACCCGCGCAAGAGATATAACTTCGGCAGGCGGCACGGAGTTGCTCGCCCAGTCCCAGAACGGCTGGCGGAGATCCGCAGCAGCCTTCTCCCAGCGGGCCTTGTCGACTGTGTAAGTGGCGGCGATGTCCTGAGCATGCTTGTGCAAGACTTGCTGTGTTTTGGATGTGTTAGCAGTACTTCCCGAGATGGGGCCGGTGCATTTACGAACCTCATAGAGTGCGACGTACGGCCGGTGCCATGTTGGGAACAGGACCGAGCCATGGGTACAGTAGCCAGCCTGCTCGGCAGGGTCATCTTGTCCGGCGCCGTCCCAGGAAATGTACGGCAAACCATGAATGCCTCCGATCTGGAAGAATGAGATCAAGTCTTCCTGAGTAGATTTCGACATCACGCCTGAAGGTTGTGTTTAGATGTAGGTCAGGTAGAGGGACATGAACCGCATACCGAGCGCTTGGATGTAAAGAGAAAACATCTCTTCGTTCTTGATGAAGTCATTGATCTCTAGGCGGTTGGGGGCGAGAGCACCTTGTGTGGATCCACCACGAGCGCCAGTGATTAGGAAGTGGGACATAACGAGCAAAGTCTGGGTTTCGAAAAGAGTAGGGTACGTTGCGGGTGTCCTGAGGGTGGACTTGTGCTGGATCGCTCATCTCCTCTCCTCTTTAAATGTACCCGTCCAGCCGCACGCAGCGCTACATCGCGCACAAATGACTCAAGATGAAACACCTTGAATATGGCACCTGTCCAAGCCATACCGTTCAGCGAGGCGCTATGCACCGGAATATGGTATCGCAGCAAACCACCCGCGCCACAGAATGGAGGCCTGGACGCTGAAAGATGGGTCGCATCGACGGGGGTTGAACATGTACGTCTTCAAGACTGCCCCTGCGCCCATGAAGACAGACGCGGTGTTCAGCAGATGATAGCCGTTGGACAGCTCACTCCTTGAGTGGGATACACCGAGGTATCCTTACGTTACAGCATCTCCCACATCGGTGGAATGGCCCAAAATCCTGACCTGAACTCGTGGCACGGCGTGTCAAAGACAGGTCCTCCACGCTGCAATTGACCTAAGCCAAGACTCACCAAGGATTGAACTTCGTTCCGACCGGGATCGCGTCTGGTCTGGCGAGCCGCCAAACTCGAACCACAGGCGTCTCCAAACAACCGCCGCCGACTCGAACGCGCACAGGGTCCGGCAGCTGAGCGTGCGGCAAGTACATGATGGGGCTGCTTCCCATCGAGCCAAGCAATTCGGGGCACGAGGACGTAGGCAGGTGCGCAGATGACATTGCAAATGTCAAGGCGTCTTACCGGACGCCACTCTCTCCGGGTCCAACCCTCACAAGAGCCACTACGCTGCGGCTTCATTCTCGACAATCAGTGTCGAGGGCGAGCGGCGGTCCTGTTAAATGGCCTCAATCTGGAGAGGAAGTATATTGGCCCATACGCACAGATGATTGAAATGAACATGTGAACCTGCAAACCCGGACGCTTAGCGCAATATTTACCGGTGGATAGAACAGAACAGCGGCAGAATGCTCGATTTCCGGCCGATGACGACAACCTTACTAAGCCCTGACGCACCTTACGAAACATTCTTCACTCGACGCTCCGTGCCACTGGGAGAGACAAGCGGATACGGAACATGTTGGGTTAGCAGGATGCTCCGGCAACTCTCTTCGTAGAGGCAGTGAAGGCGTCAAGGCACCCGGCGCGGCCTATCCACCCTATCGTATTGTGTCAGGCTAGATATCCATCAGGAGTGTGTACCATGCGTGCAAACCAGTCAACAAGGTATAGTCTATGAGACAAGAAGAGGGTGCTGACAGCACAGGGGCACAGCAGCGAGAACACATCAGTCCAAACCCAAGCCCCGGACCTGACTGCGGATGAGAGAACATACAAATCAAAGCCCGACTATCTCAACCAAATCACCATCCTCGAGATCAGCCTCCCCAATCTCAGTCTCCGGGTCCATTCTGTCTCCGTCAACGCTCAACGCGGGAACCTTCGGTGCCGCCGCTTTCCCGCGGCCGCGACCCTTCGCGGGGGCGCCCCCAGCAGGATATTCAGCCTCGAGCCCAGCCTTCTTGAGGAATGCACGGACGATGGCACCGCACTTCGTGGTGGGGCGGACAGTGAGTATGATATCCTTGTCAGTCCTTCCCGAGCGCACGGTGAGCTTGAACGTCTCAGATCCGTCCTCGTGTTCCTGCGATGGAGGCGAAGGCGATTCGTTGGCCTCAAGCTCAGATTCCATGATGGTGACGGACGGGCAACGAGCACGGGAGGTGGTCTGGTTCGGGTCGTCGTGTCCTGGGGGAACAGACACGGAACGGGCGCGCTTGTTCTCCTGGAGGTACCGGTGTGTGACCTTGTCGTATGCCTCTGAGGAGTAGGCCATTGAGATGTAGACGAATCTGAGGAGGCGAAGAGACATACCGAACGTCGCTGTCGCCCAGATCTTGATGCTATGTGGTGTTGAGGACGGAAACACCCGCTTTCCGTCGTAAGAGATGACAAGATTCTCGGCTCGGATACTTGCGAGGTCGGCAACCTCATCAAAAAGGCGATAGAAGTCGTCGTGCTTGATAGGGAAAGGGAAATGAGCTGCGAACAAACATATGTAGGAGTGGCTAAACGCACCCTCTTCTGCTCAATACCCCAAGCCTCTGCTTTACCGTTGGGATCCAGCGGATGGGGAGTCCACTGAACCTTGATTTGGACTTTCTCGGGGCCGCCAGACTCTGCCGCGGACGATCCTGCACGCATTTTGGCTTCCACTTGGACTCGCTGAGCGATAGACGCAAGTTCTGGAGCCAAAACAATGTTGTCCGTTGATTCGTCGGCGAACTCCGTGGGCGAAGGTGCTCGTGGTTGCACGCCAACTAATTGTCTAGATAGAGCTGAGTACGTCTGCGCAAAACATGAGAATATCGAAACACGCACTGCACCGCCGCTTTTGCTCGTTGGATAGCAAACTGCGTTAACATTGGCGGAGGTGTGATGGAACGGCTTCGAGGTTCCGCTAACAGAGTTGACTCCTCGTTATTATTTGCAATAGTCCTCTTTTGTAGACGGGTGGGCACGATGTCATCATCCGAGTCCAAGGATATACTGAAAGCATGCGTCAGTATACCCGCATGATATAGGCGTCTATTGTGGTTCTGGGAGAGCGTGCATATGCGCCGTGCGCATATATGCGTCTATACTCGCCAGAAAACGAGACGAATGACCAAGAAAGTCGACTTACACTATCTCGTTAGGTTTCTTCCTTGTCCAGTCCGGTAGTATGTCATTCTTCCTTTGAGGTTGCTTCTTCTTACGAGCACGGGGTCGTGGAGAAGAGCCGCCCTCGATGTCAGAGCCCTCTGAACTTCCAGACTTACGCTTTTGAATTGTCTTCTTCTCTACGATGCGTAGGGACCGAGGAAATGTCACGCGTGTTCGGATCGAGATACGCGATTGACGCACCTTCCGTTATCTTGCTCAGCTCCTTCCAAGCTCGGGCATCGCGGGTCTGGTTCCGCAGGAACAGCGCATCCTCGTCCTCGATGCTGAGCGTGGGCGGTTGTTGAGTGGAGGTACTAGCGGATGATGGACCCGGGGACGAGGAGGAAGCGATGTCGGTGTTGAGGACGGTGGCTGGCGCGCGTGCGCGGGGACGCGGTCGTGGCTTGGGAGTCGGACGCGTCGAGGACATCGCGGTTAATAGGCAAAGTCCGGGCGTGGGAATCTATTGACTTTCCAGGCCTTTTGTTCATTCACGTGATGTGGCGCCTCTGGCGCGCCCGAGCTGGCTCTACTCAACTCTCGTCCACGACCTGTCTCCGTCGATCGTCTGACTTTGCTTGTTGTACATTGTAAGACCGGACGATCTGTTGCTCGTGTTTCTAGATCCCATCAGGGAAATGGCCGAACCTACCGTTGTCTTCAAGCGAACTAAGTCCAAACATGCGCAACGAGCGCGCGTATCCACACCGGATCCGGATGCAGCATCTGCCAATGGAGGGAAGGCTGAGGAGGAGGTAGAAGAGTCAGTGACATCTATTGCTGCCAAGTTGAAGAAGAGGTCCAAAACGCGTGCAAAGCCAAAGACCGCTCTAAGCTTCGGTGGGGAAGAAGAGGTGAGACGTCAACATGCTATCTACCGGTAACTTCTGACAGGTGCTTGTATGTACAGGAGGGCGGCGAGACATTCAAAGTCAAGAAGGGAGCATTAAGCAAGAATCTGATGTTGTCGAAGGGTGTAGGGTACGCGAATTTTTCCCATGGCGAGCGGCTAGTGAATCTTTGTGCTCGAGCTTCCATATACACTGTACTCCTCACTATCATCCCAATGAAAATACATGCTTTTTGGGGCCATATGATGGCAGTTCCCGTGTATATGGAAGCCCGGGAACAACATCTTTACGTCTCAACTGGACTACAAGTACTGACTACGTTTCCAGAACTGCACTGCCTGAGCTTGAGATTCCGCGACATCCCACTGGACCTACCTATGACGCGGCATATCTGTCCCAGCTCAAGGCGAGCACTCCTACTGCTCGTCCTGCTCTACCCACCGATGCGTATGATGCGGATGTCTCCATGGATGTGGACTCGTTTGCGCACCTCTCAGCTCTGAGTGCCATCCCGGACGATACAGCCGAGACAGCTATTCCTTCTGCTTCGTCCATCCTTGCAGCGAAGCAGAAGCGTGAACGTCTGCGCGCCAACAAGGGCGGCGATGACTACATCTCCCTCTCGCTTTCCAAACGGGATGATTTCTCACAAGGACCGCACCCAGAGAGCAGGCTGGTGAGGGAAGAAGACGAGCTTGGCGACGCTGACGATGGTATGTACTGCACAGCGTCTGATCCAGAAGTCACTGGCTTAGAATGTCCCACTTCCAGAATTCGCCGAGTACACCAGCGCAAAAGAACGCATCGCTCTAGGAAAAAAGTCAAGGAAGAAAGAAGCACAGAAGCGCCGAGAAGAAATGAACGAGATGATTGTGGATGCGTGAGTTGCTCTTCTGCTTGGTATCGTCAGTGCGATTCCAACCACTCCACATAGGGAGGATGAAGATGAAGAGACCAAAGAATGGGAGCAAGAACAGCTCCGGCGTGGTGGGCTGCGCGCACAGGCAATAGAACCAGTCGCGAAACCAGTGTACAAACCTGCACCAAGTACGTTGATTTCACGTGTAACCTCCACAAAGTCAATCCTGACTGTCATCCGTAGTACCTCCTGTTACTCCAATACCCACTATGGGCGCTGCCATCGCCCGACTAACACAGAGCATGAGCGAACTGACAACGTCGCACGCACAACATTCTACCTCCCTAACCAAACTTGGCGAAGAGCAACGCATTCTCGAACAGCGAGAGAAAGAGATGCGCGAGATGATCGCGAAAGCAGAGGAGAAACGCAGCTGGTTCTCCGCCTTCCGGGACTGGATCGAGAGCGTAGCAACGTTCCTCGACGAGAAGGTATTCCTCTTTCCACTCATCACCCAAACGACACTGACAACCCTTCCGGAACCCAGTTCCCCCCTTTAGAGAAGCTCGAGAACGACCACATCTCGCTCATCAAAGAGCGCGCCGACATGATCGCCCAAAGGCGGCGCGCCGAAGACGCCGACGACCTCGCCCTCTTCTTCGGTACTCCGCCCTCACTCCAGCGCCCTCCCACCGACGAACTCGACGAGCTAGGCCGCGCCGTCCCCTCCGTCAACTCTCCCGCGGCTCGCGCGAACCGCGCCTCCGCCCGCGCGTCTCGGCGCGTCCTTCGTCGAGCCACGAACCAGCAGCGCGCGCAGGAGGAGCAGGAGGGCTACTCGACGGACGCGTCCCTCCCTCCTGCGGACGCGGAAGATTACCGTATCGCAATGGGGCAGCTGCTAGCGGATGCCAAGGAGATCATGGCGGACGTGAAGGCGGAGGAGTTCAAGGACCCGAACGCCGGCTTGGGCAAGTGGTTCGGGGAGTGGAGGACAAAGTTCGGGGACATCTACACCGGAGCGTGGGGCGGGCTCGGGATGGTGGGCGCCTGGGAGTTCTGGGTGCGGCTGGAGATCCTCGGGTGGAACCCGCTGGAGGTGCGTGTATGCGCCTAACGATTGAAGCTGGGAGGAGGATTCTCACGAGCCCTGAACAGCGTCCAAGAAGCCTCGATTCGTTCCACTGGTACGGGTCCCTGTACAAGTACTCGCGCCCGTCTGAGGACGACGAAGACGACGAGCCCGAGCTGGGCCCCGACGGCGACCTTGTCTCGGCCATGATCACAACAGCCCTCATCCCGCGGGTCTGCCGTATCATAGAGAGCGGAGGGCTCGATCCATACTCGGCGAAGGATATCAGGCGCCTAATAGACCTGTCGGAAGAGATAGAGGTCTCGGTAGACAAGCAGAACCAGAAGTTCGAGGTGAGTCGTTGCCTTGACCTACAGTGATAGTAGCACTCAGCCCTGTATGGCCCTTGCGATTGCAGCTGCTCCTGAAGTCCGTCTACACCGTCTTCAACACCGCGATCACAGAGATCGAGACGACCCTCGCGCCCTTTATTGAGCTGAACCAGCCTCGCTTCGACCCACAAGCGATCCCTGCCCGCAGGCGTGTCCTCGCACGACAGTACAAGCTCCTGCGCGACTTGCTCCAGTGGCGGAAGCACGCAGGCGATCGCTACGGGCTTGGCAACCTCACGACGCGGTTGGTGACATCTAGCATGCTCCCCGTAGCCGAGAGCGGATGGGAGGTCGGCGGCGAGGAGATGATGCGCAAGGTGTGTCTGCATTGCTGTCTTACTCGTCTGAGCTGGAGCTGAGAAACACCCGCCAGGTTGCGCAGGCCCTCCCGGCGGAGCTCGTGCCTCCGTCGCTCCAATCGCTGCGCGCTGCATGAAATGGATGACCATGATTCGACTGCGATGAGATTAGTTACATGCATATTAATAGCCATCGGCCGTATTGGAGACACACAGACATAGTACGTTTCGGACATTTGTTCTCCTTTCCGCCTACGCGTTCGCTCGAAACCAGACACTGTATGCCTTCTATCGTATCCGTTCGTGACAATTCACGGCGTTCCGACTTCGCTCGGCGCTTCCACGATCGCGACCCGCGCGTCCGTCGACTTCTCCTTCCCCTTATCATGCTGCAACAACGACGGCGTGAAGTCAGACACTTCACCTGGCGTGACGACTTCCTCTTCGTCTTCCGTCTCCTCCTCTTCCTCATGGATCGCACCCACCGGAGTTGCGCGAAGGATCTCCAGGACGTTGCCGGCTGTTGCAGACGCACTACCGTAGGTGAAGTTCAGGCCTAAGATCTCGCTGATGTCTTGTGCTATAGCTCGTTGGTTGGTTGCACGTCTGGAGACACAGCGACACGCGACAGTACATACCTGAGTTCACCGTGACCGCGTTCAGCACGTCGGTCCGAGTACAAGCGGACAGTCCCGGGTCCCCCTCAGTGGCTGTCCCCCGAATGCGAACGCCCTTCGTCATGTCGACTAGAGCAGAATAGGGCAACTGGTAGGCTACGGGATAGGCAGGGAAGGTGACAGGCGCAAGCATAGACACGAGTGGTGAAGGCAGGGTCGCCACAGAGAGAGTAGCCTCCAGCCCAGCCGGCGCGGCGTACGGTCTAGTGAGCCCTTCCATGTATTCCCCAACGTCGGACGCGTGCGCCTCGGAAGGTACAGCCAGGATCAGAGGAGACGCCACGTTCTCATTAAAGATTCGGTACAGGTAGGCACTGCCAGGACTGAGACCACCGGGTGCAGCTTGTTGAAACGTGGCTTCGGCATTTCTGGAAGAGGACAGAGAGGGGGTGGCCGGGGACAAGTGTGGGGCGCTCAGGCCAGAAGGGCCGGGCGCGGGTGCGCTATATGCCGCCTGCGCGAGAAGCTCAGCTTGACGGAGTGTTTGGGGATAGGTGTTGGTGAATGCGTGCCATTGCGCGGCGTTGGCTTGCAACACGGGCGTGGAGGTATCGGTAGTAGCGTGCTGGTAGTTTGTCTCTGAAGAAAAAGGGGCGGTGAGGGTGCCGGGGGCAGGTTCATGTGCTGGAATGGAAGTCGAAAGCCCATGAGAGACCGGAAGGGATGCAGGAGCAACGTCTGAGTAGTATTGATACATCAGGGGAATCCCCTCAAGCTCGTAGGCAATCACAGGAGAAGTGGTGCCGACAGTCGCCATAGTAGAGCTAGCCATCGAGTTGCCACTGTTCTGGCGAGTCTTCGGACCAGGTTCCAGAACACCAAGAGTCAGCCCCGGTCCAGTAGTAGCTCTGGCAGGTGCAGAAACCGGAGCAGCAAAGATCTTCTGCGGCGGAGTCGTGGTCGACGGATCCTCCGGTGCCTCAGATGGGCTTCGGGACGCCTCAGAGGGCACTTCGCGTGCCGGACCGCTGCTCGAGGGGGTGGACCGCCTGCCTTTCCCCTTCGACCTGCCTTTGTCCTTGCGCAACTGTCTCAGGACCCATTGGCGCACCCATTTGGCGTCCCTGTGGACTCGTGTCCAGTCAGTGTTTCTCAGACGATGGCGGTGTCTGAACGCACAGTCCTGTCTCTAGAGCGATCTCCGCGAGCAAGTGCTCCTTCGTACCGTCCATGCCGGTGCGCGCGACATATTTCTTGAGGAGGGCTACTTGATCTGCGTTGGCGACCGCCCTATTCGGACGGGGCACCGGAGCGTGAGACGAGGAAGATACCGAAGCCGACCAGATGCGAAAGTTTGTCGCGGAACGAGTACGTCCTAGCTGCTCAGAGTCGTCCATGGGGCTTCGGAGTGCGCTCTGTGTGTTCTGCAGCGGATGAGACAGAGGTCAGGCAGAGCAAGTCTTGAGATGTGAGCTGGCGGGTCGTTTTTGTGTGAAGGGTATTAGCCTGTCTTGATTTGCTCCCAGTCAGACTGTTTCATTATCGCGGGCCTTCGCATCTCTTCACAGCTGTCGACGTAGAAGGTGTGTGTGCGAAGGGGTGTCGGAACGTGTGGACAGCCACCGCACCCTTCCGGCAATCCACTCCTCCAAGGATGGCAAGTCCGCCCGAACGTCCCTCTGAGTTGTTTCTTGGTTCGGAAGTTGCCTCTCGATGGGCTCACGTAGACCTGGTAGTACAAGTACAAAGCAACACAAGTAAGTAATAGTGATGGTGCCAAAATGTCCGTCAAGACTACAACAACAAGAGACGACCCGATCGACCCTCCGTCCCGACCCGCGCGCCAGAGAGAAAATCGTCTATCTCACTTAACAGTCTACCGCGCGTACTACCACTTGTCCAGCATCCTCCCGATCGCCCAGACGAACCCTCCCCCGCCCACAGGGACGAGGAGGACCCACACACCGAAGTCCCACACGAGCCGCCGCCCAAGCCTCCGCCGCTGCAGCGTGCGCTCCTTCCGCTGCAGGAGCTCATCGTGGCGCGAGTCGCTGCCCGACTCGGCCGACGGGACACGCGCGGGCGACGGCGTCGCGGGAGGAACGACGATCGCCAGCGGGCGCCGGAAGTAGTGGATCGTGATGTGGAGGAGCGCGGGCACGACGTACGTACTGAGGAAGGCGAGTAAGAGGACAAGGTCACTGCCCACGCGCGTGACGTGCGCGGGGAGGAGCGCGAGCGCGGGGGTGAGGATGTAGATGAGCACTTTCGAGATGGGTAAGGAGGTGGCGCGGCGGATAGGGTAAGGGACGGGGAGAGCGGGGGTGGTGATGAGGACCGAGGGGATGGAGAAGAGGAGGGCGATGGCGCCGAATACGGCTACGGTCGCTTTCAGTTCGGCGGAGGGCAGTTCCTGGCGCTGGGTCAACGATCAGTACGCTCCGCCGTGCACAGAATGGGAGCACGGACATACCGGCACATGGGCAGAAGCCTCAAAGAAGACAAGAGGTAGAGTGAACGCTAGGGCTAGTGTTAAGGATAAGATAGACAGGAGCTTGAAGGATCGCGACCGTCTGGGTTTCGGTGTCACCGGCTCGACGGTTCCCTTCAATGAGGCGTACAGAGGTACGGTGGAGGATGTGGCGAAGGCAAACGCAAAGGTAGCTGGAAGGAGAGTCAGGCTACTTGGACAGAGATCAGTCGATAGGGAGCACTCACGTATTCCATCCCAAAGTTTACCAAGCGAGGAGGAATAGGCGATAGGCTCGACTATATGCTTGGTATGCATATAAATCGTACACGCAAACCACGCGGCGTAGGCCGTTATGGACACCCATGAAGCGTAGATGATGCCCTTGGAACCAAGAGAGCGGGCGGAATACAGGGGCGCGATGAACGCCACGAGGACAATAGTCGTGATCAGCCTCGAGGGCACCGTGAGGACATCCGGGAAGTATGTGAGGAGCATATCCACAGACACTGCGGATCCATAAGACATGAGCGGACACGCATATAAGATATCGAGCTGAGTATGACATACATCGCAGGTACAACGCAGCGAGAGATATCCTCGATAATTGGGTGGAGAGCCGCACGACCTGGCGAAGTGCCGTCCTCCGTCCTTCCTTTCCTCTGCCCCGCGCGAATGTCTCTAACACGATTTCCTCCAAGTCTGCTCGCCTGACATAGCGGGCGAGCATGTACCACAGATGCCGCGTGAACGCCGATAGCACCGCGAAGAGCAAGAGAGCAGGTGCGGCGATCCTGAGCGGTATATCCAAGGACGGGATAATAAGTGCACCAAGCTTAAGGAACGGCGCGAAGAGGTACAGGAAGACAGAAATAGAGGAGAGCGGGGGGATTGGGGAATTCCGAAGACGTTCCAGCTGGAGGTCCGAATCCTCTGGCTCGTCATCGTCGCTCGAAAAATCGAACGCGGCCCCAGTCGGGGTAGTCTCCTCTACGTCCGGAACGAGGATGAGGGCGGCGGTGGAATCATAAGCGTCGAACGGGGAGTTGCGGCCGGAGGTGAAGGAATCCGAGCTCGTCGATGAGCGTGGGCTCGCGGGCATAGTTGATACAATATGCGCGGGGTTTCGTGCGCAGTTAGTTAGGGTGGGATGGGGCAAAGGAGCGGCGGGCCAAGTTCCGACTTGAAGGGGATAGAAGGGATGCTGTAGCAACTGCAGAGCCAGCCTGCGCCAAGACAGAGCTGTATGCTGTATGCCGAAGGGGGGGTGGAGGGGGGTGGGGGACGGAGAGGGGGAGCGAAAACTCTGGACGCGAGCGAGACGCGGAGTCTCGAGGATAAGCTCAAGCCAAGGGCGGCTGCGGACCCGAAGCCGCGGGACGTGCTCCCACCGTCCCGACTCCCTGGTGGCCAGATCCATCTACTCCACTCAATTTATGCACGGTTTGCTCGACCACTATCACATCTTTGACGGCCAATCTCTGATGTCCTCACTTCAGGTTGAGGGATGCAGTGAAGAAACATCGACGGCAGCGTAACTCCCAATGACCATACATGGACCGAGGAAAATAATCAGCAATATTATTGCGTGAGACCGCACTCGAAAAGACAAACGGAGACGCTGGGCGGCTATTGTCTACAATGGTTACACAGGCGCTACTTTACATTGGCTAGTACTTGACACTTCCACTCACAATTGTGTCACAGGTCATCCGAGTCCGCACCTGTCATCGTTCGACACCTTGGACAGCGAAATCGCAAGTATCAGACATACTATGCCTCCAAGAGACCTCCCTGGATTGTATTGGGATGACGAGACAAAACGATACTTCCCCCTCGCGTCTAGACCGGCGGGCGCGCCTTCTAGACCAGCGTCGCGGACAGAAGCAAATGTTACCACCGTACACCCGCAGCAACCGTCTAACCGGCGACGACGGTCGCCCAGGGAGAAAGAGGGGAGCCCGCCGCGGAAACGACAGCATGCGCAGCAAGGACTCGAAGAGGAAGACACCGAGCCGTCTGAACCCCGTAACACAGTATGGCGTTCGTTGAACGCGCTCAAAGAATCACCTCTCGGCACATACCGGAGGAGATGCATGCAGTACGTGCTACGGCCGCGAAAGTCATCACAGGCTCAAAGACAGTGTACATATAGTGATGTTCAGATCGGAAAACTCTCGAATCATACGCCCAAGACAGAGGGGGCAGCTAGAGTGCAGTTCGACGGCCCGGTAACGGCACTATGCGCCAAGGTCTAAACATCCCGCCCTTCATCGCCTTTCCCTCGTGTATCCCTAACTATCCCTTGGCAGGAGAACGAAGAAATCCTCATCGGAGACACATGGGGCTGGTTGTACTCCGTGCGGACAGATGACCCTAACGTCGGGAAGCGCCGGTTTGGCCTGCGGACACAGGTGTGATGGTTGCACGTCTACGCAAAAAACTATGAATGCTCACCGTGCCGTTTGCCCTTCATTGTCAGGTTACCTCTATCTCTCGCTCAGGACCTATTTGCGTGTATGTCAGGGCTGGGGATGTCCTCATCGCATATTCAGGATGCGCCTGCAAGAAGCTGACTTGAATGTTAGGGCAACGTCTTTTGGCTCACCCTCACGTCTTCTCACCAAGAACGATCATACTGGAGGGTGAGAAGGCTCAGTACCCCGAGCTACTTCCTCTAATGCCCGGTCGTGTGACGTAGAGTTTTGACCGTTCGAGAGCTGCCGATACACGTGTGCAGCGACGTTTGGTGTGGTCAAGTGCTTGACCGCAAAGTAATCATAGGTAAGTCAGCACAGACCTATCAGTAGTACCGTCCAAAATTAGATCTCTAGGTGGACGGAAGGCTGCCGTGTGCTTCCTAGACGTCGAAAAGCACGACTACATCCGATTACCGAGAAGCAGTGACGTACTCGCGCTATGCCAACATAATAAGGTAACGTATCCAATGACTCACGTTGACAGCAAGACTTGTCAGTCGCTCACTCGCGCCCAGGACATCACGTACATGGGCATGCGGAACGGCATTGTCGACCGCTGGGATTCCAGAGAGCCGGGGAGCAAAACGGACTTGGCGGTGAACATGGCGGAGCGACCGTCCGCGTGGAAAATGACGCCGGCTATTGACTACCTTCGTATCGTCCACGGGCATGAACTCGTCATCCGGACCATGCGGGGAGAGGTATGGTGCCTGATTTTGAGTTCCAGATCCAAGCTCATGGACGGCTGAACATAGCTTGAAACGCACGATATGCGGTTCCTTCGCAAGAACACCCCCCTCCTTCAGTTCTGGGGATTCTCGCCCACTATCGAGTCAAAGCTTGTGAGAGAGTTCGAATGTCCTGCCGCTAGAGCATCCCACCATTAACACATTGCTCGCCATAGGGGATCACCGTGGATCCCGGGGAAGACTTCCTGTTCTCTGGTGGAGGAGACAATCTACTACACATATGGTCTCTCCGTACGGGGCAAGCTCTCCCACCCCGCGACGTGGATACCGTGCTTTTCTCTCCGGAGCCGCAAGTGCTTGGCCAGACTGCAACGTCTACGAGGGTGACGTACCCGATCAGGGCGTTGGAGATCATAGAGGAAGACACCCAAGTTGTCCTATGGATGGCTTTCGTGAACCGGCTGGATCGGATTGTACTTGGCCCGAAAGGGCTGCTCCTTTAGCCTACTACTACTGGTCTCGCTCGCAAGTGGAGCCTCACGATAGTATAGTACCCCTTCGGTAAGTCTTTCCATGATATGTATGTTACACGCTCAGAGAGTGGTCCTCTGAGACACTCCAATGTGCATGCGTGTGTGGTATATGACGAACCGGCCGTCTCCAAACCCATTCTATCGACGTCCCCCCCCCCTGCAGCATGCAAACCAACCCTAACACTAGTCCCCCAAGCTCCAAACACTTATGAGGACTCGAGGATGCCCATATCCTTCCACTTCTCCCAGAGTGCCCCAACGCCGACGGGCGCGCCCGCTTGGCCTTTGATGTCTTTGGGATCGAGGAGCTCGTACTCCTTGCCGAAGGCTAAGAAGTGCGCGAAAAGGGAGTTGAAGTGGCCCTCGGAACGGAGGTGGAGGATCTGGGGGTAGTGCGCGTGGTAGAGGTGCGCAAATACGCGGAGAAGCTGGCGGTAGACGTGCTTGACGGTTGAGGGGAAGTTCTGCGAGAAATCGCGGCCTGTGGGTGTTTCACGGGGTGATCAGAAGGAACAGAAAGAGGGCGGAGCGAAGCGAAGGTGGACAGAGGGGATGGAGTATAGAACGTGAAACACGGGAGAACGTCAGAAGGTAGCAGGCAGATGGTGGATGGATGAATGGGAAGCATGGCTCCGACACGTACCGGACTTGGTGGGGAAGACGTTCTCGTCATCAAGGAGGTTCTGCACCCAGGTCATCACGTAGTCGATGTACGTGGGCGCGGGGAGCTGCACGTTTTTGCGATCTTGGTTGATCCACGTGTAGTTGAGACTAACAAGGAATGGGGGAGGGGGGGACGGCGTTAACGCCAGCGAGCTTGAGATCCACTAAGTTCACGTACCCTTGGCCTGCAGACATGGTGGGGCATGACTGCGCCGTGCAGCACTCGGCGAGGACGCCGTAGAATTGGTTCAGATTTTGGTAGAAGTCAAAGACTGACGCAAGAAGTCGGAGGCAGAGGAAACGATTTCTCCGAGTTAGCAAGCCTGCTAGTTAAAGCGTTGCAGATGTAGCGCACTGTTCACTGCGACCCATTCCATCACGTCCGCGTACTTGGGCAGCATGACGATTGTCTTGAAGTTGCCCTTCACCAGCGCGGCTTCTACGAACGGACTGCATAGATAGAGCGGTTTGGGCACAGAGGGACTCGTCGGCGTGGGGGGCGGAAGCGAGTCAGTCGATGGAAAGCTGCCAGAAGTGGGTGTTGTCGAGCGTCTTGGGGGCCGTTGGTTGCGCTGCATGGAGCGGCTGCATATACTTCCATCGGCATCGATGAGTAGTACCGGCGGAACAACCAGCTTACCCAATAGAGTTGAAGAACGACATAGCGGCCTAGAAACAGTATCGTCACAGAGTGAGTGATGCCGTGAAAAGGAGAAACGGGGACAGCGCAACCGTCGTAACAGGCCAAGCACCGTCACGACGCGAACTGGAGTTATGCGAGCGCACGTGATGGGAGTCAGTCCAACCTGGTTGTTTGGCCTTGCTGAATTCAGAGGCTATTGCCAAATACGGACAAACAACCACTCGCGGATGCAATGGCATGTGGCGCGTAGTACTGGTCCTTGCTTTCACCTACACCCACCGGGTCCGCCACGATGAGGACCCGCCGAAAAAGCAAAGCCGCGACTGCAGCGGCCTCTCAGGATGCTACTACACGCGACAACTCCCCCGCCCCTGGCTCCTCACCCTTCACCGTCACGATCCCGGAGGATGTTGACTTCGATTACCTCACCAATCTCCTTCCTGAAGTCAACCTCACGAACCCTGCACCGGATGCTATCGTCTCGTTGTATAGACTGATTGTTGGTCAGGCTACGGATGTGGAGACCGCTCAGCGCGAACTTGAAGAAGCTCAGGCCGAGATTCAGCGCAAGGATGTCGAGCTGGACCAAGCACTCCAGGACGGCGAAACTGCCACTTCCGAGTTACAATCTGCGTTGGAGTCAGTGCAGAAGGAGCTCGAACAGGTCAAGCAGGAGAAGGATACACTAGGTGCGTGGTGGCATCGCGATGTGTGCTTTCCGGTGGCTGCGGCTGTTCTCACAAGGGGCGCGTCTAGCCTCTGAACGCGCTAAGTTGCAAGCGCAACTCAACACTGTCTCAACCACGCAGACCTCCTCATCCGCCGAAGTCCAAACGCTTAAGCAACGTGTTGAGGAGACCGAGCGCGAGAAGCGTGACCTTATGGGTGTTGTTAGCAGGTTGCAGGACGACGCGGGCCAGCGCGACGCGGAAATTCAGACTCTTCGTGCGGATCTCAAGCAGGCCCGCCAAGAACACCAGGCACTGGAACGCCAGCTCAGGGAACTCACGTCGGCAGAGACTTCGACAAAGGTGCGTCCGCGTCTGGTCCGGGTCCCTCGGTCCTACTAATCTTCCTACAGTTCAAGCTCGATTCGCTGACCCAGCAGCTGGAACTTGCGAAGAGCGAGGCAGAGCGCAGCTCAACTGAGCTTGTTGCGAAGTCAGAGGAATTCGCCAAGTACCGCCGGACTAAGCATGCCGAACTTACCCAACTTCAGGCCGCACACGACTCCCTTGCCCAAACTCACGCGTCCACTGAGAGCACACTCAAGGCTCTCCAGTCCGCGCACGCTGCACAGACACACCAACTCACGGAGGCCCTCACGCGCATCCAGAATCTTAAGGGACAACTTGCCGAGCAAGAGGCGACATACTCTAGCGAGGCAGCTGGTCTACGCAGGTTGGTGTCCATGATGGAGGAGCGCGAGAAGCAGGCGAAGGCCATCGTGGACAGCATTGAGAAAGACTATGCGGGCGTGAACGACAAGGCGGAGAGACGGGAGGCAGTGCTACGGGAGGAGATCGAGAATCAGAAGCAGAGGGCGGAGGATGCGGAGAAGAGGGTGCAGGAGCTGCAGGCTGTCTTGGAACGGATGGATCGCGGCGAGTTCCCCATACCTGCTTTCGCAGGTTCTGTCAGTACTCCCGGCACGCCTGCCCGTGGTCATTCTGTTTCCACTCCTGTGCGGAACGGCTCGCCATCAGCGGACATGCTCACTCAGGGCATGCTAGGCCTCAGCCCGACCGTCGCGATGGCCAGCCGCGCGCAGAGAGGCGGGAAGTCCTTCACCGAGGTCTACTCCGACTATATCAAACTCCAGGAGGACTACTCGCGTAAGTGTGCGGAGTACGACCACATGGATCGTACGCTCTCGGCTGTTCTTGCTCAGATCGAGGAGAGGGTGCGTGCCGTTTGAACTTACTGCCATCTTTACTGAGATGTCGTCTAGGCGCCTATACTTTCTCAGCAGCGGGCCGAGTACGAACGACTGCAGTCCGAGTCTACTCAGCTCGCATCGCAGCTTGCGCAAGCCTTATCAGAGCGGGATGCGCTAGCCACTGCTGCGGAGGAGAACGGCCAGAAGCTGCAGAAGAGCATGCGCGAGAACGAGCTCCTCGAGAAGCAGCTTGAGGACCTCGGACGACAACTTCGCATTCTCCTCAAAGAACTTGGTAGACATCAAGACCCATCTATCCCAAGCGACGAGGAGCTTGAGCAGGACGAGATGTCTCGACCTGCGGAAAACATTGAGGCCGTGATCACCAATAACCTCGTTCTCTTCCGCTCCATCCCTCAACTTCAGGAGCAGAACCAGAAGTTGCTCAAGATTGTCCGAGAACTAGGCTCCAAGCTTGAGTCCGAGGAGAAGGACTACAAGGATGCGCTGGACCGTGAGCAGGGCGAGGCCGTTCGGGAGGCGCACGAAGCCATCAAGCAGCTTCAGCAGCAGCTTGAAAGCCAGAAGCGCAGCAGCGACGTCACCATCCAGGCGTACATGAAGGAACGCGACACTCTTCGTAGTCTACTTCAACGGCAGCAAGAGTCCGGTAGTGTCACACGCGTGCCCAACGGCGTTAACGGTCAGGTGCAGATCTCGGACTCGTCTGAGTTGGCGAAGGAACTCGAGGAGGTCCAGAAGCAGTTCGAAGCTTATCGCACCGAGATGGGTGTCGACTCAACGCGTCTGCGTGACGAGACTCTCAACGCCCAGCGCGAGGTCTCGAAGCTCAGCACTGCTCTTGCGAAGGCGAATGCTCAAATCGAAGTCCTCGCCGGTCAGTATCCGAAGCATATCCATTGTCGCTTCGGTTGCTAACAAAGAATGTACAGAACGCCATCGTATGGTCCAGGACCAGATCATCATCCAGAAGCGCGAGAACGAGGAGCTGCTTGCCCGTAATCAGAAGCTGTACGACACTTACACTCGCGTGGACATCGAATGCAACCGTATGTCCGAGGACTTGCTCGCAAGCAACCAGTTGCTCGAGCAGCTTCGCAATGAGTGCGCCAACCTTCGCGCCGAGAAGAAGATATGGGAGGTATGTACTGTGGAGCCATTCTAACAGACGCGTAAGACTCACAAGGTCCGTCCAGAGCATACAACTCCGCCTCGTTGAGGAGAACAAGACTCTCGCTGTTGAGCGTTCACATCTGTCTGATCTCATGGCCAACGTCCAGAAGATGCACAACGATCTCGAGCGGTCTGGTGAGAACGACCGTCGGCGTCTCGAGAGCCAGCTGCAGCTGCTAGATAACCAGAAGTAAGTGGCCCTGATTGGCAGATAAGGCGGGGCACTATGCTAACGTTTGACCGTAGCCAAGACATGCGCACTCAGCTCTCCCAGGAGCGCGAGTCTGTTCGCCGTCTGACGCTGCAGAAGGACATCGAGCTCAGGGAATTGCAAAATAAGGTTGATAAGACCGTACGTGTCAGTTCTCACGGCGCTGTCTACTCAGATACTGACAATAGATCATAGATCCAAGAGCTTAGCAAGACCCGCGAGTCTCTCATTGCTGCTGAGACGAGCAAGAAACATTTCGAGGAACGTGTCGAACAGCTAACGAGGCAACTCCAGGGCAACGAGGAAAAGCTTGCCGTCTACGAGCGCAGAGCCAGCGGTGTCAACGGCATTACTCCTCGCACGGATGAGGACATGTCCCGTGAGCAACAACTCGAGGTGGAGGTTGCGGAGCTTCGGTGAGCTGGCTACCACTTTTTTCGTCGTCGGGAAATTGACAGTCCCATCAGCTCTGCCCTCAAGGTCGCAGAGGTCGATCTCGCGACTGCGCGCAGCCACGTCCAGCAGTTCCAGGAAATCAGCCAAGCTAACGAGGCCGCCCTTGCCAACTTGAATGCGATCCACGATGAGTACAAGAGCGCAACAGAGGCTGAGCTGGAGAGGAGACAGGTCTGTTCACTCTACTATTGATCAGGACACACGTTGACGATCCGTTCCGCGGCAGTCCGAGATCCAAGCATCACAGGACAGGCTCCGTCTTGCCGAAGAGCGCCTGAATGAGGTCACTCAGCAGAATGCCGAGTTGCAGCGTTCGTTCGACACCGAGCGTGCTGCTTGGACGACCGAGAGGAAGGAGCTCGAGGGCGCAATCGTGGACTTGACCACTTCCGCTCAGACCTCACACACAGATCGCTCGGCGTGGGAGGTTGAGATCAAGCAGCAAGAGGAGCGTGCAAAGGTTCGTCATCTCCCTGAGCCATTTGGTATCTTGCTGCTCACGCTTGCGCGCATAGGCCGCGGAGGAGCGCTATTCAAGAGAGGTCGTCGCGCATGCGGAGGCGCTCAAGTCTGTTGACGACTTGAAACAGCGCTTATCCCAGAGCCAGGCAGCAGCTAGGGAGGGACACGCTGCGGCTGAAACCGCTCAGGCGAAACTCACAAGCTCCGAGGAGAGCTGGCAGCAGCAGCGAGAGGCCTTAGACAAGGAGATCTCAGACCTGAAGGCTAGGTATGTCTCCCATCTCTGCGTCCGCTGCGACCTCAGAAGGCTCAGCGAAATATAGGTGCAAGGATCTCAGCGACCAGAACAACATTCTTCACCAGCACCTCGAGTCTGTCAGTACACATGCCACTCGCATCAAACAGGCGGCCAGTTCTACTGTCGCGGAGTCTAGCGAGGTTGAGACTACCGATGATGCTGACACCAAGGTCGCGGAGCTCCGTTCTCTCGTTACGTATTTGCGCAAGGAGAAAGAGATCATTGAGCTTCAACTAGAACTCAGCAAGCAGGAAAACACCCGGCTCAAGAGTCACATTGATCATCTCTCGCAGAACCTCGAGGAGACTCGCAGGGCACTATCAGAGGTGGGTCGACACTTGAAGGATTGTAGACTCCCACTAACGGACGTTCAGGAGCGTGAACGTGCCGTCCAAGCAGCGGTCTCCGATGAGCAACACAGTCAGCTGGCGGAGAAGATCAACCAAGTTGCCATCCTCCGCGAGAGTAATGCAACTCTGCGTAGCGACTGCGAGGCTTATATGAAACGCGCTCGTCAGCTCGAGGCTGAACTGCGTCAAGTCACTGCCGAAGTTGAGCCTACGAAGGAGAAGGTCCAGATTGCGCAAGCAGAGCTCGAAGCTAAGGACCAGCAGATCAAGTTGCTTGAGAACGAAAGCCGGAGGTGGCAGGAGCGCAACGCGCAACTCCTCACGAAGGTCTGATCGCCTTCGCACCCAATTGGTCGCTTGGATTCATGGCTCTGTTTCGCAGTACGACCGCATCGACCCGGCTGAGATGCAATTACTCAAGGACGAGATTGCGCAGCTGCAAGCTCAGAACGCCGAACTCAAGGCGGCCGCAGAAAAGCAAGGCAGTGACACCAGCACGCAATTAGCCAAGGTACGCGCGCATGCTTCGACCGTGAATTGCAACTCATTCATCGTCTGGCAGCTCGAAGAAATGAACAATAAGTTGAGGCACACGGGTCGGGAGAACAATGCGCGGGCCAAGGCTCGTTTCGACAGGGATGCCGCAGAGATCGCCCGGCTTACTCAGCAGAACACCGAGTTGCAGAGCCAGGTAGAAGCTTTGACACATGAGCTTGAGGAAGTCAAGAATCATTTGCAAGAAGCTGCCGCTGCCGGTGTTCCTGTGGACCACGGTCTGACCCAAGAGTTAGAGGCCTTGCGCACGGATAAGGCTAACCTCGAGAAGGCGTTGGCCGACGCTCAAGCCGCTCATGTGTTGAGCTCGTCGGAAGCCACTGGACTCACTGGCACTCTCGTACGTCATTCGGTGTGATTGGAGTCCTCACCTCTCATGACGATAAAATGCAGGAGAACCTTCGTGTTGAACGGGACAGTCTCCGCGCTGAGCGGGATAGTCTCCTTGCTGAGAAGGCTAACTGGGCCTCTGCTCCCGCTACTGAAGTGCCCGCTGATGTGGCTGAGGCTCAGAGCCGGTGGCAATCCGAGCGTGCCGAGCTTCTCAAGGCTCGCGATGAAGCCAAGGCTCAGGCCGATGTAAGTGAAGCTGGTGTGACGTATATTGGAATCTCGGTCCTCATCCGCTTTATAGGCCCTGACCGAGCAGATTGCCAAAGCCAATGATGATGTCAAGGGCGCCCGCGCTGCCAGTGTACGTATCTTAAATCTATTCATTCGATCAATGTCTGAACAACCATAGGAAAAATTCAAGAGCCGCATCGAGGAGATATCGAGGGCTCGTATGGCTGAGAGCAAGCGAGCCGCCGAGGAAATGCAGAAGCTGCGCGACGAGTTGCAACAAGTCTCACAACAAGCGGGTTCTTCTGCAGGAGCCTCAGAGGCGGCCATAGCCAAGCATGCGGAGGAGTTACGTGCGTTGGAGGAACGTCTCGTCAAGAAGCATCAGGAAGAACTCAAGGCTGCACTGGAGGCCGCCAACGCTTCGGCGGCCGCTCCATTACCGGACACCCAAGCCGCTATTGATGCTGCTGTGGCGGCGTACAAGGAGACCCTTGCAGAGGAGCATGCGAAAGCTCTTGACGATGCAGTAGAGCGTGGACGAAAAGAGGCTGCCGCACGTGCGAAGCTCAAGGACCAACAACTTGTCCGGGCTCAGGGGAAGGTCAAGGAACTGGAGGCTCGCCTCCAGCAACTCGATCCAAACTCCGGTGCCCCAGCACCTGCTCCAGCTCCAGCAGCAGAAGCAACTCCCTCAAAGCCAACGCCCTCTGCGTTCGTTACTCCTGCTGCTGGTATTTCTGCTACTTCTGCCTCCCCCGCCGCACCTGCTGCCGCCCCCACGGGCAAGGCAGGCCTCCCTGTCAATCTCCCTGCGAAGCCTACCCCGGCTCCTCGAGCCCCAGTTCGTGGTCGCGGCGGGGCTCCCGCTCCTGGAAGGGGTGGACTCGCCATCCGTGGAGCAGCACCCGGCGTGGGTCGAGGTGCTGCTGTCGCTGCGGCAGCGGCCGCCGCGGGCGATGCTGCCGTCCCGAACGCCGTGAAGCGTACTCGCGATGGCGACGCCGCTGCTGACGATACCGCTGCTAAGCGCCAAAAGCAGGGAGAGGGTGCGGTCAATCCCCCCGTCACACTCCGCCGTAACCGTGTCCCACCGCCATCATGATGGACTTCTGTAATCATTCATCTCATACACTATCCTCGTACGCTCCATTGTATTGTTATCATCTTGCATGCACTGTTTTCCCTCATTCTCCCGTGTACATATACACTCGTCGAGCTTAGTAGCTATCGAGCATGATCGGTCGCAGACCATAGCAACAGTTAGGATTGGGGCGTTAACTACATGAGCATGATCAAAGCGTAAGACGATAAGCAAATGGCGGTCGTGAGAGTCCGTAACGGGTCGTGCGAAGGCGGAGTGTTCGATAGATACTGGAATAACGCGAGAGCAGCACTGACGAAACATAGATAGCGACGACGACGATGCGGAGGTGATGAAGAGAAGACGAGTACGTAAGTAGTGTAAGTTGGAGATAGGTGGTGGTCGGAACAGTGGGCTAGGAATGTCACTAGACACAGGTTTGTGGAAGGGCGGAGATGCGCGAAGGTATACAAATGAAGCGGAGCGGATAGATATGCACAAATAGAACGAAAGCTTGAGACGTATGCACGAAAGATGACGAACGAACCAAGAGGTCCAGAACGAGACGCGGATAGAGGAAACCGAAACCAGAACCGAAACTTGCAGATAAAACAAAACGCAATGTCAATGCCAGGCGGGCTTGGTCGTGCGGGCGTGAGGCTTGCCGGTGACGATCGCCTTGAAGGCCTTGCGAACAATGGCGATGGTGTTGTTATTTTGCTCTTGATTGGGAGCAGGAGTGCTGAGGAATGCGCCGAATTCGTCCACGGACGACGAACGACGAAGGTCGTCGCTCGAGACCGGGGGTGGCATCTGGCGGCGTCCGGTAGGGAAGAACTTCTGGCTGCGCTTGGCCATTGAGGAGTGCGGCCGAATGTTCTCGATGGGGCGCATGACGTTTTCGGACTGATAGCCCTTGCCATTGCGTCTGACGCCAGTCGTAGACATGAGGAACCTGCCAAGGAATGTAAGCCGTCTTGATCTGATGGGCGACATGCTGAGGAACGTACCTATCATACACGCCCTCCAGGTGGCGCTTCGCAGGAGTGTCGATTGCGATGGACTCCTTCGGGGCCGTCTTGGTTGGGTACGTATCGACGTGCAGGGGCGACTCTGTGAGCGCATCCTTCGACCTCTGGCTCTGGGGAGTCGATCGAGGAGCAGCCTCATCTGCTACCTTCTGGATGGGAGAGGAGATGAAGAGGTTCTTGTCCACAACGGTGGACAACCTTGGAGTAGGCGTGGGCTGTGCAACTATTTCATCCATCCTGAGTGAGAAAACCTCTCAAGAGCAATAGACACAATTATATACTTACGGCGCTCAAGCTCAAACTCGAGCTTTGTAACCGGGGTAATAGGTCGCAGGAGATCGCCATGGCTCCTCGACTTCTCCCTCCGCTTCGATGGTGACACGTCGATCTCCAAGCTGAGCGCCTTCCTGCCGTTCTCCGGCGAGCGAGTGACCACGGTCGCGCGACGCTTCCTAGGAGTCTGTGGCGACGAAAGAACGATGGTAGGGCCCATGGAATCGGCGCGTCTCGGCAAATCGGCGTAAGACAACGACTGTGACAGAGGCTCGACAGCTCCGCTCGGCGCCTCAGACGGGATTGTAGGGAGGGTCTGATCCTGGAAGCGCGCCGCATTGAGGTACGAAGGGCTGGGGAGGGGCGACATGGATGCCGCGCTGCGGTCCATCGAGAACGCAGCGGAGTGTCGGTTGCTGGATGCTTCAGGCTCATAGTCATTGACGAAGATTTGGTTCGCAGCGAGGATCTTGCGCGGAATGCGGTTGCCACGTGAACGGCTGTACGACGACCCGCGGGACATGGGGGCGATGGGGAGAGCGGGGGCGGGGCCAGAGCTGGTCGAAGCCGCGAAGTTCTGACGAGCTTCATCTACGACCTCTGTAATTGTTATATAATATCACCGTGAGCGTTGACTCGGTTATCAATAGAAGAACGAACGCACTCTCGACGCTCTGGATCCAGATCGTCATCCGATCCATCCTGTTCTCGGCTTGTTGCTGCTCGTTTGCCGCTGTTGGCGACGTCAGATTCCATCTTACGGCAATGCATGCGACGAAGGGCGTACCTTCGTCGTCGTCCCATGAAGGCTGCTCGCTCAGACTTTGAGAGTCTTCGTCGCCATGGTCAGAGCCAAGGGTGAGAGCGGGAGTGGAGCGTCCCAGCAGCTGTGTTGAGGACTTATACAAGCGCACAGCGTTGCCTGGTACGCCACCGTCAATTTAGAACCTGTTGGTTACTGTCAAAATGCGACATACCGATAGACATCCTGAGACTCTGCTTCAAAACGCTGATGCTCGACTCGTTGGCTTGGGGAGGCTCGTCAACTGGAGTAGGTTCTAGGCAACCAGTCAGCACCCCTTAAGAGCGAACGCCTACACACGAACTCACCCTCGAACAGCGGACTCAGAGGGGTTGCGAGCGCAGTCCCCGGCGGGGTCAACGACGGCCCGACGCTGATCTTAGGCAGGACGTACGGGCCCTCCTCGCTCCCCTGCCTCTGCGCCTCCCTCTCCCTCCTCCTCTCGCGCTCGCGCTCGAGGCGGAGCTGCTCCCTCCACCTTTGTTCCTCCTCCAGCCGTTCTCGCTCCTCCGCCTCGAGCCTCACACGCTCGCGCTCCTCCTCGCGCGCCCTCTCCCTGCCGACCTCCTTCTCGCACTCGCGCTCCTCCTCGACCTCGCGCATGCACTCCTTGCGCCGCTCCATCTCCCGCAGCCGTTCGCGCTCGCGCTCCCACTCCTTCATCCGGCTCCGGACAGAGTCCTTGCTCGTGTCCGCCGACGTGTTCGCGGGGACCCTCTCTGCCTTCTCCTTGGGTTTATCTCTATCCCCGCGCGTGGAGCTGTGGACGGAGACGTTCTCGCTCTGCGTGACGTCCCTGAGGATCTGGCTGCGTCGCTTCTCCTTCCTGTTCTCCTTGACGTAGTCGTTCTCCGCCTGCGCCGTCCTGGCGTGCGCATTTTCCTTGCTCGCATAGCCTCGGAGCGAGCTCGGCGGCGTGCCGGCAGGAGAGCGCGGACCGAGAGGCTTGCGCGTGGAGCGCGAGGCGGCGGTCTTCCCGTTCCCGGCATCCGCGCTAGCGGTCATGCTAGCGAAGGAATTTTCCTGAGCGAGCGAATTCTCCTTGGCGAGCGCGCTCGTCGTCGCGGCCGCGAATGGGACCGTGTGCGTCTGGGCGGGGGGAGAGTGCTTGATCGGGGAGAGCGCGGAGAAGACGGCGGGCCGCTTCGTCTGGTTCACGCCGCGTGCTGCGAGCAACCCCATATCAGCAAAAGCAAGGCGCAGTGAGCGATGGAAGAAGGACGGACCTTCGGGGGCGAGCTGGAGCCTGGGCTGCGACTGGGAACGCGCGTGGCCGGAGCGCGCCTGCGCGTCCTTGTCCTTCCTCGCGCTCACGCCCATGGCATTCTCCTTCCCAACCGTGGCGGCAGAGGCGGGCTTGTTCTTGCTCTTGTCCTTGTCCTTGTCCTTCTCTTTGTTAGCGTCCTTGTGGCCGCGCTCCCTGCTCGCCCGGGAGGCCCAGGGCGACATGATATCGAGCGCGAGCGACGACGTGCGCGAGTGCGACACGCTCGCCGATTTCTCTGCGAAACCGAAAGCGTCAGCGATCGCGGCCCCGCACCCCCTATCCCCTCGCACGCGGCAGGACGTACTGTGCGCGTGCCTCGCAGGGTGCCCCTGCTCGTCCGCCTTCGCCGCCGTCCAGTACGCGTCGTCCATCGCCTCGCTCGCGGTGCAGCGCAGGTCCGCGTTCGGGGCGATCATGCGCCGCAGGAGGCGCTCGACGCCCTTGCTCATCTTCCACGCGCCGACCCACTTGCCGCGGAGCGTGCGCGCCCAGTACTTCTCGAGGTCGCCTTTGGTGGCGAATTGCTCGCCGTTGGGGTGCTCGAAGGGCGTGCGGCCGACGAGGATCTCGAAGAAGGTCACGCCGAGGGACCAGACGTCGGATTTGCGCGTGTCGTGCGGGAGGCCGCGGGCACGCTCGGGGGAGAGGTACTGTGTGTGTGTAGTGTACGTTGTTGTTGGGGTGTGGTGGTAGCAGTAGTAAGCGATGGTGATAGCGGATAGTAGCAGCAGTGGAGAGGGGCCGGTTAAGGGAAGATGTTGTAAGGTCATGCGTTGCCAGAGTGCGCATATAGTCGGTGGACGGGACGTGCATATAGTGAGGGATAGCGAGTCACATGAGCAAGACAGCTGCACAGAGAGAGGGGAAGGAGCCATACCTCGGGCGTGCCATACGACAGGTTGCTGTGGAACGCTTCGGGCGCACTGACGTCGTAGCGTTCAGCGAAGCCGAAGTCGACGAGCACGGGCACGTTCTCGCTCGAGAGAAGGATGTTTGCGGGCCTGCAGGGCAAGGGCGGCTCGGTTAGCTTCGGGTCCCATCAGCCGTTAATATTGCGGGGGCTGATGGAAGCGCCGATATGACATATGCTGCCATGCGCTCTGGCGAGAACAAGCGGCGCGACGAAAGGGGCGCAAAGGGGACACGGGACGTACTTGATGTCGTTGTGCACGACGCCGCGCTTGTGGAGGAACTCGACCCCGGACAGGAGCGAGCGGAACCATTCCTTGGCGTGCTGCTCGGAGACCTCGACGGTGATGAGCCGCGGATGATACGCCCTGCAGACGGAGACACATCAGGTCAGCTGGTGTACATGATATAGAGGATGGCGATGCTAAGGAAAATTACATGGTGATAAGGGCGTAAGAGGGCGTGATGATGAACGAGTAAAATGGGATGATGGAAGGGTGGGGCTCTTGTTTCAGTGCCCGAACCGTCTTCATTTCGTTCCATCTGCACGCAAATGTGTCATTCGTGCATCGTTCTATGAGTAGGAAGCAGGGAGAAAGCATACAGCGATCGCACGCGTGCAGCAGTGGTGGACGTCTTGGACCTATGTACGAGCTTCACGGCGATCTTGTTGTCCTGCAGCTGGCTGGACGATGACTCGCCCTTGGGCCGGCATAGCCAGACACTACCCCAGTTTCCGAAGCCAATCTATACATGTAACCGTGAGTACGGCCGCGTTTCACAGAAGTCAGGGGCGCACGGACTTCTTCGATGAATTGGAGCCTGTCGGCCAAGACCTGGTCTGAGATGGAGAAAATGTCGGTCGCCTCCTGGGGAGGCTGGGGTGGAGGAATCATGGGGGCGAGAAGGGAAAGCAGGGACTAGTTGTACAAAGGGAAGAGAGAAGAAAAGACAGGCGTCGGACGGGGACGTCGACCAGGAGGGGACGTGGAGGACGGAGGACAAGGACTGGCCGTCGTCGAGTCGAACCTTGAACCCATCAGCGTCCGTCGTCGCTTAGAGTCGAACATCCTCAGCCGCGTGAGAAGCGAGAAGGCCGGCTAACACGAGGCACGCCACAACCGCGACCGCGACGCGTCTCTCAGCCGCTCACGCCACCGCGTTTGTCGCCCACAGCCGTCCGCTCTCACGCTCAAGTCCAACATCGACATTGCATCCACCGCGCGTCCCGTGTGTTCTTTCAATGTGTCCATGTCTACGAACACAGCGACGAGAGACGATGCTTTTTCCTCCGAAGGCACACAAGGTCTGGCAGACGGGTGCTGGCAGATGCTGTTACATATTGCCTCCATTCTCAACGCCACACTGGCAGGATCGGTACCGCGTTCGCCCCGCCACCGACGCGACTTCAGGGACCCGAACGACAAACTTGAAGTGTGGCATTTCTTCTGCTGCGAAAGCACTCTGTCCGCTCCATAAATTGCTGTCAAGTGCTGCGCTACCCTTCCCAGTCGACACGATACGGATGCACCACTACCACCTCAGTCCAAGGCGGTGCAGCTGTGACAGCAGCACCGCGATCCTGACAACGTCCGTCTCCGCCTCCAAGACGGCCAGCAGCTCCTCCATCATCTCCTCCAGCCCGTCCTCTGCTACGAGGTGGGCCGCCAGTGTGGTGGAACGGCCGCGATCCTAGAGCCCATCAGCCAGAGCCAACAAGACACGCGCAGTAGCGTTGGGCTTACTGCAAGCAACCGATCAGACGAGTCCCCGTCGACTGCGTGATCGTCTCCGCAAGCAGTAGGACAGACACCGTGCATGTCACGCGTACGAACGCCGCTAGAGCCAGACGCTGAGTCGGAAAGGCTCCCCGGGCCACCGTGGCCAACAGAGCGATCGAGGACAGCGATGCGCGAAGTATGCGAGACAGACGAGCCACCAGTGAGAGCGCGGGAAGTGAAGCCAGCTAACATGTGCAGGTTACTGGCAGATAAGTCTTTCCCTTTAGCGGTCTCAGAACGGCCCCCGTCCGAAGTACCCAGCAGAGGGTCGTGAGCAGCGCTATATGCGTCAACCGGAGGATGTGACGGGGATGAAAACACGTCGCCATAGACCCGGGGCTCAGAGGGACCAGCTATATGCGGTGGAGGAGTCCGAGGCGGGGACGACGAGGGCAGCATAGGACTAGACCATCGCAAGCTAGGAGAAGACGGAGGGTCCGGGAGAGGGAGAGCCTCTGGATCTGCTTCCTTCTTGACCAACTTCTTCTTTCTCTTGCAAGGCTTTTGGGGACCAGGAGGAACGGCGGCGGCACTACCAGTAGCCTCAGGCCCGGGGTCCATAGGAATGGGAACGACGCCCTCTTCGAGTTGCTCACGCTTCACAGTGAGGTCGACGCATCCCTGCTCCGCCCGCTTCCTGTCAGACTTACGCTGCCGCGCGAACCAGCGAGAGATCCATTCAGGCGACCTGTAAAAGACAAGACAGTGATTATTCAGAGTCGCCGGTTATGCGGACGAGAGCAACAACGGATTGAATCGATCACAGGGACGGACCAAGGTTTGCATGTCCACAGGAGCGTGCAGCACTCACAGACTAGTCTGCTCGCTGAGAGCATTCAGGCGAGCCTTCGCCAGTGTGTGGTCTGCTGCGTATGCGAGCAGCAGCAGCTTGCGCTGGTCTTTGGACGCTCGCACTGCGGGCCCCCGCTGGAGGCGCTGGTGGGGAGATTTTTGCGCTCCGTCCATATGCTAGGTGCTGGCGGATCTAGGTAGTAAGAGACGAGGCAGAACGACGCTAGCTGCCGACTCCCGCAAAGGACGATCTCTATTGAAGTAACAGTACTCCCAAAGGAGTATCTGATGCTGACAAATCTCGCCATCAAACGAGCGAAGTGGTCCTGCAAAACCAATGTCGTACATGCTATGTTACCGACGCAGGTTTGGCTATAGGGTAGAGCCCACCGAGACCAGTCTCCTTCTACTGCACGCTTCGTTGAGGAGCGATTTTTATGTAGAGCGAGGGTAGCTTGAATTATGAGACGCTGTGTCACTAGCGCCAGATCCAATTCGACTCCCTCTGTAGCTGTCACTGATACACGGCTAATGTCTCTCTGCACCGCTGGGACTGGAGATCTTTGTTCTCCCACTCGAGTGGCTCGTCGACGTCCATGCCGTCAATTTGGTCCTCGCTCTCTAGGTCTGTCGGCGTCACTTATCACTATGACGACTTATCGTGCGACGACGAAGGTGCTTACAGCTGTTTTCGAAACGATAGGCCCCTGCGCGGCTTTTTATGCACACTGTCGGACCATGGGATCTAAGTACCGAGGTAACTCAGCACATTAGCCGCACCCCTTCGATGTCTGGATGAGGCCATGCCGAGCTTAGCCTGGACTCGGACTTCGGATGTCCCGCTGAACCTTGGCTCGGGCCGCCCATTTCGAAGTCCAGCTGTGTGTAAAAAGTCGTGCAAGGGTCATTCGTTCTGAAAACAGCTGCAAATTCCCGGATCGTTCCTCGCCTTGCACGCAAATGAAGTGCGCTCTGCCCTCGCCGCAGGCCAGTCTTGTCTTGAACCATGCTGGACTACGTCGACACGAACACTACGGCTGATGCCTCTTGGTACCTTTGCTTGCTATCGAGAAATACTTTGTTTGTCCGACATCGGGCTAATTGGCGACTGGGCTTGATTCTGCTGCCTAGTGCTGGTCTCTTCTGCGAATGCCGATCAAGTATGCTGCTGAACTCAGAGGATATTCGCAGGCAGAGCGGCTTGCCCGCCCACCTTCTATCCGCTGCGGACGGCTGACTCCCGACAATCAGATTGCGGCTCACAACGTGATGCTCATACCACCGAGACCTCACGTTGGATTCAGGACGCATACTAGTGTTGAGTCGACTTCTCGCCAAATTATTCCAAGTCCAACATCCACCCTCCCCTCCTCCTACAGGTATCAAGGGACCCGTTTTCGTGGCGAAGGTTTTACCAAATATTCGCATCCCATCATACCTCCAAGCATACTACCATTCACTATCGACTACAAACATATCAAAGATGTCTTACAACATGGAGACCACCTTCGTCGCCGACGCCATTCTCTTCGATATGGTAGGTTCATACCTTTATGCTCCTCAAAGGTCTGTACTTACTGTCTTGTGCATCAGGACGGTAGGTTGACAGAATCCATCGCCGCTGTCGAGGCGGCATAAGGCAAGGTCGCCGAGGACCTTGGGCAGGACCCGGCGTATGTCATCCCTGCCACCCACGGCAAGCGCGCCATGGACAACCTCGCCCAGTTCAAGCCGCATATCAAGGTGCACGAGATGGACGTCGAGGTTCAGGCGTCCGCGTTTGTCCTTGCCCTCCACGACAGATTACACTCACCGCCCGTCCTTCGTCCGTTGCGTCACCAACCGCCTTGCGCTCATCACGACATAAGGCGCGACGTACGAGGACGACGAGTCCATGATTGATCGGAGGATGGAGCTCGAGCAGAAGCACCTGTTCGAGGCGTGGCAGGTCGAGGCCGCGGCCGTCGACCGCTCGGTGCGCATCCTCCCTGGCGTAAAGAAGCTCATGGACTCGATCCCTGAGGATCGTTACGCCGTTGCCACCTCGGGTGCAAAGACTTTTGGTGAGCCCCAACACGATGCTCCTTCCGCATACAGCTGTTGACACACAGCTCTTCGTTGCAGCTTACGGCTATATGACGCGCGTCGGTATCACACCTCCCAAGGAGATCATCAACACTGACGACAAGCGTCTTAAGGCCGGGAAGCCTGCACCCGACCCGTTCCTCCTCGCCGCGAAGGAGCTCAGGTTCGATGCGGAGCGTTGCATCGTCCTCGAGGGCTCGCCGTCCGGTATCCGTGCCGGTGTCGCCTCTGATGAGACGGTCATCTCCGTGTTCACGAGCCACGAGAGGTCGAAAATCGAGAACTGCGGTGCGCACTTCATCGTAGACACGATGGAGCAGGTGCGCACCGTTGTTGATAGGGATGGGCTCAATCTTGTCGTTTCGGAGAGGCAGTAAGGAGGGGTTTGAACTGGGTGAACGAAAAGCCCACGCCCTGGAGGCGTGTGGGGGATACCCTGTTGTATGCGCTTGGGTTCGCTACAACCACCCAGAATTCTTCACAAAACCATTCAAATACTCTGAGTGCACTGGTTGTTCTCTTCGACATAGTTTGCGGCCGCCGCATGAAGGTTAACTTGCGAATCACCCCGTAGCAGAGTCCTACCAGGTGGAATCAGATCAAGCGTCCGATCTTCGGGACGCTGCTATCTACTTGATTGAGAGTGTGAAACACGTGATCTGGCGTCGTTGCGTACTACCGGTTTCGGAATGCAGGCCACTCCAGTGAATCGCACCTCAACTCGAAGCGTGTGGTAGAAAGGAGCCTAGGTCCTGACCAGAAATTCTACCCGGTCACCCCACCTGGCTAGGATGGCTACCCGACACACCCGGCCCCGGTCGCTTCGGAATGTTCAGGTGCTGCTCACGGAGTCTAGTAAGTACTAGTACTGACAATACTACAGCGATTGATCACAAGGTTACCCACTCTCACTCCCGAAGTCATCACTAAACCAGTCAGCATATAGCATAATCTTACGAGACAGCGACGATCTGTGCCAAACAGCCACCTGACGACGCAGTGCAGACGCGTCCTTGCGGCATCAAAACATCCTCGTCATTTTTCCCATGGCTAGTGGAGCGGGACTCTGCAGGAACCTCTGTCTTTGTTGATTAGTGAGCATGAGAGCTAGTGTTCACGTGCTATGTTGAGGATGGTAGTATGTTGCTGGTGTCTCCGACTCTAGCGGCCCAGTGATTGCGTATATAGCATCTGGCCTGTCAGCGGCTCTAACCTCGCTAACATTCCGATACTCTCAGCCGTCTTCACGCAACAATCTATAATCCAATCATCAATACTGCCAAGCTCGGCGAGACCGCTGCCAATGTCACCGTGGGTAAGGTCGCTGTGAGTGTTCGCTATGAAGTAACGGTTGTACACGCAATGCGCCTGACGTCTAGTAACCGCATAGCACGGGCTCTTGATGATGACGTGCGTGCGGCCCCTTCATACCGCAATCGCTGACGATTTGTCCCAGATGGAGGGACCCGAACTATCCCCTTCCCGACGAGGAGACTTCGAGGCCATCAAGCCGGCTTCGATGCCATGCCCCCTGGGGTGAAGATGGTGTTGAACAGCGGTAAGTATACTTAAGCGGTCTGGTACAATCGACATGCTCACGTCGTATCAGGCGAATTTTACGGTCACAACGCGTCGCCTGCGAACCTCGAGCTGCTCTCTCGGTTCTACAGCCAGTATCCCGACTATGTTGATAAGACCTTCCTGATGGTCAGTCCGTCTCCGCTGCCGCTCCCTCTCTAGAGAAGCACTGACCTGCCTCCCTCGCAGGGAGCTGTTGTTGCTGGAACTCTGGTCCCGGACGGCTCGTGAGTATCGCCTTGCAGACGCCGTGGGTACACTGCACTCCTACTTACGACCTCGACCAGTCCCGAGAACCTCAGGCGCAGCGTGACCTTCATCAACGAGAAGCTGAGCGGCGTCAATAAGATGGATCTGTTCAAGCCTGCCCGCGTGCCGCCGAAGGTTCCAATCCAGGACGATATCAAGACTCTCGTTGAGCTGAAGAACGAGGGCCACTTCCAGCACATCGGGCTTTCCGAGTGCAACGCGACGACCCTCAGGACGGCTCACGCCGTCTATCCGATTACGTCTGTCGAGATCGAAGTCAGCTTATTTTCGTACGAGGACGAGACTAAGAAGGGTACGTATTTGAGCGAGCGTATCTCGTGCATCTCGTGCATCTCGTGCGTCAAGTGACCTCCTGGATTGCAGCCGTTGAGGTGGCGAAGGAACTCGGTGTCTCGGTCGTCGCTTACTCGCCTCTCGGTCGAGGCTTCTTGGCCGGTACTATCAAGAGCCCGCAAGATCTGCACCGTATGCGACCGTTGAATCATAGGTTTCTTCGCGGATCTCACTAGCACTGCATATAGCCGGCGACGTGCGTCGGCACCTGACGCGGTTCGAGGAGGAGAACTCCAAGCATAATTACGCTCTCGTCGATTCTGCCAAGTCGATTGCAGAGAGGAAGGGCGTCACGCCCGGCCAGCTTGCCCTTGCTTGGGTCATCTCGCACGGGCCGCACGTCATCCCTATCCCGGGGTCTTCGTGAGTCCCGTGATTCTCAGTGTCCCGACGTAGAACTTAGTGAATCGGCTCTTTAGCAACAAGAAGCGTAATCTGGAGAACATCGCGGCGGACGACATCGAGCTTACCGACGCCGAGCTTGCCGAGATCGACGAAATCCTTGCCAAGACGCCTGTCGAAGGAGGCCGTTACGTTGACTTGGTGGAGAAGACATTCCACCTCTGGGGATAATTCGGATTTCCGGCTGGTGGGCTGATACATTAGCCAGCTTTTGTGGCGTTGGACATGCGACCTTGGGTGATATTCACAAAGACTATTTTTCATGACCATAGCCCAGTCAGTGCATGGCTCAGGCCTCACGTTCGAAACAAATTTGAACCCGAACGTCTCACAGAAGGCTCCGGTGTCATGTCCCTAAGCAGCACAGCAGTGGGCACATCACACTGACGGAGATGATCGGGGAAGCAACGATGCTTAAAATGATAGCACTATCAAGGCACATACGACATCTTCGGCGACGGGTAACTCCTTCTCAACAAAACAGCCTGGACAGGTGGTGTTCGTAGGAGGACAGTCTGCGAATGTGCATAAAAATGCTGTGGAGTATATATAGCCCACCGCGGGGGTCGAACCCGCAGCCTTGAGATCAACGCGCCTAGGAGGCCGTAAAAGTCTCACGCTCTATCCGATTGAGCTAGGCGGGCCCAACAGATTGGGGCTGGGTCATGATATGAGGAGCACCATCACGATGAATATAACGTCATTGATGTGTGCCGTGGACGTCCGAAGCGCTCCTGGTGGCCAGCGAGCGCCGAAGACGTCGAGCTGACCCGAGTCCCGAGCCCGGTTTCCCTTCGTCCTTCTCAACACCAACTACTTCGCGTTCTCATCCCGTCGTCTTCTTCACTGTTTGACGATGATGGCCTCCCGCTTAGCCCGCCGCGGCCTCTTCCAATCTGTTCGTCCTGCCGCACGCGTCTCTGCGCGTCCGACTGCCCCCGCTGCCTGCCGCTTCGCCACGACAAACGCGGGACACGCTGCGAAGGAGAGCAGTGACACGGCTTGGCAGGTGCGTCCTACTTCTGCACTTGCGTGCACCTCGCTGAGCCTCGGTTTGTGTCTTAGATCGGTTCTGCACTTGTGTTCGGGCCCATCGTGCGTACTACGTCATAACGACTGGGTTGTGGACGCGGCACTCAGCAACGAAACGTAACAGATCGCATACCTCCTCATCGGATCTGGGAAGAAGTCATCTCATGCTGCCGAATCTCACACCCATCCGCATTCAGCGCAACATGCCGACCCCGAGCCTACCTCCGCGAAGGGTGCGTCGGACGTCCAGCAGGCAGAAGACCAGGCCATCGTATGTCTACTCAAAATACATTCGCTCCCATTCTGTGCGCTTTGTTTAACACGTCCCACCAGGCTACCGACTCGCCCAAGGATGCGCCGGCGACTGAGGAGGCCGAGGCCGTAAGTCTGGACAGCTCGTGCGGTTCCGTGACGTTCCGTCGCTGACCCACGGTTTCACGCCGTCCCCTGCAGGACTCCGCCGCGTCCGAGGATGGCAAGGTGCACGGTGCGCCTGCTATCACCGACGACGAGGGCAACACCGCGTCTTCTGAGGAGATCAAGGACTCCTTCGACAAGGCCTTCGTGCGTGAACGTTTCTCGTATGCTTGTGTCGAGGGCACGTGACTGACGCGTCGACCCGCGTGCGACTGACGTTTCTACGATGGGATTCGCGGAGAGCAGAAAGCCAACATCCCCGAGGATGCCGAGCGCGAGGAAGCTCGTCAAGCAAGTAGCGGGGAGCAGCCCGCAGAGGACAAGCCCTCTAGCCAGGCGAAGGATCCCCAGTCGAAGGGGGGTGACCAGCCTACTGACATTGGGGAGGCCCGTCAACAGGCTCAAGTGCGTCTCCAGTTAGAGTTTACCGCATTCTTACGACAAACTGATTGAATATGTATGTGCAGTCCGAGAAGGCTCCTAAGCAGGCGGCTGAGGATTCCAAGTAGGGTACACAGTCCCCGGAAAACTGAGCGTGCTACGCTTAGACTCTGCAGATAATATGGGACGCGTTGCACACATGCACATGTTGCACATGGGACTCGCTCATCATTGCATGTAACTAACTGTTTGTGCGGTCGAACTTTAGATTTTGCTCTGTTGCTCTGGACTGTCAATGCGTGTAGGACTCCCTTGGTCGACTCTGGACACGCCAGCACGTTGCTGAGCGTTGCAGTTCGCGTCACAGACCAACGTGGTATCCACGTTTGCCCGTGGGGTAGTATACACGAAGAGTCCCCCCTCCCCTCCCCTTCAGTAAGTAGACCCGAAGAGTTTGACGAGGCTGACAGACAACTCTCAACTAGATTCAACATATTGGCACATCTGCGTGCTTGTACACTAAGCTTGCGAGGTTCGGCAGATGCGGGCTGACGTGTTCAGCGAGGGTCACGCTGGTTGGATTGTGGAATCAGTACCACACGACAATGACGGGGTCGAACATCAACCAACGGTCCGTTCTATACTGGTACGCGGCCGAAGAGCCTCGTCGGCCGACAGGTGGCCGCAATTGATCGACATTGTGAAGGTGAGTTGAACATTGGTGGAGGTTGACAGACTCGACGTGACCGAGATCGCTGCCGGTCTGTCAGCCTCTGCTTCTCCCCCTTGTGGACGTGGACGTGCAAATAAACGGAGAGCGGGACAAAGTACCCGGAGCTTGGCAGCAATTTATCACCCCAATCCTGGACTCGAACATCAACCATTGATTGTACGAGACCCGTTCTGTGCTGGTACACGGCCAACGAGTCTTGGCGGCCGAGCTGTGTGCGATCGATCGACGCTGTGAAGGTAGGCTGACCACCGGTGGAGGTTGACAGTCTCAACGCGACCGAGATCGCTCCCGGTCTGCCAGCCTCCTCCTCTCCGGGATGGCATATAAACCGCCTCGTACGCAGCCATCTCGTCCTCACCTACTACCATCATCTTCGTTCCACACCTTCGTCGCAAGCTCGCCGATATCCACATCCTCACTCTCCACTTCAACCTCAACCTCAACACATCCACAACACACATACATACATCACCCCCATCATGTTCGGTCTACGCGAGTTGTTCAAGTCCCTCTCCATCTCCCGCACCATCCATGTCCCTCACCTGCCCATCCCTCGTGTCCTCCACCCTTTCGCCTCGTTCCGTCAGCCACCCAGGGACAACGCCGAGACTATCAACCACGTACGTCCGCCATACAGCATACGTCGTGGCCATGCTTGCTTACTGTTGGGATGATGTCAGACGCGGATGCGGGCCATCCGTGCAGAGGGTGGTATTGTCAAGGTGTGTACCCTTCCGCCCGCACGTTGGGACTCGGGTCAGACGGTGATGTGATGTGTTGTACAGGATCTCGAGGAGTCGCGGAAGGCGTTCAAGAAGGTCGTGTGTGGTCGTGAGACGGTGAAGGCAGCTGGGGGAGAGTATGGGAAGGGCAATGCTGTGTCCACTGGCAGCGCCGCTCCATCGTACAGGCCGCACCGGGTTCCTCACCGGACTATCGCTCAGCAGTCTCCTTCGCTCTCGATTTCTCAGGCGATGGCCCAACTTCGGATTCGGCGACAGGATGAGTTCACGGCGTCGTCGAAGCTCCAGACTGGTTTAAAGAACGGACAGGGCCCGATGGAGGATATCATGCCTGCTCCTCTCGAGGAGGCCATGGAGGAGATTTTGCCTGCTCCTCTGGAGGAGTGTATGGAGGATATCGTTGTGGCCCCGCTGGAGGATGCTATGGAGGACGTGATCCCCGCTCCGCTCGAGGAGCAGATGGAGGAGGTTCTGCCCGCTCCCCTTGTCTATGCGCACCCTATGACCCACTTTTACTGGACTCTGGTCAACCAGCCGGCGGTCCCCCCGCAGACGCCTCGTATGAACAGGACTCGGGATCGCGAGGCGTTCACTCCGGCATCGCCTCTGGCTGCGAAGAGTCGGTATTCGCTCTCGCAAATCGCCGTGCTTCCTCTTACGCCATTCCCCGATACGCCGGTCAAGTCTCGGCGTCGGAGACGACTGATGTCCGCTGGTAGCCCCTACTGAGGGGCACGTCGACCCGACTCTTTCTTCCCACTTCGGCCGTCCAGGCCTAGTCCCTCTTTGATAGAGGACTCGCTGTCTTCGCCGCTCTGACACCCTGCACGAACAGCTGTAGCTCTCCTCCACCCCGA